GATGGGCTGTGAGGTAAGGGTCTAGTAAGGGGGCTGATGGGCTGTGAGGTAAGGGTCTAGTAAGGGGGCTGATGGGCTGTGAGGTAAGGGTCTAGTAAGGGGCTGATGGGCTGTGAGGTAAGGGTCTAGTAAAGGGGCTGATGGCTGTGTGAGGTAAGTGGTCTAGTAAGGCCGATGGCTGTGAGGTAAGGGTCTAGTGCAGGCGTCCAGGCGGGGGGCTGATTGGCTGCAGGTAAGGGCTCCAGGTGCTGATGGCTGGGCTCCCCCGATTAATCTCTTTACGATTTGAAAACAATTACTCCACAAGAGCTCAACATCATACGCTCTGTGTGTGTGTGTGTGTGTGTGTGTGTGTGTGTGTGGCGCCAGACTAAACGACTGTGTGTATTGAGTAAGCACCAACCACTCACTGAGGCAATCACAACGGTAACTCTTCAAGCAATCGTTTTTTTTTCCTTTTTTCATTAACAGTAAATATTGCCAGGTAATAGCTTCATATTATTAAAGAAATGATATCACTTTTAGGGTCTTGTGTGTGTGTGTGTGTGTGTGTGTGTGTGTGTGTGTGTGTGTGTGTTGTGTGTGTGTGTGTGTGTGTGTTGGGCAGGTTATTTACATAGTTGGAGTAAGAGGCAGGTAAGCAGCAGCAGCGGGAGTATGGCGCAACACTTTGTCCAGGTAACACTGTGTGATAATTCTGAGTCAGTCTCTTCCTTGAGACCACGAGATGCTGTCATGGCGTGGGTGGTGTGTGGGTGGTGTGTGGATAGTGTCAGTGATGTGGGTGGTGTGTGGATGGCGTGGGTGGCGAGGGTGGCATGGACGACGTGGGCGGACAAGAGAGAGAAACACCTGTAATGCGCTCTAATGTAACCCTCATATGGGCCGCTTTTAATCCTTCTTTTCAATTGGATAATATTTCTTGTCATAGGCGTGGGCGGCGCAGTGTGTATGTGGGCGGTGTGGGCGACGCAGTGTGTTTGTGTGTGTGTGTGTGTGTTGGTGTGTGGGTGGTGTGGGCGGCGCAGTGTGTATGTGGGCGGTGTGGGCGACGCAGTGTGTTTGTGTGTGTGTGTGTGTGTTGGTGTGTGGGTGGTGTGGGCGGCGCTGTGTGTATGTGGGCGGTGTGGGCGGCGCAGTATATTTGGGCGGCGTGGTGTTGCAAGTGGACGGCACAAGGGAGGCAGCTGATCCCTACCCTGTTTCTTCTCTACACCATTCATGAGAGAGAGAGAGAGAGAGAGAGAGAGAGAGAGAGAGAGAGAGAGAGAGAGAGAGAGAGAGAGAGAGACTGACAGACACAGACAGACAGAAAGAGACCTTGAATATGTGTTGGTCATAATAAAATACCTAAACTTAACTCACTTATCATTTTAACTTAATAAACTACTCGCCTTTAATCTTCTAAAACCAATAAGGAAGATTTATGTCATATATCATAGTATTAAGTTTTTGTCTTCATCAATATAGCTGCGTTAATCTACACTAGGAAGAAAATATCTCTCACTTTAGGAAGGCAATATTTCTCACTTTGGAACCTTGGGAAGAAAAACATCAGTCATATCAGGAAAGGTAGACATTAGCCCCCAAAAAAGTATTCATCCTTAGTTTACGTTTGTGTTATCATAAGTGTTACCAATACACGGGTAGATCTTCCCGGTTTAGTCGCCATATCATCCCCTATCCTCTCCATTCCCCATAACCCCATTTTCACCCCATTTGGTCTGGTTTTTTGTCCCTATTTCGTTTTCATCTCCCCATTATGCCCTACCTATGTCCGCATCTGCTTATTTTCTTCTCCCCACATCTCCATCTCCCTATTTTCTCCTCCCCACATCTCCATCTCCCTATTTTCTCCTCCCCACATCTCCATCTCCCTATTTTCTCCTCCCCACATCTTCACTACACATTCTAACATCTACACTACACATTCTCCAGTCTTCATCACACAAGGCCCTCTGAGACCATAGACTTCTCTCAAATCTCTAATCTAAAACTGTTTGGAATGGCGGGACCAGAACCTTATCTTATCGAAGTATTTGACTTGTTTAACGATATGACAATCAGTACATAAACCGACTATAGGTAAAGTGGTTAGGTGTACTAGTGGTTTTCATGGGTGTTTAAACCTTGGCATGGGTTGGTTTTATTGTATTTTGGGGGGGGAGTTTTAACCACATTCACGTAACCCATTCCATTAAACCTTGGTGTGGGCTAGTTTTATTTTTTTATTTTTTTTTTATTTATTTTTTTTTTTGGGGGGGGGAGTTTAACTACGTTCATTTAACCCACTCTAAGGCGTGTGGGGTTTATTCAACTGCGGGATGGTAAACTGGGGAAGATAGTGTATAATGTCATCCCATACATGGAATACAATGGATACAATATCAAGGTTACAGTGATCTTGTCCCTGTTCCCGATAAAGTTTTGTACCTGACTGTAATTTATTTGTTTCTTAGTGCTTATATCTGTCCGTCAGTCCGTCAGTCACCCTCCTAGTGTCAGCTGTCAGCTCTGGGTATTGATCAGTCTCCTGGTCTAGGAAGAATCACTATAAGTAGTAGTAGTTGTAGTAGTAGTAGAAATAGTAATAGTAAGAGTAATAGTAGTAGTCGTAGTAGTGTACCTGTAAAGCTCGTCATCCTGTAGGCTAATGAGACCTTCAATGCTCCACTAATTGGCCTAATTTAAGCCAAGGTATTTCCATTTTCCTCGTCTTTCCTCGTAGTGTTCTCTCATTAAACACATTTCACTGAACCATAACTAATGAAAGCCTTTGATGGTGATAAGATTGAGGCTTTACCTTCACTACACGTCACAGGTGAGCGCCAGATAAAATGTTAATTAAGCCTAAGAGGTAAGGTACAAGTGGCGGGAGAGACACACCTGATAATCATCCAGTTACCTCATCATCCACACTTGTTATGGATGAGAAAAACTCCCAAGTACCAAACGTTAAATGTCTAGTGGCCGTATTAGGCGGAGGAGGCCTTTGAGTTTTGGTCAGGGCCTTCAAGGTCGTCCGCCGCATAAGGAAGGAGCCAGTGGCCAGGAACCCAAAGAGATAAGGAGGTTTTAATCCTACTGCAAGACGAAAGATTCCGAGTGAGTCTCAGGGCTAAACGCTTGATACAGGATCCAATTCTACAGCGGCAGAGGGAACTTATGGAGACTAAGAGATGGATTTAATGCAATGTTGAATCCTTTTAACGAGACGGAATTGAGCATCTGAAACTAAAGGTCTTGTTATGGTATCTAATCCTACTTAAAGAAACAGGATTTTGGGGTCTACGTGTTTATTTTAACGTTTATATTAATCCTACTACACAAGAGGGGATTTAGGTGCTCTTAGAGGATGGATTTAGTATTTGATTCTGCTTCAGTTGATAGGATTTTGCGTGCTAAGACGAAGGATTTCATATGGTTTGTAATCCTATTGAAAGTGATAAGATTTGGGATCTGAGAGTAAGAATTGAGGTCTCTGAGTCGAGAATCTGGCAGTGTGTGGTAGTGTGGTTGTGGTGTGTGGTAGTGTGGTTGTGGTGTGTGGTAGTGTGGTGTGTGGTAGTGTGGTTGTGGTGTGTGGTAGTGTGGTTGTGGTTGTGGTAGTGTAGTTGTGGTTGTGGTTGGAGAGACGGACAAACACAGACATGTAGAGACAAATATCGAGACACAGATTTGCGAGCTAAAATCCTAAGCCATTTCATTGTGTTTTATTTCCATTTATAAAATGAAGACGAATTTTCAGCATTAAAACATCATAATTTTCTCGTGATAATTTGGCTTTTCTTTCGGCTATTTTGTCATTTTTCTTGACTCATAATCTCCCCAAAAGTAGTGATGAAAGCTGCTGATTCACGTTTTGGGGGTCGAAAGTTCGTAATTTTAATAAGTAGTTTATTTAATGACGATAAAAAAAGAAAAAGAAAAAATATATATATATATATATTTAGGTGTTCGGATAATATGAGTATTTTTTAACCGATTTTACGACAAGATGAATTTGGAACTAAAATTACTTTAAATTTTCTTGAAGAATTTGGTGATTATTTGTTGTCAGATTTTCGATTATGTTCAAAACTTCGCTGATTCAGATTTTTGGGGTCAGAGATTTGTCATTTTATGCTGAGTGTCGATGTATTCAGTATTAATTCCTATTTCTACTCCAGTAAATATCCCATTTTTTGTACCATATATTTCAATTGATTAACACAAATAAAAGGAATATTTGATGAATTGTAAATGAAGGAAGCAAAGTTTTACCTGGTGAATAATTAGAACATTGAAATTATTAAGAAATTAGTTTATTATAGGCGATGAAAAATCTGTAGACGTCCGCCAGGTGTGGGAGCCCGTGAGACAGCATCAGCCCATCCGCGCTCTGTGAGGGTCCGGGCGGTACTGAGGTGAGGGCCAAGGTGTTCCCCCGCCAACACCGACACACTCCCACCCAAGGTAGGTAGATACCTACCTTGCTCCCACCTTCCCAAAATTACACCAATTCGTAATTTTGGATGAGTTTTATGACCGCTATTTTGAAGATGTTGATCCTGTACAATATTAATTTAGTGTATATATTAATGATCAGGTAAAACAAGAGCTGTATTGAGGTGCAGTAAGAGGTACTTCATCAGTCTTTAACTATACTTTCCGTCGCGAAATTTTAATCATGCCAAATGATGACGTCACGGCAGTAAGCACGTGTGCAGGGGCAACAGGTGAACTGGGCATCAGTGGGCACCCTGCAGTGATCGTCGCCAGGCGCAATTCGCCAGACTGGTGGAATAATTTATTTCCAAACTTGGAACAGGTGAGATATAAACCAGTTTCTTCTGAGAAACAAAAGTTTTATATCGCAAATTTACGTTAATAATGTAGGATATGTGTATAATGGTATATAAACACCGTCTCGTGAAGACACTCGTCATATACTGAGGACAGATGTACAGTACATTGTAATGTTGCTATTATAAAGATGTGTTTCTGTGGGCAGGGTGGAGTGGTCGGCCCGGGCACACGCTGTCCTCGTCCACAAACTTGAGCATCAAAGTCAACAGTTAAGTGAGAGAGAAGAGCGAGCTTCAGCCGACGTGTAGCGCCACCTGACTTATAAAGATAAATAACAAGAAATTAAATGCTTGAGGAGATAACATGGAAGAAATTATCTGATGGAGTTAATTAAATTGCAAACATTTGTCAGTAGATGTTAATGTTGTCAGAGGTGATCCGAGCACAGGCAGGGAAGATGGCGGAGCATGGCGGCCTCCAGCGGCGAAGACTCGACCATGAGCGTCCACACTGTTCCTCCAGCAGCGCAGCCTCGGAGGAGAAGTATGGTCTGCGTCCCAGAACTATCATCAAGAGGCTACAGCAAGAAAGAGTTCGTCAGGAGGTTCCCAAGAGGGCGGCGAGGCCCAAGTCGAGGCCGGCGCCGCTGTCCAAGTATCGGAGGAAGACTGCCAATGCCCGAGAACGTCACCGAATGAAGGAAATAAACAACGCGTTCGAATCTCTTCGTAAAGTTCTTCCTGACGTCATGGAAGTTGAGGCAGCTTCGTCTTCCCTGACCAAGATCACGACCCTCCGCCTCGCTGTCAACTACATCAGGACCCTGTCTCACCTGCTGGAGGGCGGCGGTGTCTCCTCTTTAGAGAACTCCCTCTTAGAGAACTCCCTGCAGCAGTCCCTGCAATGTTCTTTAGAGAACTCCCTGCAGCAGTCCCTGCAATGTTCTTTAGAGAACTCCCTGCAGTGTTCTTTAGAGAACTTCCTGCAGTGTTCTTTAGAGAACTCCCTACAGCGTTCCTTCTGCAGGACGACACCTCCACCAGACAACACCGTCACCGCCTTCCACTACCAGTATTCGACGCCGCCCCTGAGCCAGCATTTCCTCCCTGAGGCGCCTCATTTTTCGAGTTATTACTCCACCTCCAGTCACAACTCAGTCACCAGCTCGCCCTCCACAATGCGAGGATCACTCGGCAGTGCCAGCGACCCCGAGAACCTCCTCTCCGACGACTCGGGTCTGTTGGAGGACAACCTCGATGTCTTCCATGACATCCCCACCTTGAGTGTTGCTGATCCCCTCGACGTCCTCCTGGGAGCTGAGAGGGACGCCCTTGTCTTCACCACCGAGCTGTGTAACTAACACAGATTCTCACTTACCTGAGACTGAAAAAGTCAACGAAGTTATACAGCAGCAGTGAAAAGTTGTGTAGAATGTAGATCTTGACCTCAGTATATAAGGAGACTGTACTCTGAGGAACAGTGTCCCTAATACTGAGTTATGTGTACTGTACGTGTATCTGTCATGTATGGAGGTGTGTAAGTGTGTGTACCTAGTCAAGGGAAAGGTTTGTGTTTACGTGTTGGCAGACAGCAAGAGGCAAGAGTGTTGTGCGACAGACTATTGTACTCACAGTTAAGTAAAATCTGCCCGACAGTTTTTCAGACACTTTAACACTCCCTTAAGATAAGAACCGTAGAATACTGTATACATATGACCCGTCAACACAAGCAATGCTAATCTACTGTGCCATGGTGTGTCCTGGTAACGTTTGTCACATGTGTCTGGTAACGTTTGTCATGGTGTCATATTCCTGTTAACGTTTTATATACCATCCCATAGAAAACGTTAATCACAAGGGAACTATTCTATTTAGATGCGCAAAATGTCATCAACTATATACTCAGCTATTCTTACGTGTCAAAACCATAGTTATAAGTCAATATCTTTAATAAATGTACAAAATGTGTTCTTATATTCCGCTCAAATTTTTACTCTATTGTTTTATAATAAATAATTAATGAATATCTATATATATTTTACCTCATAGATGCCCGGTAAGAGGATTGACAGCACACAGTTTAAAGGTACACGTAACATTAAGATTCCTCCCTCGAGTCTCCCTGCAGCGTTCAGTGTTATCTCTAGTCCTTGGGCTGTTGCGGTGTGTTCAATAGTCTTAATTCAACTCGAGAGAGAGACATCTCGATCTTATTTGAGAGAGAAAGACACAGACAGACAGATATCTTGATCTTATAAGAGAGAGAGAGAGAGAGAGAGACGCGTAGATCTTCTTATGTTTACAAAAAGTCGTTCTAATATACCAGAAGCAGCTTAACTTGTCCCCCTGGCGGCCATGCTCTGAGAACACATCAGAATTATTGTGGGATTATAACGTAAACATCTATTTTGGTTTGAACATTGCTGTATCTTATGAGGCTTCACAATAATACAACTATCTGATTACTTTTTTGTTTAACTCGATCTGTTGCGGTGGTAAGATACACAAATATTTTCCAAGGTTCCGGAATAGTCAGACGAGTGTTGTATTTATTGCTTAACCTTTAGGGCACTGAAGCACTTGGGAACGATCCAATGTTTTTTTGTAAGATCTAAACCTAACCAGGTCTTTCATCAAAGGATTCAGAACCTAAATAGTAGCATAGATTGTCACACTGAGGTCCTGACGACGCTGAAACAGTTAGGTACGATTTACTGCTATTTATAGGGTTTAAACCTACCTAGGTCATTCATCAAAGGATTCAGAACCTAAGAAATAGCATTGAACACCACACCGAGGTACTGACAACTAACAACAACATCCTCGCTGCTACCAACTTTACGATATTTATACTTCTATTAATCTGCTAATCCTGACGCTAAGGATTTACGAATCAATAAGTCGCTGATCCTGACTCAGGGGATTTATGAATCAATAAATCGCTAACACCTGAAGCTAACAGAGACAAACTACCGATTTACCAACAGATCAAACATACTCTCGCTCTCCTCCAGCCCCTCAAGTGCTCTCAGTATAAGTGAAACCGGTGAGTGTCTTGACATCCCACTTATATTCGACGCCACAATGTAGGACTATATAGCTATGGTTAATAATAATCTCTCATTACTTGGCCAATATCTCCTTCTAAATCAATATAGATGTAATTCCTTTATACCTTTCAACCTCTTCTTGTTGCCATTGTTAATCATACCAGAAATATATGATAAATTACTCAATAACACCAGGCTGTTAATGGTGTCAGTCCCACAGCTGCCACACCTACCTGGCCTCACATAGATGACGCCCCACAAATTCTTGACCTCACATAGATAGTGCTAGCCAGATGTTGACAGTATCCAGGTAATTTTTATTCACATCTGTACATTGATTATGACTTTGTGTTGATGTGTCATTGTGTGTACCCTCTTTATCTGTGCCTGTACCTGTATCATAAGTGTTGATTCTGATCCATGGAATTAAAGTAGTAGTAGTAGTAGTAGTGGCGGCGAAGGTGTAGCTGTTGGGGGAGGCTGGAGGCCACGTGAAGTAGTAGTAGTAGTGTCATGGTCACGTTGACTGTTAGTCTGTTGTAACTAATGACTCTTATTAAACTCCACGACCGCAAAACATGAGAGGGTAGCTGTGTTCGCTATCCCCTAGAAGAGACGTGTTTTTCCCATTCGATGTTTACAGTCATGATCCCTCCCAGTAAGTCCCAGTAAGTCACTGCGTTGTTATACCATTCTCTCCTGACAAGCTCAATCTTGAATTACTCTGTGTAAATCAACTTTAGTAATTCGCCAGACCTTTGTCAACTGAGGGTCATCCTTGAATGTGTAACAGTTAGTTTGTTTGTAATTCCTGTCATTGCGTGAGTAGCAATCGCTGGCAACTCAGGAGTATATATACCATGGGACCGGGCAGAGAGAGCGTCCCGTGATGTCTGTTCTCCCGTTTGTCCCCAGGTATGTGACAGTGTTCTCTAGCCATTCAGTTTGATTTAGTCAATATAGTGAATTATCAGTGTTCATGCTTTAACAGTTGAATTGTCATTCACCCAGTGTAAGAAGTAATATAACGTAAATGTCGCTGTCGTTTCCAGGCGAGAGATTTGTTGTGATTGTGTTGTCATCATGCTTCCCAGTCCCTTGCCTCCGTCCCGTGACGTCTGCTCTCCCGTTTGTCCCCAGATCCAATTTGTGGTTCTCGGATCACCCCACGATAGCCCCGGAGCCTGTAGATTCCCAGCAAGGAGCAATATATCGACGATGTCGTTGATTCAACATGATTGAAACGGCAGGTCCACCTCGTGGGCCGAGGGCCCCAGACCCGCCTCGTGTAACCGACCACAACAGCAGTCGTCAGTTGTTAGAGGCGCCAGTGCTATACCCTGGGACATGCCTTGGAGTTATGGTTCACAGTGTGGTTGTATGTGTTTGTTAATAATTACCCCATGTTGGGTAGTGGACCCATGTCGGTGTTTGTATCAGTATTAACGTGTTGGTAGTGCATCTCCTATGCACTACCAACAGTCTGTGAGGTATCATATGCCAGTTGGTCTTATAACTGGATGTAATGAGAAGTACCTAGTAATGTGGGAGAAGTAAAGTTGTCCACTTGGGACTATGAGTAAGTTTTGTAACTGTAATGTAATGTACCACTAGAAGATGTGGGTGAAGTAGAAGTACCCACTTGGAGTGGCAGTAAAGTAATCTGCAAGGAGTTGCCAGGTAACTATGTAATGTAATGTGACACCAGTAAGGGTGTGCACGGTAAGAGTGTAATATCTGAGTAATTGCTGTTGAGTAAATAAGAAAATAAGGAATTAAGTAAATAAGAAATACGGAGTCTGCAATAAGCCCAGGAGTTGAGCCTGGTAGTTATATGTTAATAATATATCTTTTTCCCTTTGATTTCATATTAATAAACTTGTTCTTTGAGTATTTTAGGAGTATTCATTTCTCCCACAGTAGTCACCTTTATTTCCGTCCAAGTGACCCTGATATCAGAATTCACTACCCATGTGCCCTAGACCCTCGTCCATGCTACCAAAAAAAAAACATGTGAAGGAACTAAGTAAGAGTAAGAACTAAGACAAGAGAAGTAAGAGTAAAAGATAAGGCAGAGAATGAGTAGAGAGAAACAGCCCCCTGTTACATTGGGGCAGCTGGTGGCAAATTGTTAATCCCCCCTTACAGTAGTAGTGTAGTAGTGCTGCCAGATCAGTGAGTATCAGTGTACGTCAGTGAGTATTAGTGGAGTGAGTCAGTCGTGTTACGTCAGTGAGTATTAGTGGAGTGAGTCAGTCGTGTTACGTCAGTGAGTATTAGTGGAGTGAGTCAGTCGTGTTAGACTATTTGCTGTTATGATATACTCTGTGTGTGTTTTCCCAGAGTGTTTCATCTCGTTCATAAATAATGTCTGGCCGGTGTTCAGGTGTACAACCCTCTAGGTAACACACAATTAAGGATTATTACGAATCTGAACACCTGTAGCTATCATATGTAAGCAGGTACCATCTCTCGCAGTCAACACACCCACACAATGCCCAGCCAGAGTCTCAGTAATCTTTAATGCCCAGTAGTACTCAACACAACACACTATTTACCGATTGATTTCGATCTGAGGTAACATTGATCACCGCAATCGAGACCATGTTACCTGCCCTTCGCTCTGATTTATGAACTGTCGAGTGCTGGGTGCAGGAGAAGCCAGACTTGAATCCTCGCTCGTAAACTTCTCGCTAATGTTAGTCAAACACTTATGGTGACGATATATTGTTCTTATGGTACTCTACACTTACCAGACATTGTTGTGGCGCTGTACACTTACCAGACATTGTTGTGGCGCTGTACACTTACCAGACATTGTTGTGGCGCTGTACACTTACCCAGACATTGTTGTGGCGCTGTACACTTACCCAGACATTGTTGTGGCGCTGTACACTTACCCAGACGTTGTTGTGGCACTGTACACTTACCCAGACATTGCTTGCAAGCGTCCACTTACCCGCAGATACTGCCGTGGCGCGGCACATCGCACGCGACATTACGCGCCGCATACCGGCCCATATTGCCGTAAGCCGTACACTTACCCAGACATTGCTGTGGCGCTGCACACTTCACTCCAGATATCGTCGCGCCGTCCACTTACCCAGACATTGTTGTGGCGCCGTGATGTCTACTGTATATTGCCGTGGCGCTAAAATACCTTCACCGGCATTGTTGTGGTGCCGTCCACTTCACCCAGACATTGTTGTGGCGCTGCACACTTGCAAGTGACATTGTTGTGGCGCTGTCCACTTACCAGACATTGTTGTGGCGCTGTACACTTACCCAGACATTGTTGTGGCGCTGCACACTTACCTCCAGACATTGTTGTGGCGCTGTCCACTTACCAGACGTTGTTGTGGCGCTGCACACTTACAGACGTGTTGTGGCGCTGCACCTTACCCAGACGTTGTTGTGGCGCTGTCCACTTACCCAGACGCCATTGCTGCACACTTCCAGACATGTTGCGTGGCGCTGTACACTTACCAGACATTGTTGTGGCGCTGTACACTTGCCCAGACATTGTTGTGGCGCTGTACACTTGCCCAGACATTGTTGTGGCGCTGTACACTTACCCAGACGTTGTTGTGGCGGCGTCAATACTCTTTATAACTACATCTAGATCACTCTCTTTCACTGGCTCACCTTAACGCGTCTTATAACCAACATGGACACTTTCTCCTCGTTACTTTATCAGTTCGAGGAAAGTATTCGTGTAACATCAGTAGAGACAAGACTCAGGTGTATAAACCACAGGTGTACTAATTGGCACACGGTGACAGTATCATACAGGTGTTACTTTACCACAGGAAGGTTAGGTTATTATAGCTTAAACCTGAAACCATAATTGGGTAGTGGTAAGGCCTCTGAACACTCTGCTCTGCCCACCTAACTCAGACCCGCCTCTGGTGTACAACTTGAAACAATCACTAAATTGTCTTTACCTGACGTGTACATTTGTAATGGTATCATAGCCAGTACCATTGTTTTGATTTATGGTGGTGGTCATTACCTGGAGGGCTGTGTCTCCTTCCCTTTCCCCCTCCCTCCCTCTCCCTCCCTGCACCTCCCTCCATCCCTCTCCCTCCCTCCCTCCCAGAGTAATAAATTGAGCATAAACTACTGCACCCATGGGCCCTACAGGCCTGGCGCTCCAAGGGGCCATCCCAGGGGTGGTGGACACCCCAGGAACCCTCCCAGGTGCCGCGTCGCCCCCAGGGTGCCCCCCAGTGACGACGGAGACCCCAGTGGCCCTCGCAACATCAGCGGCATCCTCAGGCGCATTCTCAGGAGCGACGGCACCCTGACTGGAGCAGCGGAGCCTGCAGGGACCTACCCAGGGGCAGCGCAGTGCAAGATCTTATAATTCCTTCTAGTTTATTAGCATTATTCACCTTCTTCTCATAATGACCCAAGGATTGGATTTCGTTGTTAACAAACTGTACTGTACACACCCAGTAGTCTCAGGTTGTTTACACATTTGGTCTCAGTTGATGATGTTTCGTTGTCGTGTTGGGACGTGTGGTGCGCCTCCTTACTGTACAGTAGGTACGACCAAGATACATCCTCTGTATTGTATCCTCTTCACCACTGATCGGCTCGTTAGGCTCTTGGCCACTCGGTCAAAATCCACATCATGACCTCATCTTCCGAAATGCAAGGCAGGGGCGGATCCGGTGGGGGTTCTGGGGTCCGGATCCTCTCTTTTATCAGAAAATTGCAATACATTTTCTTTAATGCAGTATTGTACTCAAGCGTTTTTGTACAGTAAAAAGTAATTACTATTGATCTTAGAATATTTCCTAATATCAAGTGCACATGGCTTCAAAATGCCCATGATATTGGTCAGATTAAAAAAATATATAAATCTTGGGGGGCTTACAGCGCCCCCAGCTTGGTGGGCTCGTTGTGCTCATGTTCCCCCACCCGTAATAAATTTGGTGTCAAAGCTTCACACACAACAGGGTCATCACAGGGTGTAAAATCCTTCATATGGATGACCTTTGTCCATTGATCCTGACTATCCTTGTCTTTTGGGAAGCGGAATACAGAGGTATACTGTAGTTTGAGTTGCGGCCTTTCCGTGGCACCTGCAATAAAGTAGTGTTGTCACATACTCGCAGGGCATATAAAGAGCAGTGCAGTGTGGTAGTCTGGGTGAAAAAGAGAAGATAGTTAGCTACAGTACAAGGAACCATTGATAAAATTCCTCCTATTTTACTCAAATATGCAAGATGTGCTGAAAACTTTATAGAGAGCTTTTAGCAGACCACCCAATCAGTCTGGAGAAGTACACCTTTTCACATATCCGTTGAGACATTGTCACATAACTATTTGACAAATTTCATAACCGAATGACAGAACACATATCGAATGACAATCTAAAATAACTGTTGGTGGTATGTCATTCTCCAGTTGTTACATTCTCAAACTATATGTAGACTGTCGGTTTATTGTTCACGTCTGTCAACTTCAAAACTTATGTCAATCACTTCCGTTAGCATGAAGGAACAGTTATTTTAGATTGTCATTCGATATGTGTTCTGTCATTCGGTTAAGAAAGTTGTCAAATAGTTATGTGACAATGTCTCAACGGATATGTGAAAAGGTGTACTGTACTTGGTTCATCATGATACATCTGTGGGGTACGGGTTATTTGGTTCACACTCAGGATGGGATGGAGAAAGGAAACTCACAATGTGCTCTCTGTATACATATTGTATTGGATGTACAGTGCAACTTGGTGCTGGGAAGTGGCAGCGTGGTTACAAGCGTGATGTAGAGAGAGCTGGTTGGTGAGGATGCTCAGAGGAGGACCAGCTTGTGGGTCGCCATGCTCGCCGGCGGGAGCGAGGGCCGCCAGGCAGCGGCGGAGGAGGTGGTGTTGCTTGCTGCGGCTGTAGCTAGAAGAAGGGAGAGGTCACCACGAGGTCAGGTCTTTTATAGCGGAGGTAGGCGTGGGTAGATAGTTGACCTCCGCGATGTATGGCGGCGCTGGTTGACCCAGACCACGAGGCACACACTGGGGAATTCGCGGGGTCGGCTATTCAGCGACAAACAGCGTTTGTAGGGGGACAAACCCACTACAGTACTCTCCCCTTCCCTCCAGGCGGTGTAGGAGACTTGTTGTCTGCAGGGTTGCATGGCACATGTGAGGCAGAACGGGTGGTGCATGCCACATGTGAGCCATAACGGCGAGGGCGTGGATGAGCCGGCCGCTAGAGGAGACAACTGTCTAGATACACAATATCTGTGGGAGTAGAGAGGGAGAAAAAGGGTGTGTGGAGGCGATGAATGTTGTGCTTCCCTCACGGCAGGTACAGAGTCGTCAGATGCGCCTGTTGGGGTGTGTGGGCCTGGGTCAGGAGCAGGGGATGCGTCAGCAGAAGCGGATGAGGGCTCGTGATAGCAGCAGGGTGCAGAACAGTAGCAGGGAGTACCTGAGGGAGAAAAGAGGGGTGTGTGGGTCCGCACTCAGGCGCATAGGCCGCGTCGGGAGCAGGGGCTGCATCAGGAGGAGCGGCAGGGGGTACTACTGGGCCGGGGGCGGCGTCTGAGGCAGGACGGGTGTGTTGGGGTCCGTAGGACGTGGTGCTTGGGGCAGGAAGAGGAGCGGCTGTCTGCTTAGAGTAGCAGAGCTGCTCTAGGGTGTCTAACCTGCGGTGTAGAGACAGTAGCTGTAGAGCCGATGAGAGCTGCTTCTGTGTGGATAAGCCAGTCTTCCATGTTGCTTGAAGACTGGGAGAGTGATCAGTTTCTCCTCCATCCTGTGTGAGTGCGTCACTCCGGGGGTCACCATTTGTGGGGTATGTTATGTTTGGGTTCACACTCTGGATGGGATGGAGAAAGGAAACTCACAATGTGCTCACTGTATACATATTGTATTGGATGCCATGGAAACAGCTGACAGTTTATCATCAGCCTTACACCATGCAGCTCTGTAAGTCAAGTACCTTTCCTTTTACCAACATTCAAAGTGTGAATCAATCAAGAGAATAAAAGTATCTTTTTGTCATGGTCTTATCAGCGAGTGAAATAATGTACTCGGAGCCGGCCTAGTAAATCTAAGTGGTTAATTACCCATGTTGACAAACTCCCCCCTTACAGAATTACTTTTATACCATGCAAACTGTAAGTCAGTGTATGGATCAGTTCCAAATAAAAGTAGGTGCAATTATCTGCCCGTATTTGTGATCCCAATCTTATTATAGTGATTGGTTATGACAAAGTATAATCAATAACTTAGATGGATGTTGGAAATTAATGGAATTCATTAAATCATAATTTATCAAGTATATAACACATTCAATGTCAGAAGTGGAGTGTAATACTATGTAGTGATACACCATAATGTCCTGGGTGAGTAACCAGTGTTAAGGTACCTGGAACTCTACAGTAAGAAAAACGTATTCTTGCATTCTTCTGTAACACAAAGTAGCCTTGTTAGCTATCAAAGTAAAAGTTATTCTCATAATGACAAAACCATTCAATAATGGCTGAGGAAATGCTAGCTGTAAGACTAGTAATAAAGTGATATTTAAATTGTTCAACTCGTATACAAGACCCCACTGGAGTATTATATTCAGACATGATAACCACACTGCACAGTATATTGAGTATTAATGTTATAATGATTACGGTAAAGCTCTCATATTGAGAGTGTTAAATATCAGACTTTATTTATTGTTATATATTTTTCTTCCTTCCTAGGCTTTGTATTTCTCTAACTTGGCCTCCTCCACCAGGGAGACTCTTCTGTTTCTTGACTAGTTAGCTGGGAGAAATTGATGGAAATACAGCTCCTGTAACAAGCAAAATATTATATTTGCTATAAAGAACTTGGGCGAAGGTAGGTTAGTTTTATTGTGTTTGGTGAATTAAGGTTAAAGGTGATATAAGAGAAAATTGCTGTCTGTGATGTTTCCTGAGAGTGACCGGGAGAAATATTATTGACGTCAAATGATTTGTAAATTATTTTTACTCCATTAGAGGATAATTTTTGTTTTAATTTTTTTTATATACTTGAAGGTTTTGGTATATACATATTTTAAGCAAGAACTTCCAGAGTCTCGTAAAATGTAACAAAAATGAAAGTGAAGCAAAAATGCATTTGTTTTATGACGTCATCGGTGTTATCCGTCTGAGGCCCAGGAAGTTATTAGCAGCAGATGTTTACATTGGGAGGTTTACATCTCTTGACCTGTGGTTATTGTTTTACTTACTGATGATGGAAGGTGTTGGTTCAGAAGTCAGCCACAAGATAAGGGTGAGTAAGACCTTTCTGGAACTAGACCTGATAATTAAGGACTGTAGGAATTAAAATAGTCTATAAATCGATGACGTGTTGAGTGGGTCCAGACCTTTAACTCTTCACTACAGGGACGCCACTAGTGTTTGATCGTTTAACGCCACACGACTTTGTTTAATTAATAGAGGACCCCATGCACAAGGGGTTAAGACCAGGTGTTACCTCTGGGGGCCAAGACCTGATACACTGTTACCTCTGGAGGCCAAGACCTGATACACTGTCACCTCTGGAGGCCAAGACCTGATACACTGTTACCTCTGGGGGCCAAGACCTGATACACTGTTACCTCTGGGGGCCAAGACCTGATACACTGTTACCTCTGGGCTAAGTTATTCTTGCTCAAAATAAGACTTAGGGTTCATCTTATTTATATTAAATCATAGTATAATATGTAATAATAATATTCACTGGAAGTGTTCATGTGTTTATAAAGAACTACGATGCTGATGATGGGAAATGGCCTTATTAATGTGTATCACTAAACTAATAATACTATTACTAAAACTTTAAACCATAATGTTATTTGTCCTATTTTAGGGTTATTATTATTATTATTATTATTATTATGCTGTTGTTTCTCAGTGAGTTTGAGGTAGAATAAGTATTTGCTTTACTCTTGAGATAAAAAATCAGTTTTCTTTAATAGATATTTTTTGTTAGGCAGCTGGTAAACCTGAACCTTCTTCTATAGCTATGACAGGTAATGGAAATACTGTACAGTACTGTATTATGGTTTTAACAGTATAACAAATTAGGAACAAATCAAGCTACTTTGTCAATCACTGCTAGAGAACCCAATACCATACAGTAGAACCTCATTAAATTGTGAAGGTGGCTCCCAGAATTACCGTGAAATAGTGAATCACGATATGATGGTCATTGTATTTCAATAGTAAATATAGATAACGGAACGGAAGCCCACAAAATACAGTACTACTATACACTAGAAAACACGTTTAAGGTGATGGGCTCACACCCCTGATGGCACCGCTTCCCCCGTGGCCGAGATCAAATCTTTTAGATATGTATTTATCGTATTGCTTTTCTAAGAAACATTAAAAAATAAATTATTCTGTTGTTACACTCAAGAGGATGCTAAACAGTTGATTACAACATACAGAATACCTTTCATATGAGATTCACTTCCGTTAATTTCTTTTTCAGTCTGCCATAAAGGCAAAGCTGGTGGAGCTGGGAACTTATGTTGGTAAGCTGACGGATCAGTGTGTTTTGTTTAATAATAAACTAAAATGGCTCTTTATTTTCTCTTTTTTTTTATACTTTTTCCATGATTCAAAACTTCTTCTCATCTTTAGCCCATTCTCCTCTGTATATTGGTTATATATCACTATCTTATTTATGTGTGGCACTGTTCATGACCTGATATAATAACATGATCTGTCTTTGTTCAGATGAAGAGTTGCCAGACTACATCATGGTGCTGGTGGCAAACAAGAAGACCAAAGACCAGATGGATGATGACTTGAGTCTGTTTTTGGGCCACAACACAGAGCGTTTTACCTCCTGGCTACACCATGTCTTACAGAAGTTAAATGCCGCTGCACTCCTACAAGGTTGGTATTGTATAATCATCATCATCTATCACTGTGCTTTAGTCCTTTATGAAGATACTTAAGCAACTGTGAGGCTCGTACACTTGATCTAGTCTAAGTATAATAATAAGGTTTTAGTATTAATCACTATAATGCCACGCGGCGTTATTACGCGAAACCGTTTATCTCATTGGCAGTTACATCAACACAGCAACAGCCAGAAGAACCAAAGAAAAAGGATATTGAAGAGGAGAAGAGGAGAGAGAGAGAAGATGAGAAGAAACGGGAGAGGGACGAGGAGAAGAAACGGGAAAAGGCAGAAGAGATGAAACGGATGAGAGATGAGGAAAAGAGGAAGGTGAAGGAGAAAGAGAAAACAGACAAGAAAAGAAAATCAAGTGAGAGAAAAGTTGAAAGGAAGGAAAAGAAAGTGAAAAAATCAACCGAGTCGCCAGATTCCCAAGACAAAGCAGCCAAGGAGAGGAAAGCTGCCAATGAACCAGTGAAACAAGTCAAGGTCAAAGATTCCGCGGTAAAGGAAAAGGAAAGCAAGGAGAGAGTTCGAACACACTCGTCCACCAGGGAGGAACCAACCTCCACAGACAAGGTGTCGTCGTCAGTAGCAGCGGTCGCAGCACCCGAAACGGCTTCGACTAATCCGGAAAAAAATCCTCGGAAGCTGAAGTCACACGTCAGGGGGAAAGTGTCTTGTGCCGAGATATTTCGGGCAGAAGCAATGGGTGGCGGAGAACAGCTGAAAGAGGAGGAGGAAGAAGACATTGTGGAAGACATGTTGGTTCTAAGGGCGGATGTCGGTGAGTATTACTGTATTTACCAGTGACCAGGAAGAAAGGAAAGTTAAAATTTGGGTTAGGTTAAGTGAGGTGATTTTTTTTCACTGATTTTCTTCCTGGATCTCTATATCTCTATTTAGCTGCCATCGCCCACCCTAAGGATAAGATGTAGAAATGTTGTGTGAGTGCGTGCTTCATTTCCTAGGTACAGCCTTGCCATTGTACTTTGAACCCTATAGAATGAAGCTTAATACACCAGTCTATTAAAAGTGCAGGTTCCTTCACAATAAGTTAGCTACAAAGTGGTTTAGAACATTATATTACCATCTAGCTCTCTGGTAAACAAAGAATATTAATTTTGCTCATAATTTCAGACCCTTAAAGTTAACAGCACACACTTACCACTTTTTCATATGCATTTTTTTTCAGATGAATTGGGTCTTGAACTGGAGGAAGAACCAGTACCTAAGAAAATCAAATTGGAACAGAGACAGAAAATCACTGCTCCCAGAATTGAGGGTCGAGTGGAAGTGAAGACTGAGGCAAAAATAGACTCCAAGGTTGAAACTAAACAGAAAATAAAATGTAAACCAGATTCCGGCCCGGCTCGTGTGTCCGCCAAAGAAAGATTAGGAGCGGCTGTGTTTCCTAAGTCCGAACAGCCAAGAGACAAGGTATAGTACAATATTTTGTGGTGTTTTGAACTAGTTTAGTCATGAGGAGGAAGAGTACGATGTTATATTGGTGTAGGAGGAAGAGGAAGATTATATAAAGTGTATTAGAAGTGAAAAAATTAATGGCTGACTATATTATCATTACACAATCTCATTTGTTTTATGTTGCTGTTTCATGATACATGTATATGGTACTGGTGTATAAATTATAGGAATATTGATGTGTTATATGGAAGCTTTTAAATCAATTGCATGTTCTCTCTGATCGTCTTCATATTAAAGTTAAATGTATTCGTGATTCCAGATCAGTTTTATTTATTTATTTATTTTTAAATTTTAAACCTTGAAAGTTTGAGTTAATACTACATATTTAATATTTATTTTTTGTTCAGCCCTCCATATTGGACCGCCTCGGTAGTGCCCCATCAAGTGGAAGGCGTGTGATCAACCTGCGAGAAGAATCAAGTTTTCCCCCTCGCCCAGAGTCTAGCAGTAGTAGCAGCAATACAGGCATGGCTCGGGCAGTGTCTAGTGCCATATCTTCTGCTCATAGATCTGTGTGTGCGTTGCCTTCCTCTTCAAGCTCAACAGGCAAAAAATTAGAGGTTGGTTAGCTAGACAGACTCTGGTATCCATGGAGCTGACTGATACAACTGAATAAAGTTTGTTTTATGTTTTTAATGTAATCTTTAATACGTTGGATTTCAAATTTTCACATTAATGCAATTTCTCGTAGGCACGTGTGAGACCTCTCATGTCCAAACAAGTTGAATCTAGTCATGAAGGATCGGGCCGGGAAGCGTCTACAAGAGATGGGGCTCAGAGTCGAGAAGAGTCGTCCAGAGAGAGTTTTAGTCGATCCGTCTCAGGTCGTGTCGTTTCAGCTGTTGGAGCCGTGTTGAGGAGACCGCATAGTCAGGTACACTAAACTTATTCCTGTTTTTATTTGTGGTTTTAGGACCTAGTTAAAAAACATAGAATTCTGAATACTTTAGCTACATTAACTGTATTAAAGTAGTGAGAGGGCAGGAAATTTAAAATGCCATACATTAAAGCCTTCTAAAGTTATTACAGAACTTTGGTGTGGTGGGGGTGGTGTGGTGATGTGTGGTGTGGTGATGTGGTGTGATGTGTGGTGATGTGGTGTGATGTGTGGTGATGTGGTGTGATGTGTGGTGATGTGGTGTGATGTGTGTGTGGCAGGTTTCTCTGTTAAAACAAATCAAAAGAAACAATAAGAGTATGACACAGTAGGTAAAATAAATTCATGTAGCTGCCTAGATAGTTAAGTTTCATCATTAGTTATGTTTGTTTACATATTATTAATCCGACAAATATTATTGTTTTATCTTATTTGATTTAATATAATGATTGATTGTAGTAATTACAACCCTGGCAACACAACAGCTTAGGTCATGTCACCAATTATCTAAAATAATGTTTTCTCAGGTGAACTCTGACGAGGAGGAGTATGACCCTAAGAAACCTCAACTAAGTGGCATGGCAAGTAAGGTGGAGGTAAGGTGGAGACTAATTATTGGTCTATTTCAGTGGATTAAATTAACCCATTTATTGCCAGGGCACCGGTTGTCAGGTGAGTAATACAGTACAGTATAGTCAGAGGAGATGAGGACGTCTGAGTTTTTTATGACACAACAGCACAAAATTCTTACTCTACATCAGTGGTGATATATCTGTAGTGTTAATAATGTATCTTGTCCAAATAATGGCTCTTGTATTATTTCATGTTTTGGAATCACATTTATGTTTAGAAGTTGGTCTGTCATTTAGCGTAATCATTAATTTTATGTCTTAACTTGCTGTTGTAGGTCACCCCACGGCCGAGACGTCCTGGAGCCATACAGGCCAACACTGCTCTCATTCTACGAGCAATGGCTGATGCCCACAAATCAGTCAACAGGCCGTGTCGACGCTCAGCGGATAAACCAGAGGTGCCCCAGAAGAAACAGAAGGTAAAGTTAACAGCAGCAATTATCAGTACAGTGAAATGCTTCCTGTATTATGAGATGACTTGACCAAACTGAGGCATGTGAACTAACCTAACCTATCCTAATGATAAACTTTTTTTTTCTATAAATAGCCTTACATTTCTAGAGACTATTGACATTATGTTTACAGGATCCAGACTTGAACATAGATCCTGGGATAAAAAATAAATAAAAATAAAAATTCTACTACACATTACCTTAAAACTCTCTTGATGTACAGTAACAATCCGAACAGTTAAAGAAATTCATAAACAAATCAAACTTTACAATATAGAAAGAATTTACAACTGACTACCATGCAGTTTTAAGTCTAGGTCATTAGGGGGGGATATCTACTTTAACTAACTCTCTATATACTGCTAACCTTATCCAGTACTGTAATGGTATACTGGATAATGTAGGGCACATTTTAGACGCTGTTCACACGGCATCGCTCTCAAGTTGACTGACTCCTCCTTGCCCATGATAACATGTCCCAACATATCATACATACATCATCACTAAGTTTAACTCCTCTGCAGGGTAAACTGTATACACGAAGTTACAGAGAGAGAGAACAGGCCCGCCAGAAAGACATCCCCCCTCAGGAAGAAGCTCCTCCCACAGAAGATGAAGTCAGGATACGTAAGATAGCCATCACTGTACCTAATGCTACACGGAAGGAGAGCGAGAAGCAGCTGAAGGAAGAGAAAAAGGACAAAGAAGTTCCAGTGATGCCAGATATAATAAGTACAACTGAAGTCATAGAGAAAGATGAAGTCATAGAAAGTAGCAGTATTGTTGCTCAGGAGGAAGAGGAGTATGGGCCAGCTCTTCCAGGTAAGGAATCTTCTCTCTCGTTGACACATCAGGTGATCCATTTACCTCTAGTAATACAATGCATATACTGTAGACGAGTTACATTGACATAAATTGACATCACATATTGCAGTCAGGTCATGCATGAACCCTGTTTGTGTTAGTCAAATTCCTCTACACCTTTGCCCAATAAAGTTCTAAGTGCCATTGTGGGCTGCTCCTCCAAGACCCATTTTCCCAGGCAACTCACCCCAGAAGGAATTAATAGGTGAATGGGTACTAAAAACATGTTCTCTTGAGGTGGTTTGCACAAGGGAGATGAATACCAGAAGAGGTGTAGAGAGGTACTATAACTGGTGCACTGAGGAGAGGTGAGGCGAAGGAAAGGTGAAATAATCTTTTGACTGCTTTCCCTTTTACTTTATAATACAGGTACAGTATAAAAAAAAGTAATTATACTGAAAGATTAAAATTATTAACAATGGAATAACATTTATTTGTATTTTCAGATAATGGATATGGTTTAGAAGAAGTGGAGGAGGTGGAGGAGGAGGTGGTAGATGAAGGCATTGAAGAAGATCAACCCAATTTGCCCACTGTCTCCCAGCACCACAAACTTCACGCTGGTCCTGGGTATGACGACAAGTTGTGCTAGAAATGGGAACTGTATAGAGTGACAGTCTGTAATGCTAAACAAACCCAAAGTTAACTGATGTAGTTAGTTAGATGGAGGTGTCACATCTAACTAACCCTCAATATAATGAACTTTTCCCTCTATATACAGTAGTTCGTTAGATGAAGGTGTCATATTGTTCTGACCCTCTATATAATGAAATTTTCTATGTACAGTATAGTCTTTTAAATAGAGGCTTCACTGTATGGTTAGTGGTTTTTTACATGTGTACTACTGTATGTATATATATATATATATGTCGTCTTTCACAGAGTGGAGAACACCAAGTTTATTGTGACGCTGGAGGGTGTTGATACAGGTGTCTTCTCTGTCAAAGATGACCTCAGATCACGTCTAGGATCCCCACCTGCACCCACAGATAGTCTAGAGGTCGTGGAGGTATGTACTGTATAGTGCACTGATCCTTGTTACTGTCTCCTCTTAACTATTTACGGTACTTGACATCTGTTAACTTATTTCATAAGACTTAATTGTTGTAATAATTAAACTAAAATATTTTTTTATTTGTATAGTACCAGTATCACTTTTTTTTATTATGAAGCTTTTTTGTATGGTGTAAGAGAGTAATACTTTATCAGTACAGTAATGTCTCTTTTAGCCAGACTCCCTCAAACCCGGAACTCTCCGATAGCCGGAATTTAAATTTTTTCGGAAAATCCTTCCCAGAGCCAGAATTTTCCAGAAAATTCCAGCTTTCAGAACAATTTTCCAAGAGGTACATTTTCCGTAAAATTACGAGAAATTTGCCCGATACGTACCTGGAAAATTCCAGGGATGGGGGAGTTTTTCTGACTTTGAAAGAGTCGTCTCATTACTCGGAAATCTCTCATTCCCGGAAGAGCTCTGCACTGATTGTTCCGGCTAATGGAGATATCACTGTACTTTACTTTGATGCAGGTCTAGTTGTGTAAGGTATTAGGACTAAAGTGAAATTGCCAGAAATAATTACAATTGTTTTATTATTAGCACCAAAAAATAATATAGTTAGTAAAGGTGCATGTATATACTGGACCATGATGAGGCCTTGTGATTGATTTTTTTTAAAGGGATAAACCAGAAATGGGAACTTGTTGTGGAAGGGAAGTATTAAACCAAAACACAACTGTGATAGCTGAGAGAGTGGGTGTGTGTGTGCGTGCGTGCGTGCATGTATATATCTATGTGTGCGTATGTGCAAGTGCACTCATTAGTGTAGTGATATACAGTTGACCTTTTAAGTAATATCCTGACTTTATTTCTTTGTCTCATCAGGAATATATTGAAGAGGTGGAGGAGCTGGAAGAAGAGGAAGAAGAGACCACCATTGAAATTTGCCGCGAGACAATACAACCGGTTGTCGGACACAGTGCAGGTGTTAAATCTCGCCTCAAGGGTGTGGCCTCTGTTATGTCAGGTCTGCCAGATGGTATTACTCATATGTTTCTCCTTATCATAAATGCCATTCCATTATTCAGAACACCAACAGAGGACATATTATTTGTGTCCATTCAGTGAAGAGATAGACAAATTCTTTTCCTTATAGATCTGTCTTTCTGTCATTTCTCTGTCAAACAAATATAATAATCACATATCTTCCTCACTTCTGGTCTGTCTACTCTCAAACCTAATCTATATATATCTTGGTCTATATACATCTTGATCTATATACATTCAGGTCAAATACTTCAGTCATTTTGTCACTTGTTGCCTCTCACTGATTTAATGGATGGCTCTTATGTTTATTTGTATACTGTACTGTAGTCTGATGTCAATTTAGTGAGTGTGTCTCATTCTAGGTGTCTTGGTGCCTAATCTGATGCACATAGGTATCCCTTACAATATGGATGGGTTAAGTTCCTGAAATATCACTCATTAAGTGAAATTTTGTGTCACGAATAACAGAACATATGGGAAAAATAGGGTTCTGTTCCTCAATAATGAGAAAGCCCGAATATCGTACCCCCAAAAAACAAGAAGTTTGTTCACGAACAACAAATAAAACATACATAACTAATGATAAATAGTACAGAACTACTGTGATTTACTCCCTAACACATTAGAAACATTAATAAAATACAGTCTAGATTAAAATATGCAGCTAAAACCGTGAAGGAAAAGCTAATTGAAAGTCGTATATGGGGGGGGCGAAGCTTTCATTAAAGGAAAAAAGAGGTGATAATTTAGGAAATTCTTATAAACGAATTTTCGTATTTCGAACGTTCATACTGTATAGCGAGGAATACTTGTATATACTGTGCTCATAAGTCATAACTTTTGAGTTTGTTATCATTCCACCATTTGTTGTAGAATATTCATGTATTGTTATCATTATTAATTTCTTAAAGATAAAGCGTTATTTGTATTCAATTCACAGGTAGTAATAAAGAGCGATGTAGATTCTGGCCGTTGTGCAAAGCTGGAGAGTCATGCCCCTATCATCACCCTACAGTTCAGTGCAAGTAAGTGCCTTTTTTCTGTTCTTTATAGGAGATCTAATTTTATGGATTGTGTTACATTATGGTGTTAATTGTATGTCCATTTAATATTTGGTTTTCATTCAGTAACTTTGATTTTCTTTTTTTCTTTTATGGGTGTTGCTTGTAGGAAGATGCAGGTTGGGTTAGTATCATGGAACTATTTTCATTATTTTGTGAATTGTTTCCATAAATAAAGTATTAAGTTCCCTAACATTCTTTACTTACTATGTCCAGTCAATAGTTTAAGAGGTTTATTTATTCATGTGTGTATGTGTGAGAGAAAGAGTATTTACTGTATACAGAAAGAGAGTATTGATGTGATGTAGTGTTGCTCTTGAATCAACAAAAAGTAGAGATATTGAGAATGTGTTAATATTGTAATACACTTAAGAGTTAGAAGAGATACTACTACTGTACTTAATGTTATGATTTATTGTTTTAGGTCTTTTCCTACATGCAAGTTTGGTGATAAATGCCTGTACGTTCACCCTAATTGTTTGTTTGATGGAGCTTGTACCCGCATGGGCTGCCCATACACCCATGCCAGTTCTCGAAACTTGGCTCTTGCATCAGGTGAGTTACCTTCTTAGCCTACAAAAGTTATTTATGTAAAAAAAATAGTTAAAGGGTTATTTTTAAGGTATTTCTATCAGTTTAGTTAAATGGTTTCCAGTTGTAATGATCATTGCTAATGTTTACTAGTACTGTATTGTATAGACAGACTAGTGATAGAAATGTTAAAAAATTAATATTACAGAAACCTGGTCTCCTTCCCATGGGCACTAACCCCTTGTATTGTGTCACATACTGTAACTCTAGTGTTAAATAGACGTCTTTATTAATACAAGTGAATATTTATATATTTAACAGCTGTGGTGACTCAGAAGCACAAGATTGTTGCTCAAGCCCGACCATCAAAAATCAAGTGCAAATTCTTCCCTAAGTGCACTAACATGGCATGCCCCTTCTTACACCCAAAGGTAAGATAGTTTATGGTCATGCTTCTAATGTCCTTTTTTTTTTTCCACAGCCAGATGGGGAGGTAGGCAGGACAGGTTTCTCAGACAGGATATTCTAATTAAACCTAAAAGAAACATCATCATCATCATCTATCCCCAGCCATAAAAAACAAGGATTTCTCAAGCTCACTGTATCTTTTTGTATTTATTTCACCTTTATAATCATTGTCATCCATTAACTTTGGACCCCATCGTTTATTTGGGTTTCATCTGTTAGACTCTGTGTTACTCTTAGGAGAAAACAAGTTGTATATCATTTATTTTGGATGTATTTCAAATTTATTTGTTCCAGGGTTGTAGGCAGACCTATTCTGTTTGGTAAATAGTTAAATATATGCCTCTCATTTTAATAAGAATAATATTTGCAGGCCTGCTACTATGGAGCATCATGTGCACAACCAAACTGTCCCTTCACTCACCCGCCCATACCCAGGGGAGCTAAACTTAAATGGATTGCTCCCAAGGCCACTACAGCACCAGTCTCAACCACTGATGCATCTCTGGATAAAGTTAAGGAAATAGAAAGACAAGATCCAGTCATAATGCAGTAGTATTATACTGTATAGGTTTATTCATATGGGAAACAGTAGCTGTTAATATAATATTCACTTATATTACATTGTATAAAAGTACTTGATGTGCAATCTGCTACAAATGATAACTATTGTGACCTTTTGAATGATAATTTTTCTTACAGCCCTTCTCAAGTACAGTACAGACATCCCTCAATATACGATCAGGATGCATTCCTGAAAACCCGATCATTAAGTGAATGATCGTACAGTATACAGTAATCTCCACGTTAGCTGGAATCCCCAGTCCCTGTAGCTCACCAAAGGCCAGAATTGAAATTGGCCCAGAATTTGGTCCCCGTCATTATATTGTGTCAAAATACTGTACAGGTGCTCCCTTACTTACGACTGCTTGGACTTACGTCCATCGGTACTTACGACCTGCTCTGACCTTACGACCGAGGCAGTCATGACCAAAAATATTTTCAAATGACGCGTGCATTTTCTATACCGAAGCATTTCTGTCCTGGGCGAGAGTGTGGCGGGCGGGCTTGGGTCGCTGCGTGGGTGCACTCACTCAGTGGAGCGCTTAGTTGGTGTTTGGCTATCGTATCCTATACTGATCGCGCTGTGAACTTTCGTTATTATCGTATTTAATTGACTTTATGATGACTGGAAAGCGTAAAAGTGAGAGTGTTGGTGGTGCTCCATAGAAAAGGAGACAAGCAATTACTTTTGAGATGAAAATGAAGATAATAACTCGGCATGAGAATGGAGAAACTGTAGCAACAATCACACGTGACCTAGGTTTCTCACACTCGACCATATCCACTATTCTGAAGGACAAGGAACGTTTTCGTATGTAGTGAAAGGAACAACACCTATAAAGGGAACTATAATTTCAAAGAAAAGACAAGGTCCTATTCATGATATGGAAAAATTATTGGTGATATGGATAGAAAACCAGATACAGAAGCGTGTACCCTTAAGCCTTCTAACATTACAGGCTAAAGCAAGAAGCCTATTCCAAAGCCTGAAGGAGCAGGCAGGAGATGAATGTGATCAAACCTTTACAGCAAGTCATGGGTGGTTTGATAGATTTAGAAAACGCTACAGTCTACTCAATGTTAAGGTGAGTGGAGAGGCAGCTAGTGCCGATGTTGGTGCTGCCGAAGCTTTTAAGGAGGAGTAAGATGAAGTGATTGTGGAAGGGAATTATTTGCCTGAGCAAATATTCAATGTGGATGAGACTGGATTATTGTGGAAGCGCATGCCTGAGCGGACATACATCCACAAAGAGGCGAAAACAATGCCAGGATTCAAGGCATTCAAGGACAGAATTACACTTCTGTTGGGGGGGAAAGTTGCTGGTTTCAAGCTAAAGCCCTTCATGATCTATCATTCAGAGAACCCCAAGATGCACTTGCTTGCTACAAAGAAATTTATAATGAAAAGAAAAAACAAACTGTGCAGTCTGAATTGGACATCTATTTTAAGAAGTACCCCAGTGCTGTCTCCTCATGCTCCAGCAGTGCTTCCTCTTCACTCCCTCAAGATGATCCAGTACCTTCAACCCCGTCGTAAGTCGGGGAGCACCTGTACAGTATTTTGTTTAGGGATCTTTTATTGAAGCAAGTCTTGTATAGAATTTATTCAGGATCATTATGGTACCAAGTTTATTTCTCTTAACACAATTAGAACAGATATATATTGTGAACAACATTATATACATTTTTTGCGGCCGTAAATACATTTGCTCACAGCCTCGAGGAAGATTCTGATAATGGCATGTACATAAGTTGTTTAGTCCTTCCCTGCATAGTAGAGGACTCTGAATGTGTTTCTGTGCATGGCAGCCATTTTGAGATGACAATAAATAGGAAGGTGCACATGGAACCCCTAGGGAGTGATTTTTCATTTGATTTCCTGACATGTGACCATTACACCGAGTAAGACATATCTTATAGATAAAATTGGACGTTTAAAATTGAAATTGTAAAACCAAAGAACGGGGAGTCAAGAGATCATACACTTTTTTGAGGGATAACTGTACTGTATCTTCACACCTCTCATAAATGGTCGTCATTTTAGTTAATATAATTTTGATTATTGTTCCCCTCAATTTACATAAGGAAAGTCAGCATGTGAGATGAAGTTGTCGATATCACAGTCTCTCCTTGATACGTATATCGAATCTCGTCATTGGAAGCTCTTGTTTTTGTCATATTTCTGCCCTTCATTTCCTGTAGATTTATTCTGTTAATTTGTGGGTTAATTTAATGCAGTCATCAAGTTTTGTTTACCTTGATAGCACTGATAATACTGTATAATTAAGCTACTGGTGTGAAGCTGTTTAGTTGTGTTTGGACTGTGACTGATTTATCCTTTCAAATGAGCTGCAGGTATTATCCAGACATGGTACTGCACTGTATAAAGTTTATTATTGTTGTCTCACTCTGAAGCAATGGGTCTTTGTCAAGGATGTGTCTTGCATTGTCTGGATATCTACGGGTCTCTCTGTAGACAAAAATCAGGTTAGCATGATTTGTCTTCTGTTGTAAATTGATCTTCATGGGAATGTATTGGTAAGGTCTCATACAGTATAGAATGTACTGAAGCAATGAGTGACTTTGTGTGATGTTTATTTTGTTACCAGAACACTGTAAATGTTACATTTTATGTTTTATCATACTGGTACATGAAAGGCTGTCTCTAGTACTGAGATCAGGCATTTGAAGGATTGTTAAGGTCAGTCTTTAATTAATAAACCACCATTGGATGTTACGTTCTTCAAGTAAAGCTGAGTTTTGTCTATGTTTAGCTTAATTATTTCATTTTTCTGCCTTTCTAATAGTGTCTTAATCTTGGTTAGCTTCCTCCAAGAGATTACTACTTTATACATTAAAATATCTGTATCAATTAATTTTCTTCCTTTGATGCTGCTTAAGATCACCTTGTTGACATCATTGATACTCCTTAGACTGGATAAGTTCACTCTTCTATCTTTGTCTCCCAGAAGGTGCATTAAGAGTAGTCAGATAGCTAGCTACAAGTTACATTAAGTTTTGCCACCACAATCTATTCCTTGCACTAAGTATTGTACTGTACAGAGAACAACTTGGTGTTTCCCAGTTTTATGAGAATTATGTAGTTCAGTTACCACCACCATCATATTATGTAACCTCTCTTTATTGACTCACTACTCTCTTAAATTGGATATATTCTAGGTTTATTGTCACTTGCTAGATATGGTTTTGTTGACATCATTTGGTTATGGTTTTTTTGACAATTTTGGATCTTGAAAAATAGTCGTGATTCCTCTTTCTCTTGTTTCATGTCAGTAAGGAGGATAGATAGCCATTCTGTTTACTCCTTAAGTGTCTTCATCTCTCCTTGACACATAAACAATTGGAGCCGCTGTCTGTCAGATCCACCAAGGTCTCTTAAACCCTCTCGAACCTGTACAGTATATTTAAGGTAAAAATCAACCAACTTTGCAACTTTTGTCAGACATGATAATGAACAGAGTAGTCATTCATTCCTGTTTCTTACTTGTAGGTCCATTCTTCACTCACACTACCATAAATAAGTTCATCTAAAGGTTCCAGTACTCTTTATTGCTTGAAGTGTTTGGTATTTTAAGTATTTCTGAAATTTTCCACAAGTCAAGTTTGATGTGCTACATAAGTTCATCCATCTAAAGATATTATATGTATCAGTTTGTACCTCCTCATACATATCACTATTTAATTTTTTACTTTAATTTAAATGTGTATATACAGTATTTAATTATTCATATTTACATGAATATTACTCTAAGCATGTGAACTACAGTAAAAGTCCAAAAATCCGGATGCCAGAAATCCGGACCACCCGAGAATCCGGACTTTTCGAAAACTCATACTTTTTTTTTTAATAATAATTTAGCTGGCTTTTGTGTGTATGTGCACATGCGTGAGCGCCACAGCTGCACAGCAACAACACGCGACCACGCGGTCGCCACTTTAAAACGAGCAATCAAACTGTGACAACTTATGTAATTTTGAGTCCTACTCTTTCCATTTGCAGAGTACTGTACAAGCCCATAATAATGGCTCCTAAAGTAGATAAACTTTGTTGTGTGAAGAGAAAGAAGAACACGTTGAAATTGAGTGACAAACTTGAAATAATTAAGAAACTAGAACGTGGTGTCAGCAATACTGTTCTAATGGAAACGTACGACATTGGAAAGTCTACAATTTTTTTATATAAAAAAGGCAAAAAATAAAATTCTAGAATTCACAGCTTTTTCTTTAAAACTGCTCGTTTTGATAAATGAAGCATGCTATATTTGCTAATGAATAAACTATCAAAATGTACCTGTTCATCTCTTCTTTATTCCTCCTTAAATTTGAATTTTAAAAGTACTGCCTGAGAATCCGGAAAATCCAAAAATCCGGACCGACCCAATCCCCAAGCAGTCCGAATTTTTGGACTTCTACTGTACTAGGTTAGATTTCTCGAGTTTTTTCACTTTACACCAAATGCCAGGCAGAATATACAGTACAGTACTGTATAAGGTACAAGAGCATAGATAGTAAATAAGGGAAAAAAAAGGTTGCTCTTGTTTCTGGCCACCCAACACTGTACAGTGGTGGGAAAGACAAGCCTGTTGTGTTAGTTCCTACACTAAATGTTCCCACAGTTGCTTCTCATTGTATTCTGGATATTTGGATAATTACTGGCTGATAAACTTGGTTACCAGTCCCTCCCTGTGGTCTGTTGTTAGGTGTGTTGCTTTACTATCTACATTGTTTGCACTGGAATATTGTGATCAGTATATGATGTAGGTGATATTTTTCAATGTTTGTGCATATAATATAGTGTTCTCTTTTTTTATGATTAGTTTAATGCACACTTGTTGTTAAGACAACTAAATATCTCCCTTAAGTGTGCTGTTTAACATCATCTACTTCAAAGGATATTTTGGGGGCACATCATTCTTATACACTGTGTGTGCTGTAATGTGAAATCACATGGAGGGATAATATTGAAAACATATTTCACCTTGTTGTGTATACGAGTTGAAAAATTTAAATATCACTTTATTACGAGTCTTACAGCTAGCATTCCTTTAAACGAATTCATGAGCCATATATGCTTTACAACTGGGCTCCAAAACTGTCCATTACAACTACCATTTTTTCTTCAACTGCCTCTCACCTATACCCTTACAATCATAACAATAAATCCCAATTTCATTTACCATTTTTTTAACCTGTGCAAATAATCAATTAGTCTAGATTGATTATATGATGATAACTATTACTTAGTGTTTTCCATATACTTGAGAGGACTAAATCCTTCCACCATGTTTGTACCTGTAGTCTCTCAGTCCTGTGTGTTAAGTTGGTAACTGAGTTTTAATTAAAGTCACTTAAAATAGTCTCGCTAGTGCAGATTCTATTTATTTCTCTAATCATAAGTGTGATTACGGTACAGCATACCTGTAGTGTAATCTTCCATACAGTGCCATACAGAAGTTAGGGTTGGGTGCAGCTGGTTGGGGGGCACACTCCGAGTGATAAGCATGGGTCTTCTTCACATCTCAACTTGTGACTGAAATTTTGCTGATCTGTTTCTTGGGTAATTTTTTTTTTATCTTATGCTAGTTAAATTTTTATGTTAATCCATTTTAACAAAATTAACATTATTTTATCTGAATCTTTTACTATTTTTGTAATTAATTATTAATACAGTAAACCCTCAATAACTTGACATTGATAACTCGGCATGGATGTGGTCTCGGAATATATTAGTATCCTCAGGAAATGCCAAGATATATAAAATTATCTGGGAAAATCTCGACATATCTGGCCACCTGCATCACCCACCATGCCTGTGTCACCTTCTATGATGCTTCATTCTTCGCCTGCAGTGCTGGTAAGTGTTACTTTTGTACATTTAGTAATTACTGTACATGTGCACATATATGAGTCGATAATTTTTTATTTTTGTATCTTTGTAGGAGGGGGGGAAAGTGCCTCGACAAGTTGGAATTTGGGATAACTCGGCAAGGCCAGAGCCCCATATGTGCCGAGTTATCGAGGGTATACTGTCTACTTAAGACAGTCGGCTGTCAATTCGTGACCAGATCAGAGTCAGTCAGACTCCCAGACATCCACTGGTTCAGTGTCTTTTGAACTTTGATGGGTGAGGTTTACTTTTTGACAGGTGTGGGCTGTGCGGTTTAATACAGATTGTTTATATTGCACATTGTAAACTATTGCCAGTGAAGTAAAAATATTTATAAAAAATAAATTTAATAAGAATAAAACACTTTATAAATATTTCAGAGTGATTGCCTTCAGTTAGACATTACCATATTTGTTTTGACATTTGCATTTAAAAATTTAACAAGTGAACACAAGGAACATGGGTGTTTTTTAAGTAAATTGAGTTGTTGTTTATTCATATCTTGTCAAAACTGGTTCAAAATCAATGTTTGTTTGAAAAAATATTGAAATATGTTATTGTCAGAGGCCACTACAAATGAGGCTATTTATTGCCCTAGTTGTATCTATTTTGATCAATTGCATTTGTTCTTACTGTTCGCATTTAGTTATCAAGCAGAGAATTAAATTGTGGTAATTACTCAAATAATTGTTTGTGGATAAAAAAACTGTCATTTTTCAAAACAGTACTGTACTGTATGCTATTTTCCTTCATGCCTGTATTTGAGCAGGAGAGATGTCTGTAGCCAAACAGTTTAAAGCAAGAAAAAAGAAGGGGGCACTGTTTGTGAAGCTTGTCCAGGCCACAAAAATGCCTGATTATGGCTGCTTGCATCTCCCCATCAGATTCCAGTTATTAGCTCAGATTTGCTCCATAAGGCCATCTCCACTTCTTAGTCGCATTTTGTCTCGGCTTTTCTTTGCTTTAAAAAGATCCGAAACTTTCTCAAGAGCAGATTTTGTCAATTAATACCTTATGCCCATCATGTGTGTCTCTCACAGTCTCTTACCTGGTAATCTTGCTGTTAGGGCATAACATTTTCTCCACACCTGTACAGCTCCTCCCCGACTTACGACAGGGTTATGGACCCAAATCCAGGTCGTAAGTCGAAAATGGTTAAATAATACATAGAAAATCTAAAATGGGTGTCTCTTTTTCTTCTCAGCACCACAAAACTCGCACTTTTTTTGCTTGCCAGCCATTTTAAAGTGAATCACAAACAAAAATTTTGTCCGTGTACTGAAGTTGGGACTCGAAAATACGTAATTTGACAAAATTTTGGTACAACTGAGACAGGTCGTAAGTGTGGGTGGTCGTAAGTCGGGGAGGAGCTGTATTTGTGATGGAAATTGTGATCACCTCAAAGTAGCAATATATATAAGTCATCACATCCATACATCATAAAAACTTACCTAGTTTGGTGGTGGCTTTCATATGGTTTCTCACAGTAGCAGTCATGTGTTGGACAACCATACCTGTTGTTTTTGCTGTCCTGACTCCCTGTGTGTTATCCGAGTGTGTATCACTCCTGTGCTGGTCATCAGTGTGTTCAAGTACGTCATTGCGTCAAGGAGTCACACGCCCCATTGTAACATACCCAAGAGAAACCCAAGTTCACTGTGCAAGTGGAATGATAAATATTTTTGATAAGTGTTACAGTATACAAAGAATGTGGTTGAGGCAGCTTAAAGTTGCCAACAGTGTGAACTACCAAGGTGAGAAGAGTGTTTGTTGTACACCAGTGACAGTTATATTGTTGTGTGTGTGATGAAACACTAAAATCTTGTTTGTAGTTGTGCATTGCTCATTTTTGTTTAGTTTTTTGTCAGAGCTGAAATTTTTACCAGATAGGGATACCAATAACTAAGACCTACTCCCCAATATATACCAGTTTTGCAATGGCAGATCCAGGAATATCAAAAGGGGGGTCCAAGAAGTTGTGAGTGAGGGAACATGGCAAGTGCAGCGAGTCCACCCGTCTGGGTGGGTCTGCAAGTCCCCCCAGAAATTTGTTTGAAATCTGACCATTAAAGAAAAAGTATTGGAATTTTCTGTTGAAAAGGGGGGATGTGGACCCCCTGGATCTGCCCTTGTTTTGTCCTTTATATATGAATGTGTATCCAGGAGGTCCCCAGGTTATATACGTCTGACTTATGAACACACACCGATACGAACAAGGTTAAACTTTAAATTTACAGTATTTTATTTACCTGATGACTTTTTTTTTTACTTAAATATACAGTACTGTATTTTGTCATTCTATTAATTGTTTTTCTAAAATGCTGTGATTTTAGATGTATATAAGGACTTAGGCTATTATATAGTGGAATTTTAATATTGTTCTGCAAATACGGTATGCATATAAGAATGTCCGTAGGAACAGAACTCGTATATAACCCGGGGACTGCCTGTGTTTATTCAGTACTTATGCAGTACAGTATCCTTATTTGACAATATAAAAGTCACTTACATTCGAAAGTTCAATCTGACAATTATCCATAAGTATTGATATATAAACTGTAATGTGTGTGACTTGTATGCCCCTAAAAACACTCACTTCATAGTTTTACAATTATAGTAGCAAATATTTAATTTTTTCAGTATACACCCACTAAAAAAAATTTTCGGCACCCGTGTCGTATTGCATCACGCCGTAAGGGTGCCCAATAATTTTTTAATGGGTGTACTGTATGTACGTTATGTATGTATATACGTATGTATATTTGTACACCCACTAAAAAATTAATCAGCACCCTTAAGGCGTGATACAATATGACATGGGTGCCGAAAAAAGTTTTAGTGGGTGTAAATACACTATATTAAAGGTGAAATTTGAACACTGTATTCAATATATTCTGAGACTTATAATTCTAATTGCATTGTTTATTTTTTTTGTAGAATTAAACATAAATATAGTGAAAGGCAATGTTTAAGATCAATAACCATAACCTGCCATCAAATGTAAGTATGCATACAGTAGCAGCTTATTATCTACACATCTCTCTTCTTCAAACTTCACCAAAAGGTTATTTAGCATTTTAAAAATATGTACTGTACTGTATGGATGATAACTATCAGGTATGTACTGTATGTGATATACACTGGATTAATAATACAGTACAGTACAGTACATGCATTTGGTGACATTTGATCAAAGTAAAAAAAAAGGCAAAATGATGGTCCTTATTTTTTGATTTGGAAATTACTGCAGTATGGTGAAGTCTTTGTGGAAAGTTGAGTTCCTACTGTACAGTTAACCTTATTCCAACAACTATAAATGAAACTTATTATACAAAAAATACCAGACAAGTTAATTTACAAGAATATGAACATCAAAGGCACAGCTCAATTATATACAGTATATGATATACAGGTGCTCCTCTACTTATGAACGAGTTACGTCCCTGAGGCTTGTTTGTAAGTCCAACTTTACTCTAGTAGATACCAAACATATTGTGAAAGATTATGGATATTTAGTACAGCTATACCCTTTAATACAGCTTTAAAGCCTGGCTCACTCTTCTCCTCTTAGGTAATATTTGTTCTCTCTGGAATTTTATTCAAAATAATCCAGTCTCATCCACATTAAACACCTGTTCTGGCAGGTAACCCCCCCCCCCCCTCAGTGATGATGTTTCTATCTCTGAAAGTTTGTAAGTTGAACAGTTGAACGTTCTTAAGTAGAGGAGCCCCTGTAGTTATTAACTCTCACATATACGGTATAGTTCATACTTCATTTGTGTGTAAACATGTCTCAAAAGCTGACTGACTCACTTTCATGATACTTGGCAAGTGCATAATGATGCTGGTTATGAATGAACTGATTTGAATTAGGAGAAAGGTAAAAAGTTATCAACACAAACATAAAGACAATTATGTTATGTTATTTTTGTTAAAACTCATCAGGTTCATTATTTACAGTATTCACCTACTAGTGATGCCTTGTGTGTCAAATTTCAAGTTGTGTTCTCATGACAGCCTGTCTATTTAATCAGTTTGTAATGATTTGCTTAAGAAATACAGTAAAATGTGACAATTTAAGGTACTGCATTTTGTATGACAAATTAACAAGAAACCCAAATATATAAAACTTTAAATATTAAATGATATCAATGCAGGAAATTTGTTTAACCTTTACTGTACTTTCATCTGCCCAACATATACCATTACTTCGAGTTCTCTGTTAATAATTATTACTGTATTATTAACCAAATGGAATGGAAATGGGTCCATAAATATTGAGGTGCTCAAGACCCAGATTCCCAAAGGTTCATATGTTAAGTTTCCCAGAGGTGTGAGAATACATCTGACTAGTTCAGTTAGAAACTGCATCTTCACAGAGATGGCTGTAAAAACTTAACAGACATGTCTTTAAAAATCTGGAGTCAACATCATCACAACCTTTTAGTCCAATCTTAGGAACCAAGTCTGTATTACAAGTTGAATTTCCCTGAATTCAAGAGTGAGGCAAATGCATATGTTTTGTAACTAAACAGTAACTCATGATACACTGCAATATGACTCAAGTTATAGGCAACTAGTGCCAAGATATGAAGTGATCCAGAGTGTTAACAAGTTTAAGTAATTCATCCTACTTTAAAAGTGCAATTAATATATCACAGTACGAGAGTGAACAGCGAGATGTACGCGTTCCTCTCATTAGTACTACTGCACTACACTACTGTAAAGGAAAAGGTTTCTCTCCTGAGATAATTTGTGTGTGTACAGTACCTTGGTGGGAAGAAACCATGGCAGTCATCACCAGATACCATTGGAGGAGTGTGTAGTGAGGTAAAATATTATTACATAGTTTGCACTTAAATAACTCTACTATACTCTGTTCAGATGAGCTTTACAAACATGGCCAAGTGCAGAGTTTATCAATGCAGCTGAATGAGGTGCATTGAGTTATCTGGTGTTCTTCATTATTTAATTTCTTTTCTTTATATTCCACAATTGCAAGTACAGTACAGTAATAATAACAATTAAATGTTGATCTAGAATGATATCTAAAGCTGGAGTAGAAAAATTAGTATGTGAAACGTATTGTTAATGTAGATCTTAAAGTGGAATAGAAAAATTTACAAGCAATCGGCAACACCCAACTATATCACCAACCCCGGCGCACATTCACCAAGCATGACTCGGCCAAACACAAACTTCCTTTAACTTAGCCCAGTTGCAAGCTTGGAGCGAACAGAGTACAGTACTACAGTATAGGGTATTGCAAACATTTTCTGTGACTGTTCCCATAACTAATGTCATAAATAAATCACTGATAGACACAGGAAGGAATACTAAGGAAAGAGTAGAAAATTTGATAAAAACTGATAATAAATAACATCTCACCTTTTGTATTAGTTACCACCTCTTTAGTGTTACGTTACTAGTCCCTATTCAATACAGTACAATGATTAATTTCTAGATATACTGCAAATGAAGAATATTTAATCACTACGTATGTTAAGCTTGTGATAAAACATCGTAGATGATCTTATATGCTTTGTCGGCACATTCAATGAAGCCGGCACCATCACGATGTGGAGGGTAGGAAGACAGTACAATACCCAGCCAGTCATCCTGAATCTGGTAACTGAAAATTAAATACAACAATTAACAATAGGAACTAAGAACTGGTCATAAGCTGTATGGCCACAAGCTGATCAAAAACTTTCCTCTGAATGAAGAGGTAAATCGTCAAGACTGGTATAGTGTACACAATGTTGTCTTTATCGCTTCTCTTTCTTGTATTGATATTGTGAAGTATTTTGTTTGACCAGAGACATAGATCTATATTGATTGTCATCTGTTTGGAGTTCATAACCTTTTCTCTTGCTGGACCTTGACTCTTTTATTGTTAGAGGAGTTTCAAATTTTTAATCATAACAGCAAGGTGATTTTTTTTTACCACGCAATGTATAGGCGGTATAAACAAGAACTCTCAACTGGACTTCCCATACATGGCATCGTGATTCTGTCGGCTGCAGAGCACCTAGCAGTTCACCATAACAACCATGACTTCCAAGCAAGTAAAGGGCGGTCATTCAAGTTTTGGAGCCGTCACCGCCGAGTAACTCACAAGATTGTCGGAGAGAGACTCGGTGCCGACACAACGAGCGTACAGCCCTTCAGGGAAAAACTTACGGCACTGGTGAAGGACAACAGACTGCTTCTGAGTCAGCTGTACAATGGAGACACGAGTGACCTTGTTTGGAAATCCTTGCCAAATAATATCCATATATCCAGATTAGAGGCTCATGTTCCAGATAGGAAAGCTGTCAAGAACTGCATTGTTATGTACCAATGCAGATGAGTGTCACAGACTTACACCAGTGATTACTGGTAAAGTTAAGCATCCCCATGCTATCAAGAATATCATGGACAAACTAACTGTGCTTTACAATGATAACAAGAGTGCTTGATTTACTAGGGACACATTTAAGTTGTAGTTCCATAATCACTGTATACCTGAAGCGGTTAAGTTTCAGATATAAGCTCTGATAATTTAGCAATGAGAATGTGCAGATTAGATACATATAGTCTACATTGTCGACTGCTATCAAAAGAAAAAGTATAAAGGAACTTACCCAACACCAAATCCATCCCGAACAACTGGTGCAAAGCCTCCAAAGCTTATGGTAGAGGATGGAAGAGTAGACGTAGATAAAATGATGTGATTTATTTTACTGTATGCAGGGTCGGTGAAGAGGTCTGGCAGTGGACCTCCCTTGGCTTCCGCTAACTTTCTCAGCCCAAAAAGGTGTCGGTCAAATCCCTGGCCTAAAAATAATAAAAAAGCAGGTACAGTGACTCCTGAACTTAAGAATGTTTTTATTAACCCATTTTCTCTATAATGTGTCATATATGTAATGTTAGACCTAAAAAGTAAGATACCTTCATTCTATACAATCAATGCAACCAGTGGTATAATATATCCCCAAAATAACTGAAATAAATTATCAGAAAAATTTAACCCCTTCAAATAAAAACTTCAACATAACTTCAGTAAGATTCACTGACTGAGGCTATATTTCCTAGACATTAGTGATCTCTTGTGTGAACTTTTAACAGATTGTCTTACTTCAATCTCCCTGACCTACTGCATCTGCTTCTGTAAAGTGTACTGTATTTGACTTAAAGATGCTCGACAGATGACCCACTTGAGCGAGTACAATATTTTTCATATAAGTTTGTTTAGTACATACAGTAAAACCCCCACTACTCTGCATCTGATATGGTGGAATTGCAAGAAGTCAGCACAGCACCAAATAACTGTTACATTTTGGAGTACTTGGCATATTGGTGCTAAGTCGGCAGGAGCCGAGTCATGCGAGAACTCGGCAAACCACCCCATGCTTGGTAGCCTGTGTCGGCCCTGTGAGCAACAGTTTACGTGTGCCACTCATCATGGATAAACCCTCTGACAGTGATTAAGTGTTATTGTACAGATAGTGTTAAGTGTTATATATGAAGTGTAGTGTTAAGTGTTATATATGAAGTGTAGTGTTAAGTTTGTCATAATTATTTACAGTGCCAATGAAATGTTACTGTTGTGTTTAAAGTGTACAGTTGTACAGACAGAAGTGATAAGTTCATCAGAACAATTTACTATACTGTCCAGTGCCTGTGAAATGTTGCACACATTACAGTACAGTTCATCTGCCACTAACAAGCTCATCAAGAAATTGCTCCTTGCTATTGGTAAGTACCTAATACAACTCTGTTTTTATTTCATTAAAGCTAAAAATAAACTCATGACCAATAAGTCAGCAAATTCCATTAGTCAGCAAGGCCTCAGGCATGTTATGTGGGTTTTACTATACAGTATAGTACAGTAGTGTGTGGAGTTGAATAACATCCACCTATCATAAAAGATCTTGAAAAATATTTTAATATTTCCCCCAAAACAAAATTTTGTTAGTATACTGTATTTCTAAAAGCCTGGAAGACAACTTCATTTAACCAGGCAAAATTCAATTTGATTTGTGAAAATTCAGTAAATACAAGGTTGAGCAGGAACACAACCCCACATAAATTGGCAGCCTATTGTATGTGTATAATAAAAGAAGATGGAAGTTTTCACTACAGTAGTCTTCTACATTTACAAGGGTAATATTCCTGGGAAACCTTGTGACTGCAGAATTTGTGAAAGCAAATACTGTAGCTTGATTCATTGGGAAACAGTTGGTTAGGTTGCCAGATCAATTTAAAGATATGGAAGATGAGCGCACTTCTTGTGGTGAAAAAACACAACGAAAATACTGTATGATAAACAGATAAAAATACAAAAATGCTCTACAAACTTACAGTACATGTAATCTCCCGGCAAAAAAACCCAAAAACAATGAACACTACATAAGTTCTGGACTATAGCGGACAACTTACCGGTAAAAATAATATTTATTTCTACTTGTCATAATGTATTTATAATACAGTACTGTACACTCATACATAGACAACAATAATTAAAAATATTAAAAACTTTCTTACCCATGGCTGCTTCTTTTGTTAGGTTCCCATGAACTTTTGAACACTCCATTAACAATTTCTTCAACCCTGCATTGCTTGCAGGCTGTGACTGAGACACAGCTTTAGTAAACTCTGTGGTTTCCAAGGTCGCAGGACGAATCGTTTCTGTGCGACCATGTTTAAATGCAGCAGTACTACACGACTCATAGGTGGCCACGGTCTTGCCATTCTGAAGATAGTAAGCAACCTGCAAAATGGTAAAACCTAATTAGTAAATAAGAATTAAATCCATAAAAATATTCAGTGAGATAAAAATTAACTTAACAGACAATTGACAGAGAATATAATCAACACCTCGAATATAAATGGCTAGAGTCTGGAGAATTAGTAACTAAACATACTGTACCTGGAACCCTAACTGCATCATGGCATCTGGGGACACATTATGCTTCTTACATAGATTCTTGCCAAATATTTTAGACTCCAGAACATCCACTTGCAGAGCACTGGTGTTTGTGTCGTACGTCTCGACAGCTTTATCAACGGCAGCCTCCAAATTGGGGGTCAAGTTGAATTCTAAAATGTAAAAACAAGTCAGATATTAAGTTGCATCCCTTATTAGTTGTTATGACTTTTACTTCTTTACTGAGGGATGGATCAAAGGGAACAAAATTTTTAAGAGAAAAGGGGTGGGATAGGGGCCAGCTTGCTTGTCTCTATGAGGGAAGGTATCACGTCCTCCCAACTCTCCATCTCCAGCTTGGTCTCAATGCACCTTAGATGGAGGAGAGTTATACAGCGCTCTGGCTTCTATGACAAAATGGACAACTTACATAGACTTACAAGAGCTACTGTGCATTATTAGATTATTTTAAATGACCCAACAGATGGCTAAATTGTAAAAACAGTCACACCAAATTAAAAATCAAGTAACAATTATTAATGAGGATTTTTTTTTAATATACCCGGTACCTACCAAGCTTACGGACAAATTGTGAGGCATCAATAGTGGCAGGTACACTGTCAAGGTGGACGCTTGGCTTCTCTTGTAAATCTTTGGCTACTTCATTAAAGTAACTCATGACAGCTACTCCATCACCCCAAGAATGTTCAAAATTTAGGGCACCTTGGCCATCAGCAGTGAAAATCAATGAAAAGCACTTGTCAAACCACCTGAAAAATATAAGACAAAAAAGTTAATAACAAATAACAAATGGAAGTCTGAATTATGATTAACTGAAACATTTTCCCTTCTATTTTCTTTATCAATCAATGTTTCAGCTGCACAGAACATCACATGTGATATTTATGTTAATAATGATGACTGGTAAAGGGGCATCCTCACTACTCTTAATACAGATCAAGGCTGGGTAGATGATGGGACCTGGAAAGGTTTCCTTCATCAGGCAGGATGACTGAATCTTACATCGCTGATATATACGTTCACTTTATACATTACCAAGGGCTACACAACTCCCCATCAACCCTAATTGTACCAAACCACATCGTGGGGCTGTAGCACAATGAGGGCCATAGAAAGTTACTTCCCTCATGGCATTATTCTGAGAAGTACATTATTCTCAATCACACCAGAACTGTCAACTCCCAGTCAGACTATAACTGTCAGCCAAACCAAGGCTCCAAGCTTCCAATCATAACAAAATTTACAGCTTTGGACTGACTAAACAGTGACAAGTCTGTATTTTGTAAACACTTAATTTCCAAGTGTATACAGACCATGTCACCCAAACATAACTTTATGGCCACAAGTGTTTTAACAGTGAAATGTATCATAACAAAAACTCAGCTAATACAAACCTGTTTTTCCCATTGCCATAGAGGAAAGTGTGATACATCTTCTTTGGGTCTAAACCAACTTTAACATCATCAAAAACTATATTAAAGGCTGCAGAGTCAATTGCCTCCAGTGCAGCTCCATTTCCTGCAGCTATCAATTCTTGCCGGCAGGCAGCCCAAGTGTCACGGTTTTCTGATGAGAGGATGGCAATGGAATGCCTCGGAGGCGGAGTCTGATCCTCAGCAATGTATTGAACGCAGGCGTGAATGTGACTCGGAGAAAGAATATTACCTGGAAATAAAACTTACATAATGAATCAATGAGATAATGAAAAAACTACTCGTACATATGGAATAGATTTAAGATTTAAATATAACGCCAACAAATGCAGAAATGTACCGTCTCTATCTAGGACGTCAAACACATAGAAGTGGCCATTTTTCATGAAGAGCATGTGGCGTGCATGAGGGTCACACTGAAGCCTGTCCTTGCCAATCTCAGGGATACGTGTAGAGTTGAAGAGGTTGCCAAATTGAGACATGTCCAATGGGAACACCTAGAACAGAAAAAGAGAGAATCACATACTGTATTGTAATGTTTCCATACCAATGACATACTGTAACCTGATTTAAGTGGCAAAAGGATACTTTAGATATAAATAAAATGTTCAATGTATAACAAATGTTAGTATTGTACTGCATACAAATGAATTCTGAATTCTCAATGAGCTGCAATCATCTTCCTCAAGTGGTTAACGAAGTAACTTTACCCTCACCTTCATAGCATAAGCAGCATATGACGCCACAGGGGAGGGAATCCACCGTATGATATCTCTAAACCGCTGATTGTCACTCTTTGCAGGGTTGAGATGATACACAACAGGTTCCAAGAGATTCTCTCGAAGTGTGCGCATAAATCTGTTGAATTAATACATAATATAACTTCCACAAACTCCCTAATAATGTTTGGTGAATGTCAAAGGCATAACAAGAGACATCATTTAGAGAAGACATTTTTTTTCAGAGAATTTAAGAGAGACAGAAAACAACATACAATTAGTGTTATGGAACCAACCTAAGAGACGACACTAAAGTATTTGTAGCACGTATAACAGGGTGTGAGTAGCCCGGTCTCTCCTCAGGGTGGAATGTCATGAAGGGGTTATAATTAAGTACAACAGGAACACGATCACTCAGGTACATATCAAACCACGGTCCTGAGATGTAACTTGTGTGTTTGTTTGCCTGTTGAACAGATTATCTTTTTAATTATATTAGTTAAAATATTCACGATACTGTATAATATAGCAGGCAAGACCTCCACTTACCATAGTCTGAAGCTGATGCAGTTCTATATACAGTCCAATATAGTATGATATATCTAACCCCACTACCACTCACTTTATTGCAGTGTAGCTTAAAGGATTTTATATTCAAATACATTCCTTAAAATGACATCTTAAACTTTTTCTGCTGGACTTTATCCCAATGAAAGAAACTAAGAGTCAACCTGAGATCATAGTTCACCCACGACATCCTAAAGTAAAGCTACATAGGCAGGCTCTATGAGCCCAGAAATAACTTACATGAACACTCCAGTTATTGAACGTAAACAGCCATCAAGCACTCCAACATACACCATAGCCAGTGATCAGAGCAACGACAGGACCCCGAGGTAAAGTGATCAGCATAACTTTATTGTAGGTGAAATCTTAACAAAATTGGGGTTTACTTGGATGGTTCAGAACGTAAAGCCCATAATTACATTGGTGTTATGGGGAATTAGCTTTTGGGTCCAGAACAACTATCCTACTGATGACTTTTGAGTCCCTCTATGGTCTTGAGAGATCCTAATAAATAATAATAAATAATATAATTATGGTTGCCCCTCGTGTTACGAGGATGGCTGGCCCAAGGGCCACCTAGGCGTGAATTTGTTTAAGGTGTAGAAGCTGTCGCCAACACAACAACCACACCTTAAGTTAATGAGCTGCACTAGCTAACCGTTGCCCCAGAATACGATCCGCAAATCGATTAACATCCAAATTCCCAATTACTGCTGGGTAGACAAGAGGCAAATGGCGTAAAGAAACTTGTCCATAGTTTCACCCTGCCCGGGGATCGAACCCAGGTCCGCTCGTTTGGGAGGCGATCATGCTGACCATTAAACCACAGGATTACTGTACTGAATATATAACGTCTGAATTTATGTCATGTGTTTTCTTCACTATGGAGATGGATGCCACTTTTAAGATCTTATTTATCTAACACCAGAGAATTTTATTCAGCTCAGAGGCAACCCTGCACACAAGGGGTTAAACTCTCTCTAGTCTTCTAATAAATGACTGATCAGTTCTTACAGCCAAAATTACTTTATATCTTAGCAATAACACGAAATACATATAAAACAATAGCCTGGAACTTTACGAGCAGGACATTACAGCCATATACTGTAAGTAGTAGGACACCACACAGTGACCATAGATTCTGTTCATCTTTACTTCAGTGAGTCATAATCGCTGCCATGATATTCTAAGTCTTCAAACAGTGCAAGACTCTGACCAACTAACCTTATCAATCTGTTTTAGCTGTGCATGTAAGTCTACGCCAGGTCCACCTTTAAACTGAGCAACTACACTCTCTGTTGCACTGTATTCCTCTGACGTTGATAGGACTTTTTGTGAACGTAGGTATCGAGCGCATGTCTTCTCCAGATCTGAAAATATACAGTATACACAATCATAAAATACATGTAAGTATAAGTATAACACTACCATAAAAATACTTGCAATAGTAAAGGATTAATTGCAGTCAAAACCAAGTTATCCCAAATTCTGGTAAAAGTACACCCATGTTAATCCATCCTTGTTAACATTAACTATTATGTTGTACTGTACAGCTACACAATCAGGCATCACTGTAGTTTACCATCAGTAAATCGAGATGTATTGAGTTTTATCTTTGGATATGGGCATAGCTCATTGTGCATGGTAGAATTTATGACATTATACATATACTGTACCTTAATAATGCCAAAACACAACAGTAATAATAATAATAATAAGTAAAAATCACAAGGTAGAGAAATAGTGAAAAGGTTTAAAGGTTTCATTCAGTTATTAGCTCACATATGGAAGTCATCATGGCACCAATGCACACTTTCAGGACACCCAAAGTGGTGACATTCACGGGGACACCAAGTTAAGATAGGTAAATGAGCTGTACAGTACTGGGGATAAATTTAGTATCCAAGTATTTTTCAAATTTAGTTCTCTTCTCAAACCTTCATTTTCCCCCCTCTCTCTCTCTCTCTCTCTCCCCTTCCAAACATATCATTTTTCTATCCATCCCTTCCCTTCCTCTCTTTGCAAATTCTAACACCTCTCACCATACACAGTGTAAACAGAGAGAATAGCAAGTAGAGAAAGACAAAACAAAGAGAAAGCCTTAAAACACACAAAAAAACACCATCAGACTAAACCATCAAAAAACTCCTCACCGGGGATTGGCAGTCGTAATAATGACTTCTGAAAATGCATTGAAGGAATCTTGGACCTCTGGATGTACTGGTAGTCATCATCTTTGACAGAGCTGTTGTATCTGGCAGTGTAAGTCATCATGCAATTATTGACCTTCCATGAGAGTGCAAAACAAAAGCAGCTCACCAATGGTACTTGATGCCCTTTAAGTAACTGAACCAAAGGGTCTTAACAAACCCAAAATTTACAATATCTTATCAGAATTGAAGGTTCCATGAATGAGATTTTAATTCATTCTAAACATAATTTAATTAATATCGTCACTCAGAGTCTACTAAAACATAAACAGTATTGAAAATCTAAAAGAAAAATTATAGGGTGGTGTAAAGCTTGAGAGGGTTGGGGTGTAGCTTAAGAGGGATGGGGTAAAGCTTAAGAGAGATGAAGCAGAGCTTAAGAGGGATGGGGTAAAGCTTAAGAGAGATGAAGCAGAGCTTAAGAGGGATGGGGGTAAAACATTCTGACAGATATAGGGCAAGGCAGAGAATAACAGGCAAAATTAGAGAGATTATGGCAGGGTAGATTATGAGAGAAGTTAGGTGAGGCAGAGGAGAGATTGAGAGAGGCAGGACAGGGCAACTTGTGAGAGATAACATACGGTAGACTGTGGCAAAGGTGGAAGGGATACAGTTTGATATGGAGTGGGACAATGTTTGAGCAGCAGGAAGAGGTAGTGTGTCCTTTTAGTTGTGCAAATTTAATGTCCAATTGAACAGTAAATAACTTACACTGTAGCCCTGTGAAGCCCCCTCTGCATCACACCAACTCTAGTAGTTCTTAGTGTCTGCAATAAGATTTAACTTTTCAATCAATGGGGAAAAAAAGATATCTGATTACTGGACAATTAATACATACTAACAAGACTTTAACAATGAACAAAACAAAATAAATTCTTATCTATACAATACACTGGTGACAAGCTTAACGAACCTATAGTATTATAAAAGTATCTGAATAATGATGAAAAATTAGAAAAAATATATATCTAAAGGGTTAATAAAAATACAGCTTTCAACATAATCACTTACGAAATACAAAAGAATCACTTAACCTTCAGGGTTATTCAGATCACCAGAAGAATAGCCTCCCTAGCTTGTTATACCTCAAGAATAACTAACCTAACCAAACCCCCCAGGTAGTCTAAGGGTGTCTAATCATCAGGTGAAATAAGACACGGTGTCTAATATTCAGGTGATATATTTATTCTAATAAACTCGATTCCTAGTTGTAATATTACCTGCATCAGAGGCTTCCCAACAAGTTTGCTCCGAGCCCCCAACATTTTAGATGGACGTTGAATTGAGAGGATCTGCAATAAGGAAACAGTAATTAATTTGTTGAAGTTAATTGATTTCACAATAAGGAAATATATGCAAGACAGATACGTACAGTATAGCCCATCCCCCAAGCAGTAAGTTCTCAATGAATCTTATTTAAATGTTCTTTATAATATCACCATTTATCAGCTTATTAACCATTTAGGCAGTTAGTCTCCTCTTTGTTAATTTGTTTTGAACATAATTTGTCCATTGTTACGTCTCTATAGGCTATAATAGAGATTAAACATTGGCCTCCCCATAAAGGCATTTTACCTCTCTTGGTTATAACACAGGCTAATATGATGTCATTTGCCTGTTCTGGAGTCACTGGGGTGTCAACATTCAGCTCAATAATTGGTCACTTACTTCTCTTGGTAACAACTACACAGGCCGGTGATTCAGGTCAGATCAGCTGTAGTAAACAAACCTTTGGTGTCCACTGATGCCAGATCTTACATCCAAATATCTCGCTAAATTTATAGGGTACAACTTGCTAAACTTCATTCAGGTCAACCCTAAGCTCTTTATAATTCAATAAAATTATCCAAAAGTTGAGCTAATTCATTGACAATCATAATATAAAAAAATTACTATTTATTAATATCGACACACAGAGTTGCTACAGAGAGATTGATAAAAAATAACCTTAGCGAGTTTCACGCTAGGTTGGCAATACTGTGTTGGCTGCCGAGGCTCCTCCTGATATTAGGAAACTACTCACACCACAATAGAGCCTTTAATTGTCATATTCTGAGGTAAAATATCCTTCATGAATATGAAATCTAAAGTTTCATATCAAATATATATTTTCCCATTGTTAAAATAGAGGTAAAACAATATTTGATACATTGGAATTGGAGTTCATGTGTTGAGTATTACTATTATCTTTATATTTCCTGATTTATAATATAACTCTTTGACAACTACCTTCAAATTATATAAATATATTAATAGTTTATATTTAAATCTTAAATAATAATACTAGCTATCGTTATACCTGTTGTCATCCGGGTGTACTATATATACAGTACATTATATTCTAATTATATTATTTGGAATATTTTGTAGTAATATGTCATGTAAAGTAAATTTTTAGTTGATTTATTCTAATTTGCTAGTTTATGCATAACAGCCATTAGACTTCTTAGTTACTGTTGTTGGTGATGAACAACAGAGGGCCTTAAATCACCGCCATCTACCTGTCGGGTTGGGAGTCAGTTCTACTCCAGACACCGTCAGATGGAGTGCGGTGCGTCCGAGCTGCTTCCCCAATTGTCTCGGTGTTGTGTGGCTGACCTGAATTCAACCAAACAGATAAGTTATTATTGTCTGCAAGTCTGTAGACAAATCGGACTGTCTTAACTCCCTACTTGCTTTTACTTCCAGTCACTAGCGTAGCTAGGGGGGGGGCGGCACTTTTGGGTCTGCTCATCACCCATATCTGCAGCTACTGGAGACGTTAATCCATCCCTTTGTATCGGCGGCAAGTTAATCCTTGTCGTGTCTGACCTAACACCTGACCCACATCATCACGGCCACGTCATGAGCTACGTACACCCTTGCTATGCTCCCCCCCCACACACACAACCTGTAACCTGTTGAGGATTAAGGAAACAACTTCAAACAAGTACGCCAGTGAGCTCATGTGGTGTGGGTCAGGTGTTAGGTCAGACACGACGAGGATTAACTTGCCGCCGATACAAAGGGAAGGATTAACGTCTCCAGTAGCTGCAAAACCATGCAGTCTCGGGTCATATCAGTTCATGTACAGCCGACCAATCCACCAGTTACAAGCAATTCACTTCAGTTCTGCACAAGTCTCCATCGTGACAAGACGAGGGGAGGCTAGACGACTTTTAAGTTCTCTTGTGTTTTCGATCCAGTTATTTACTTCGTTGGAAGACATAATACTATAAGGTAAGAAATATTAAAGTATTGGTTAAAAAATATTGATGTGACTTTTGCTGCGGTACTGAGATTAAATATTAAGATTTTGTTTCACAGCATTGCGATTTTATACTAAGACACTATCCTCACTGGGGTACAGACAAAAGCCCCCCCGACAAAAGCCACCCAGACAAAAGCCCCCCAGACGAAAGCCACCCAGACAAAAGCCCCCGATCCCCAACAGGGCGGCACACACTCTAGCTACGCCACTGCTTCCAGTCAGGTATTCTAATGAACAAGTACAGACCTCCCCATATTCCCACCAATGAAGTTTGGTCAGAAACACTTCAGATTGTCGTTCCTACTAAACTTAGATCAACTATATTAGCCCGTGCACATGGCTATAGTGGTGGTCATCTTGGAGTAAATAAGACATCACAAAATCCTTCAACAATTCTATTGGCCAAAGTTACAATGTAATGGAGGTAAATATTGTAAAACTTGTCATGAATGTCAACTAGCAGGAAAACCAAATCGCCGATTTGGCTTAATAGTCCGATTTAAAATCGAACTATTAAGCCTGCACCATTAAAGCCAATTCCAGTAGTTGAAGAGTCTTTCAGCAAAATCATAATAAACTGTGTAGTGTAGGGTTCCTTCCTAAACCTATAAAAAGGTAACCAATTCCTTATCACAATGATGTGTAACTAGGCTACTAGGTATGCTGAAGTTATTCCTTTAATACGCATAACTATAAAAAATGTCTGAGTGCACTGATTACATTTTTCACCCAATATGGAGTTCCAAAGGTAGTCCGACCATGGTTCAAATTTCACCCCAGGGCTATCCAAGCAAGGTATGTAGATGGGAGTACGTCAGTACCTAGCACGTCCTATCATGCGGAGTCCCAAGGGGCATTGGAGAGGTTTCACCCGACTCTAAAAAGCATGATAATGAAATATTGTATTAAGAATGATAGAGACTGGGATGAGGGAATCCAACTTTGTGTATGGACACCAAGTCGGGGACCTCTTAAGGACTTAAAAGATTCATGTATTGACAATGAACTTACTCTTCCTGTGTATGTTCAGAAATTCAGACACTTCTCTCAGCTTGTGAGTTAACGAGGTTGAATTTGAAAGAAGCTCAGAAAAGAATGAGACGTGTTTGACTTACAGACTCCAGTTAGAGAATTTGCACCCGGTGATCTTGTTTCAACTTTTTTGAAAATCCATAAACTTGCATTAGGTCACACCACTTAGGTGTCTTCTTGGAGGGAAGAAGAAACACGTGTAGCGGCCGAGAACTTTAATGTAGAGATGCTTACTCCAAGCCTGACAAGAAGTAACTGGCGGGGCCAGGCGTGCAAACCGCAGACTCTCCGCTACCAGGGATTGCCAGGTAGCGGCAACATAACAATAATGTCTACATCTTACAGTTAGTTTTATGGACCATACGAAGTTTATCCAAGGTTAATGACATAATTTATCTTAAGACACCAGGATACAGGAAGCATGAGACTTGTTCATGTGAACTTGCTTACAGGTCTGGTGGAACATGATGTCGTCCTGGTGGGAGATCCGGCACCCATCAAACAAGTTCCTAATGGAATAAGTCCCAGCAAGAAAGTAAGTCTGAAGGAGGTTGACTTTCTACTGCAGCACGACTTAATTGAACTCAGTGACAGTGAATGGGCTTCTCTGTGTCTGTTGGTACCAAAACCAGATGGGTCATGGAGCATGTACACAGCCTATAGGAAGATCAATAGAGACCCAAGGAGGTTGTTACCCACTGCCACATATTGATGACCTCATCGACAACCTAGGGAATGCTGAGTATGTGACCAAGCTTGATAAACTGAAAGATTATTACTAGACATAACTTATTGACAGAGCAAAGGGGATATCTGCCTTTAAAACACTAGACGGACTCTACAACTACAAAGTCCTTCCTTTTGGAATGAAAAATGCCCCAGCTACATTCCAGAGACTTAACAGAGAGTGATCCATGGGTTGTCGGTTATTCAAGCGTATTTGTATGACCTGGTCGTTCATAGTGCAACCTGGGAAGAACACATCTTCAGAAATTGAGACTTGTCTACTCGTCTGGCTGACTGTTAATCTGGTGAAAAGCGAGTTCGGCAAAGTATGTGTTATCTTCTTGAGGCATGAGATTGAACAAGGACACATCACTCCAGTGTCAGGAAAAGTTTAAGCCATCTGTAACCTCCCAATTCCGAGGGATCCCAAAGCAGTTATGAGGTTCTTGTCATGGCTGGATATTATAGATGTTTCTTTTCTAATTTTGCTCAGATTGTAGTCCCTCTTTCTGATCTGGTAAGCCCAAGGTTGTTGTTCCTATGATCACTGAAGGCCAAGCCACCGAAAAAATCTGTGCTCTTCTAACTAATGTTCCAGTATTGCAGTCTCCCAATTTTGATGAACCCTTCTGTAATCTGTATTAATGTTGATGTGGGGATAGGTGGAGTTTTATTACAATTAGGATCTTTTAATATTTTACATCCTGTGTGCTATCAGTCTTTAAAATTTAAGAAACCTCAACTAAATTTCTTCTCTATAAAAAAGGAAGCTCTCACTTTTATCAGCTCTTGAAAAGTTTGCTGTAATACTGTATACACTTAACTCTCCTCATCAAATTGGTGTTTACAGTGATCCAAATGCACTGTTTTTAGAAAAAATTTAAAAAGGTAACCAAAGTGGTGAAGAAGATAAAATGAAAAGTAAAAGTAGGTGGTCCCTCACCTTACAACCATACAATCTGGTTATTAAACACTAAAGGAAAAAGATGTCATTGCAGATACACTGTCCCATATGTTTATTTAATTTTCAAGATTTATCTATGGATAGATCTCGTCTTATAGGGGGAAGTGTCATGAATCCTTAGTCGAGATGACTCGGAATTACGGAGAGTTCCAGTGAATTGGGTATTGATTTTATTGAAGCTCGTATGCATCTAGGTATATTGTATATATTATATTCTAATTATATTATTTGGTCTATTTTGTAGTATTATGTTATGTAAAGTACAATTTTTAGTATATTCTAATTCGCTAGTTTATGCGTAACAGCCATTAGACTAGTAGCTACTGTTGTTCTGGTGATGAACACCAGAGGACCCTAAATTCATGCCATCCACCTGCCGGGGCGGGAAAAGCTGTCTGATAGTCAGTTTTATTCCTGACACCGACTGCTGTGCGTCGAAGCTGCTTCCCCAATTCTGTGTTGTCTAGGTATTTTTCTTTACTTATGTGGCTCACCTGTATTCAACTCAAGAGATAAGTTATTCTTATAAAGTATAATATTTAGGATGTTTAATATGAAATTAAATTGTTACCATTCTGTTTTGCCTTGTAATGTTCATGCAGGAGTTTTCCTTGTAAATATATTGGTTTGAGTTTCAAGTTTATTTGTCACTGTCTCAAGCACTTTGTAATAATTGCATTAAAGTAATTTTACTATGGATCAATATTCTCCCAACCTGACTTGGATCTGTAATAGTACCTATACTAAAATAAAAGTGTATGGGGCTATTAAGGCATTCAATTTTGTAGTTTATACTAGGTTTATTATAAAAATTCAATCACACAGTTCAGAATTACATAGAAAATAAAAACAAAATGATGCATAGGAGAGATTTCAGTAGAGAACACACTTGTGGCAGAGATAATAGTCAACACACAATACACATCACAGACTGCATGGATCCTTTGCTACATGAATCAATCCAAGATAAATTTTCAATCCATGTTCTAAAGGCAACTCTGGTATACTTCTGCCCCTGATTTTTTTTTTTTTCACAATTAAATTTTCTCCTAAAGTGCTAAGGCTCAATTTAAAATCCCTATCAAATATATTGCAAGATTATACAAATTATTTACATGGTATAATTTCCCTGAACACAATTTTACTAAGACTGTATCTGCATGATATCATTAAGTCTCTTTAAGTGTCAATGTCTCAACAAACTTCCTTTTTATACATGGCAACGTGTGTACCGTACATTAGTGAACTGACGTGCCATGCTCATACTCAGAGGTCCCAGACTAGATAGTTCTTTCTCATACCTGATGTCAGTGGGAAAAAAAAGTGATTTAATTTATAGAAAGAAGTTTTAATTAGACTGTTAGCCATCATTACAGGTCGAGAGAAAGAAGTATATAAAGCAACACAATATATAAGGTACTGGTATATGTGTTAATGAAGGGTGAGCTAATGTGGGTAGTACAGTGTATCTATTTGTTGTCATGTTGTTCACTTGTCATGCATAACGTCTCTATAGATTCCCTCCATTTCTTTGAATCTATTCTACCCTTTCATCCATCCCTTTACAGGAAAGGAGGATGAAAACTCTGAACATTTACATATAAATTTCAGAAAAGAATTTTATTAATCACCATGACTATTGGATCAAGTTAATAAAGGCATAAATAACTCCACCTGAGTACTGCCCTACATACGGTCATCAAATTATTGCAGTTATATTCTGGTAGTTGGGCAAAGTAAATTATACTTTATTGCAGTGTTTCTTTGAAGATACAAATTAGTCCATTTAAGAACTATCCTGCCTCTGTAATTTAAAATATTTATTGGCATTGTTCAAGCAGCACAGTACAAATAACTATATGGCAGTGGAAATGTATAATTGGACATTAAATATGTACTGTATATTTAATTTTTCATAATCTTTCTATAACATCTCCACTTAAAATTGATACATAATGTACTACACAGTGCCATGTATAATAATCTAAGATGTAACATGCAGAGTACAGCAAAAATACAGTACACGTAACATCATACACGACAGTCAGTTACACGACCTTTGGATGATCCAGCACAAGTCTTTGTACTAATATTGGCAGGTCTATTAATGCTCTGCAATTTATAAAAAAAAAAATAGCGTGGTTATTTTTCTTAAGGATATGTCTGTCTGTATTATCACATCTTGCGCTTTAATCGTGATGTCGTACACAAAATATTATTCATGCATTTTGATTCTATCGTGTGTCTCTTAAGCTCAATTGTAAATTTTAAATCACCTTACAAATTCGGCCAAGTTCATCTGGTTAGTCCAAAATATAAGCCCCTGACTTTTAATTGAAATGAAGATATTTTGTCAAATTAGGTGAAATGTGCACACACAAAAAAAAACTACGGAGTCTGTGTACATTACAGAACACAAAAAGTTATAATAGGTTAGTTTATATTAGATTATGATAGAGACATGAAACAAATAAGAAACACTATTGCTGGTCCAAGGTTACATAAGTTGAACAATGTACTGTACTATTAAAGCAGCCATCACTGGGAAAATGGAGTTTATTAAATGAATAGCACTACAGACATCAAGTATTTCTCCATAGGAGTTGTTTCGTGGTGTCTGTTGTTACTTATTATTACGACGTCACGGTCGGTAGTGCAAAATTGGAATTTCACGATGGCCATAGCAGTTGATTCCCTCTCGTCGGTAGTTGCGTAACGTGAAAGAAAAAATACCCACCCATCACTGCCAGTATACCCACACCCTTCTCCATTTTGGCCATAATGCCCTTCAGGTGAATTTCTGGGAGTACTGTGTATTAATGAGGGAATCAAGAATTATGCCATTGAAGCAGTGGCCCAGTCAGGTCATGTGAAAGCTGCCTATTTGCTGTATAAATTCTGTAATAACTGTATACGTACAGTGTCATATGACTGCTAAACAGTACATTAAGGTATTTTGGGGTTTAAAATACTATCCCCTACAGTACAGTACAGGTATTTGAAGAGTTTACAAATGAAGGTGAAGAAAAACTTTTAATGGAGAGACTAAATTAACAAGTACACTGAGAAGAATGTTTCCTGCCCATTAAACTATAAGTTAGGTGTCCATTACATAATATTGATAGTCTCACAAACTTACAAATAAGAGAATGCAGTGAATTACAACACTCAGTGGACACAGCAAAATACAATGTTGTACACAGTGCCCAGTCACAACTGCTATCTAAAGTTCTTAAGATAAATAAATATACAAATGATAATCATCAAACAACAAGTGATGAATAAAGTTGCTTTCTTGTGACGGCTGCCAATCACACAAGAGTCGACAATACTTTAAAGCTGAAAATCATATTTTCTGGCTTACACAACAAAGAATTTTAAAGCTAATATCATTATGTACATACAGCATCTGCCAGTCACAAAAACACACATCATCAGTATTGCCTGATGTCAACGTGCTTGTTTCTACTTGTTTATAATCATGTTGATTTTTTAAGAGTTAACACAGACAACTTGTAATATATATATATACAGTACTGTATTTACTTTTCAATAAACATTAAATACAGTATAAGATAATTTTTACACAACAATAAACAAAATAAATATACAGTACTGATGCTGTATTTATTGTATACAGTACAGTAATCCCTTATGAATGAAAAAGTTCACAGGATAATTATTATTTTTATATAATAACCTAATATAATTTTTTTTTGGGTAGTTATACATTGTTAAAGAAATTTTTAACTTTGAAGTATTTAGTGACAATGGCATCCTTTATTAAACTATAATAACAATTAAAAGTTTGTTAACCAGTGATAATACATTACTTCACTCACAAGTTCAACTTTGGGAACATGTTCTAATCACCGATGGCATCTACACTCAAATATTTTACTGGCTAAATAAAATTTTCAGGAGCTAGGATCACTGTGTGTGTGCCCCTCTACTGTACTGTACTGACTTAAATTACTGTACGTATGTAAAAAATTTCTCTCATAAGCAGGTTAAGTTCTGTGTGACCAATATTTGATTACACGGGTAATAATGCAGGTATCCACATGTTGTAAAGTTGAATCCTGTTTTTACGATCGCCACCACCATTTTACGGCTATTTTCAACACTTACGAGGATTAACCATAAACTGCAGGGTCTCTTGCAGCTCTCCATACTGCACATTGTCTTGTAGCCCCTCTCGGAGAGGGGCTACAAGACAGGTCAAGAATGATATTGGGAGACGGCCTCTCCCAATATCATTCTTGACCTGCCGTTGGCTACTCCATGCACCTCTTGACCCAATTGGTCTCGCCCATTCTTTCCACATGCCTGAATCATCTCAGCATGCCTCTATGCAAAACCACACCAATACTCTCAATACCCAGCTGCCCTCTTAGCTCTGAATAGGGTTTCCAATCTTTCAGTGTCACAAGATACAGTACATCCACTCACCAATTCTCATTTCAGCTCACTCAAGCCTGCTTATGTCATCCTCTTTAACTGTCCATGTTTCACTGTCACACAGCATCACACTTCTCAAGTCAGTTACATACATTTTCCTTTCACATGATACATAGTTAACATACAGTACAGTACTTTGACAATGTAAATGAAATCGGCAACATAATCGACTCCAAATTCAGCCTCATCTTTACACAGATGAACCCATAAAGCTGAGATGTGAGAAGTGTAGCATTATACAAACGGACACATGAAAACCTACATTCATATAAATGTCTATTTAATTTTATAATTAAAATAATTAAAATACAACAATGATAATTATAATGATAAAGCTCAGCCAAGACACCTTGACTGCACGATAAATAAAGTTCATAGCCATACAAACATCACTTGATAACGCTCACTCTGTAAGCCAGAAAATATATCCATAAACAAGAATCAATATTACACTCAATTTAGTATTATTCTCTTTTATTAGTTCTCAAACTCCTCGTGACATTCCGGGAATGGGAATTTAGATAATTTACTACAGTATTAACGTACGTCAGAAAATGGCCGATCCTTCTCCCGTAAAACACTACTTAGATACTGTACCTATATATACAGTATCATTAAAGGCCTATTCCTGTGCACACTTCAGATGGGTAACAAAGGCATAAATCATATTATATAGAGACATAAGGCGATGCTCTGTCCATACTGTACTGTATAGTCAACAACATGGTATCTGGACATCTATTTCCTGAAATTCAAGTTATCTGATTGCTGACAAGAAGTCCTATTCAAACAAGAAAAGTACACCTCCATCAAGCAGTTCACCTTACCACCACCATCACCAAGAACACATCTCTCTCCAATACCATAAAAAGTAATAATACACGTAGAAGATCCTGGTGATGACACAGAAGACATTAACTCTGCCCTGACAGCATCTACTCCCTCCCTTGTTCCATCCTACCAGTAATGGATTGTACTTCATCTCCAATAGATAATGTATGAGAACCAGAAGAAGTACAATACTACTAAGACAGAGAGAGAGAGCTGTAATGTACTTTAAATGGTGACTACCTGTATTTTATTATGTAGACATATCCAGGCCCACAGCATTCAGATACTAAGTTGTTGACCATATGTGTGTGAGTGTGTATTTGTGTGTGTGTACAGGTATTATAAAGGTTAGTACAGTATGCTTATCATTAACTATAGTTGTAAAACCAAACCTTGTTAATTCTTCTTTTTTTTATTTGTACATCAAATCTGCAATCAAAGAACTACATGAGTTCCTCCAGAAATATCTGATAAACCAAGTTATAGATAATATTGGGACATGACCCACCCACCCCGGGGCTTGGGGCTGGCAAACTCCTCCTATTGTACAATACAGTATTCAGTTATTAAAAATAAATAACAGCAAATTACAATGGGATGTTTGCAAATATAAGGATAAAGAAGTAGAGACAGGAGTGTCTGGGAGAAATAAGAACAAAAGGCTGTGTTGAGTGATATGAGAAGTTGTATCAGTGAACATAGATGGATCAGCTACAGAATTGTATGGATCATTGTAAAGTAAGGAGATTGAGGTGTAAGATCAGAGGCTAAGAAGAGGGACAAGAAAAGAGAGAGGTTCTGGCAAAACATGTTTAACTGTACTGAAGGAAAAGCATTAGTATGTATGACTATGTTATTGATTGCGATTTAAATGCCCAGTTCCCACTCTGTAAAAGTGTGCTGGTGATAAGAAGGGCATCCAGCCATAAAACCTGCTTCAAGTTTGCCCGATAGCAACTGGGACACCAAGCCATCAGATAATCACGGATAACCCATGCAAGTGTGAAAAATTGCCATAAGACAGTGGTGACAATGATCAGTTGGTGATCTTTACTTTACTTAATCCTCTCTGACACTGGTTGGTTTGTTAGCTGCTTAGGTGGTTGGTCAAGTCTCTGCTACACACTGTTGACAAGTACTGGGCATGTATTGGTTCCACAATATATCGACTGTATACCTGCACCAGTGTTGGCCAAGTCTGGTTTTGAATGAACTCGCACTCGGTGCCATCACAACACTCTTTGGCAGATTGTTCCAAGAATTCACAACTCTCATGCTAAAATTGCTTGCCCTAACAATATTCTGAGCTAGTGACTTCTTCAACCTTAAGCTGTGACCTTTAGGTATGAATACTGACTGATTAATATCCTTTAAGGTGTTTATACTGATAGACTTCTATTAATTTTCCCCTTGCCTGCATATAGTGTAAGCTAAGCAACTGCAACCATTTCAATCTCTCTGGGAATCTGAGGTGCCAGAGTGCAGGCACCAGTATGGTGGCCCTACTTTGAATATTTTTAATAAATTTATAGTCTCTGGGAAGTGGAAGGGGACTATGGGGTGGTGTATGGTAAGCAGCAGAGCAATAGACCAAGGAGTAGTTAGAAGAACATACAGTACCAGAGAGCATAGTGTCAAGTCGTTTTGGGGGAAGGCATACTGTTGATGGTTGATGCTAGCTTGTGTGATTCTACGAGAATAAACCAGACTTGGAATATTCTTGTGGAAGAGAGTATAGTACACTACAGTACCTCAGAACACATTGTTTACAGCAGTATGAATGGTAATGAAAATGTTCATGTGTGTTTGCTTTTGTTTCTGATCATCCTGCATAAAGTGGGAGAAGCCACAAAAGATTTAAAAGGACTAAAGAAAAATGAAAATGTTTACATCACAGCATCGACCTTACTGTATTGTGAGGAAGTTTCAGATTTACCTTTTTGAACCCCAGAATGATCCCTGATTCCCATCATATTAATCATAAAACAGTTAGTCACAATTTCCAGTTCTCCGTTTTATACTATCTAATACTACACTTTGAAACATTAGTGTTGCTTGCATTTACTTTATTCTATACATCCATCTCCACAGTTTACACAGACAACATACAGTACTATACTGCACTGCTTACCCCAGTTCAGGAAAACATCACCTGCAAACAGTATCTGTAACAACTTATATAATGAACCACTCTCACAGTCATACACACCAATTCACTTATAAAACTATGAATGAGAGTACTGCAAACAGCACATAATTGAATTAACAAGGTTTGATTACGGTTTAAATGAATATTATATTACGGTATATAACTCAAAAACCTCAAATCATAAACGGTAACTGAAAAACACAATTTATCTCAATACTTTGGCTTCAGATCTGGACTTTGTCACATTCATTCCTAAATAATTGATTATAACATAAATTATTTTACCTTATATATAATTCAAATCTATACAGGATGCTGTTTTCATAATATCTGAAACCTTTACATATTAATAACAATAAAGCTAAAATATGAATACAAAATTTATTCACATCTTTCAATCATTTCTTGACTAACGTCTTCACAAGGTAAGGTAGTCCAGGTTGTGTGCACTATTGCAGGAACTCTTATACTATCTGTCTGCCTTTATAGATAAACTAATTATTTAAATACAATTACACAAAGTAAGCCTTCTATATATATCACTTAGTGTTCGAATTAGTTTTAACAACATCAACGCTCCTCTTCCTCCTCAGGTACAGTCGTCCATTCTCAGTTGTTGTATACCTCTGGACACGGACTCCAACTCTCTTGGTTTAGAGGCCAGAATAAGCCCTTCATCCATAGATGCAGTTAAATTTTCCATACTGCGAGATCTAACCAACACGTGACCCGAACTACCGCTGGACTTGGCGTTACTATAGCTGCTGCAGTTTTTGTTTTTACTTGTACCACTACTTAGACTGGTTGTTCTCAGCCGGTACGATCCGCTGCTGTATCCCGAGGCTTCACTGGTATTGGAAACCGCAGAGTTATTATCGTACGGGTGTGTCCGAAGTCTCCGTCTGCGGGAAAAGCTACATTTGTACACTCTTTTGCTCGAGGGCTCCTTGATGCCGTGACATGGCAACTCATAGCCGGCTTTGAAGCTTGTGATGAATGTTGAATTCATTGTAAGAACCTGGAAGCCCCCAATATTAGTATTCTCTTTCTCAACAGAATGAGATGATCCAGAACTTTTGGGGCTCTTCTGGGAGTCCCAACGAGAGGTAGAAGGACCCGGCTGATCTACATTAAGCTTCTCCATGCCGTCTCTCAGGCACTCTTGAAGATATTCCTTACGACTTGTGGTGAGGGTGCTTAGCATACCTGAAATATGAATTGCTGCTGGCAAATTTTTCACTGTTATAACCATCAAGAAGTAATGAATGGGGGAAAAATAAACTAAAGCAAGTACACTACCAATCCAGATTTAGGGGATGGCACGCTGACATGATGATTAACTGATTTCTTACTTACAAAGGTGAAGGTATTTCTCGTTTACTTGCTTATTACAGAATCACCAGACAGCAGCTTAGGATGGCTGGGAGTCAGAACTTTTTTTATTATTATTATTATTATTATTGTTACCTACATACAGTACAATGGCAACAAACTACAGATAACAAACAATTTTAAGAGCAACTTTCATTTTGAAGATAGACACCATTGTACAGGTCTGCACTAACTAACTCTGCATGCATGTACAGTGTATAATCTAGAGCTGTAATCGAACAATTTCCGGTTTTCATTATGCAATATTCATCTTTTTTATACAAATCCTCATGACAACTTCACTGCAATAATTAGTGATAACAAAGAATCAGATAATTGTGAATATTTTGGATAAGAGTTGGTTTAATACTCACCCAGATCATCAAGGGATTTATTTAGAGCAACAATATCGTACACCTCTCCAGCACCTCTCGTATTCATGGCTGCACCTGAACAAATGAAAAAAATAACATTTATCCTAAAACCTAACCTAAGCCAACTAGACTAATGATCTTATTGTAATTGATTGTGGTTGGGTTTTGTTGGTTGGTGCATGTCTAAAAGGATTCAGAATGACCTAATCAGTAAGTGATCACAATACATTAATGAACAACTAATCAGAAGTGAAAAAATGCAGTTTTCTTTACCATTACTGCAAACCAAATGACAGATTCTAACAAAGATCAGATGTCATTAGTGCTATGGTTTTTTGGTGGAGTAATTATAATATTTTATGGAATTCATTGGGTGTTTGATAAGGTTGACGGTGCTACATTAGCTCATAAAATTATTGCAAAACTTCGTACAGTAGTTACCAGTGTGGCTTAGACCTGTCTGAGCTGTGTGGTCAGGGTCATCATGGTACAGGTATTATGTCTGGTAAAAATAAGGGACTTGCAGTTGCTGATTTCTCCAGCCTGGTGTGTAGGTCTTGAAATCAGAGCTACTGACAACTTTTCAGAGTTAAAAGAGAACCACTGTTGTACAGGTATTACTATATTAAAAGTTCAAACAAATTGTGTATTGCTGTATGTATTGGTGTGATGAACATTTATCGTCCAGCTAGTCATACAGGTAATATATACAGAACAAAAAAATAAAGAGAAATAAAATATACAACAATTAATTAATCCATTGTTAATATCCTTCTCTTTTTCTGCTCACTAGCATTTATCTTTTAGTTTTTATTTTATTTTAAGGGTGTATTTACTACTTGTGTGTATTATTTAGTGTTAATTGGAGATATACTTGTTAGTTTAATGTTTCTGCAGATCACGACCAAGCTTTCTTCCTTCTCACAAGCCAGGAATGCATTCACAAGCATTTCTCCTCATGTTTATATTCAGCAGGAACCAACCAGTGAGATGGTCTGTGGTTGTCGCAACCAAAATCATACATAGTTCAGTGATCATTTTAGTCACTGTCACCAAAGCATCAAAAGTATAGGAGGTACTCACTTAAAATGTCATTCCTTAATCGTCACCTAAAGATTCCCTACTCTGCCCACATAGGGACAAAAATGGAACACAAGGAATATGAAACACTCACTGTTGATGGCCACCGTCCCTACTGCTACCTCCATTGATGATGGCCGCTCTTTAAAGGTTAAGCAAATTAAAAGTTCAATCCTGACTTCTGTTCTCTATACAGAATCCATGCACTTTTTTTTTTTTACAGATTTTCATTGTCAAATGTTACCATCTCTGCAGTATACAGAATATAAGGCACAACACCACAGTAAAGCATCACCATATATAGAAAACACCTTAGCTAGATAACAGCACCACAAGCAGAGAAAACTTTTACACTGAGAACACCACAGGTAGAGAACCATGAAGGGATATATTACAGGAGTGAGTGAGGGGGAGCTTCCCGAGCCTACCTACCGTAGCTATCCTCTCTCCAGCTTTAAAACTCCATATCCTATGTTATCAATGATGCCTAACGTGAAAAATATCAAGAACTCGTAATTATAAGACAGATAAATGGAGTTTAACCTTACCATTAGTAAGTTAGAGGGAGAAGATGGGATGCTTCAAGGCCATGTCAATCAGCTGAGAGAGTAAACACGGCGGACGTAAACACTGCCACAGTCCCTGAAGGGGGCGCGGCCACCCACCCGCCAAATTTAACTGCATAAATAGTGATAGTGTTACAGTGTTACGAACATAAAGCTATACTTATTCACACACAGGGTAGAAGATCTATGGAGCGGTCTACCAACTCAAGCTGTGGACCCGAGAATAGTACTGGGCTTCAAAATAGCCCGTGACAAAATTATCATGAACAATGGAGGGCTCCTCCACAGGCCACTGGTCTCCTTCCCTCGTAATGGCCACCTCTAGTGGGTGGTCATTAAGTAAATAAGTTAAGGTAAATAGCAATACAGTATTACAGTGATGATACGGTGTTACAACGGTGCAGTTTGGGGATCTCTTGAATATAGGAACCTCAGATTATTTCATCATTACGCATGAGAACGCCCAATGGGGTGTTAGGTTAGGTGGATTAATCAACAGGTGGAATGATATGGAGTTCCTAATCTTTGTGAGATCTCAGTTTTGTTGCATAAACTTTTACGCAAATTGTGTTGACAATGTACTGCATGGTACACCAAACAACTGTAAGCACAAAGTGGAAAAGTACGCTTGTGAAGGCCTTGAACAGTACGTGTTGGGGTAGAGGAGAAAAACTATAGGTTGTAATTATTTTAAACGACGAGCAAAATTAAATTATATTTAAGCAATTTGGTCTCCTACTTATATCTCTTTTACCAAAGATTAAAACTACCAAAGTAATGGAGGTAATTAATTTCCGTTAATGCAAGATAGTTTTATTGGCTTTTTTAATAAGTAGATTTCGAAATTATAATTATCTCTTGTGTGATAAGTAACTGGACAAGCGCAATTTTAATGCCTGTCCTAGATGAGGCAATGACTCGCTGTGTCGGCTGTTTGTTTACATATTGTGAGCTTTAACGTGAGCCAGGTGGTGTGGCGGGAGATGTAAACATGACCCCAAACACCAGCCACCGTTGTGTAGTTTATGGGAAAAACAAGGATATAATAGAGAACTATGGCCTTATTTCACTTTCAAAAGACAGTAAAAGGTAAGTTCATAGTTATGTGATTGATTCATAAGCAGTTATCAAGTTTCAAGTTCGAGCAGCATTTTCCTGTTTTAGTCGAGTTTCCAGTTTCCACAAATTTTGTTTCCCTATTTAGAAAAATTCTAAAATCTCTTTGAATATAAACTTCAGACAAACTTTCCACTTGGAGTCAAAATACTTTTCAATAAATGAATATTATAACAAATATATGAACTTTTTTACAATTTGTGTTGTGCCGTTTTTTAAATAAGATAATATTTATGAGGTCATCTTTATTGACATATTACTGAAGTTGTAAACGCACGTAAGTTTTAACTCAGATGGTTATAGCTTATATTAATGGTGTTTGCTCATAGAACTTGTGAAGATAAAAGTCAAATAAAACCCCAAGTTCTATGAAATTGCTTTATTAATACAAAAAAATAAACTTTGGTACACATCTGTACACCGGTGCTGCATGTGTCGGCGACCAACCCGTTGGGGTCTCTGTCGCTGAACAATCAACTTATCAAGCACACCGCCTAGGACCATGCCCACGCCAGGACCAGGTGCATGAAGACAGGCGAAAGTGAGAACTGAGGTAGAAGGATCCTAAGTGGAGTACTGGAAGTCTTCAGTGTTCGCTGTAAGAAGAACTGGAGACCACGGTGTGTGCAGGGGCAGCGTGCTCGACGTATTGGGGTACGCTGTGCTCCACGTATTGGGGTACGTTATGTCCCACGTATTGGGGAACTAACTAATAATGTATCAGATGGATCACCTTGTAATATTATGAACGCCTTCTCTGCAGGTTTTGACCACATCAATAAATATTGAGTGCGTCATAAGACGGGTTTCAATCATTCTCTTCGACTTTCCCGTAACCTGAACGTCCTTAACTAAGGCGTTTACAATAATAGTCTATAGTTCAGAGCCGCAATAACATTTAGATTACTATAAAGAGGGGAGCGGGGCTGTGGGCGGAGCTTGTGGGTGTGGTGGAGAGGTGGGGAACTTGGGGGTGTGGTCCTTCCTCCTGAGGTTGTCAGTATGTTTAATGAGTCACAAATCACTCGCTCATTCACGGTCACTATCTCAGTCCCACCCACACTCACTCACGGTAACTCACTCGTCATGGTAACTCACTCATTTCACCATTTAATTAGTTATATTTCTTCATTTACTTATTTTTTTGTGTTCATGTATTTTTATTTACCTTATTACTCCTTTTTGAGTGATCTATTTGTATGTACCTTTGTCAAGAGTTGTTTAATCACAAGTTTTCTAAGTTAATTCTTCTTACAATGTTGAACGGAATTTAAAAAAATTTGGTGCAAGTGGTTGACGTAGATATGGTTCATCATACTAAAAAATGATGGAGATTTTTTCCCTAATTAATTTTCACAAACCAACTTAACAACTACGAGATTTGCCACTGTTTTGATTATTATTATTATTGTTCATGTTTTGTTTATAAGCTACAACCATGTGGATATGTTGTCTTAACGTGTCTTGTTTCTTCCAACTAATGTTTGCAGAGATCAATTCTACCACACCACAAGGCAGCGGCGGGACCTTGAGGTGTAAGCAACGCCCCAGTAATAGAGGCGGATGTGGGGATTCTTACCTTAAAATAACACTTACCTACATCACAGGCAACTTCCCCATTACCCGAGTATATACTCAACATTCTCATTTGAATATACTAAATATACTTATGTTTGATTCCCTGTTTTGATATCTTGCAAAAAAATATAACATGATTCTTGCTGTGGTGTTCAGTTCCGATCAATATATAATATATTTTTTATAAATTAATTTGATAGAAAGGCTTACTTTTGCAAGTACCAACTGGTCACCTAAAGAATATCCACCATAGTTTATTTCACCTAAACATTAACCAAACCTAATCCCCGCAATTACTGTTAGGGTGGCTAAGCTTTAGGTGAAATAAACTGAGGCAGAGATTCGTTAGGTGATCATCTTACCCCAGCGTTGGTGGTACAGCAGTAGCACCTGTATATCTGAAAATGTCCTGGGTTCAATCCCTAGCTTGGGACAGGCGTGAGAAGAGTTATCCAGTGTGACACTTCCAAACATGGCAGGTTTTCTCCAAGTACCACAGTTTCTTCTGTACTACCACTGGACAATAAGGGTCACACATAACAAAAAATAATACAACATTTAGTGAACGGCTAGTAAACTGATTAAAGGTGAAATGATATATCAATAAAAAAGAAAATATATATGGGAAGTTTTTATTGTAGCCATTTTCTTTGAAAAAAAGAGAAAATAATACTAGGATTATCAGTAACTAAACTATTCATTACATGACATTTTGAACAAGTCTTGATGTACAAGTAGGTTGTATTTTCAGCAACTAGCATATTCACTCACTCACTTTATTACATATTGTCGTTAATACTTCCCTTCAACAACGAAGGTCTATAAGCGCGTATCAACGTTAGCAATACACTAATTCAACAACAACGAGAAAAAAATGAGATAGAATTCTCAGTATTGCCAGCATGATGACATTCTTATATAGATTGCGTTTAAATGTCCAGAAATTATCAGATTATTGAAAGTTAATGCAGTGACATGGGTCACCAGTTATCTATTTCTCCGTGAATGGAAATTTAGTTATATATTTTTTGTTTATCGATATGTTTTGTTTATCGAGATATGTAAGAAATTGTTTTTATACTTCACAATATATTCTAATCCGGTGACTCGGGTATAGAGTTGGTGCCTTATCCTTGGTATAAATAGAAATATATATAGAACCTATTTAACCCAGAACACTCGCGGGTAAATTAATGAAAGGATATGCAAAGCTAAATAAATAAAGAGTCAGTGTTGCCAAAGTGAACACTGCCGATGGCCACATCACTCACACGTGTTCCTACGCAAATAAAACTAGTTCTTGATAACTCCTTCGAATCTTTGTTTGAACTTTAGAGTTACGAATTTTGAAGCGTATTTCTGATGAATGCTATATAATAAATTTATTAAAACTAATAGAATACTCGTCATTATCAATCAATATATCTGAAGATCCTAAGAGCTTACGTCATACTTTTCCAGGGAATAGTACGTGACACGGTAAACCAATAGGAATGCATGACGCAACAACAATCAACCAATCACAATGATTCTTATATCTCAGTACGGTAAGTAGATGGAAACCCTACAATACCGTGTTAAGATTAGTGAATAATTTAATAAACATCCGTTCAACCACCATCTAAAGTTATCAGTATTCTCTGTGCGTCATTTTGTCGCCCAACTCAGCAATATTTATATTATATATAAAAACAATAATTACAACAGAATTCGAGAGGTTTCTTGGAATAGGTGTCATATGGGTCGAAGATATAAGGTCAGATTGGACGAAAAATTATGAAAAATAAATGAAATATGGTGACATGTGGCAGTGTTGGCGCGCGGAGGAATACACTGTGGGTGATGGCGGGCGGGGAGTCTCGGCCGTGACGCTGTGACGGAGCTCTGACGTGGACCCTGACGTAGACGCTCATCTTCCAGTAGGAGTTCGAGTTAGCGTCCCCGACTGTCGACGTAACGGCCAGGTAAGGTCCCCATCAACAAGTTCCCGCCATTCTGTCAGCCATTAGCCCGCCACCCGCCCAATCGTAGGCCTGTGAGGATAAACATGGCGAATTCTGGACATTTTTAAGTCTTGTAGTCAATGGCGTACAGAAATGGAAGCAACAATCGCTGATATGATGAAAAACGGAACTGTTGTACTGCTGGGATGAGAGAGACATTGTTTATACCTCGTACATATGTTAGTTAATGTTGATTCGTAGGCCTGTGTGTCGAAATGTGTAAACAATGGCTTGATTTTGTTATTTGATCCACCAAAATGTCAAGAACAGCGGGAAATGATGATACGAGTTTGTTGTGGTGTTTAATGATTTATACTTGTTAAATAAGCTGCTGTTAAGCGTTAATGAAGACGATGGCACACGCGACACTGTTGACAACTGATGATGACTGCGTGATGATGCACTTTGTTTGTAAGATAAAGCTGGGGATAATCAATGTGTGTGAGCAGGTGCGCCGCCACGCAGGTGTGATTGGAGGTTCTGTCCGTGTGCTGACCACAGTAAAGCCCAATCTTTTCCTCGTGTCCTACCCCACATGTGTACATCAGTCCGCGCTAACTACCAAACTCTTTAACCTTTGTATAGTCTTTAACTTACTACGCCATTGTGAAAGTTAGTTTATTTTTTTATATTGTAATCATGTGGTTATCCTAAGTCGCCACCACCACCATTGCCAGACGTAGATTGTTGTGGTTTGATTATAGGCATTAAGAAAAAAAATCGAGATTACACCGATAGTCAGGCAAAACGCTGTATTGCTTGGTTTGATTTTTAATTGCATATTTTTACTAGTGATAACGCCAGTATGCAGTATTTTGAGTGTGTGAGGGAGGTGTTTGTTGCCGTTACTAGAGCTACGTGGGCGAGCGAGTGCAGCCTACGCACAGGTCTTACTAAACACCGAAAAAAGCCTAAAGGTCTTCTACAAACAGGTTTTGTGATTTATTATTTTTTTATGAATTTTGAAGTTCAACATCTAATGCCTTATGAAGGATTACTTTACTAATAATTATGCGACACAAATTGTAATTATTCGCGTGAAAACAGGTGATTGCCACTTGTCACTTACCAGGTAGTTAAAATAGTTCACCAGTAAAAATGTTTGTTGCCGAATCTAAATATTAACTTTTATGCATGATATATGATGCGTTAAGAGAACATTTCCTTGGATTAGGATAATAAAAACCGTAAACTGGCAACTGGTGTGTTGCAGCGCCACTGTCCTTCTGCAGCGGCAAAAAAAAAAAAAACTTGGTAGTCGTCTTTAATTATGCAGTGGTGGCCACGACCAGTCGCTGGTGGTCGTTTTCGTTCACCTGCTACTTGTGGCGTCGAGAGTATGCACTGTACTCGAGTTTGTTCCAGGTTTCTCAGAAGTCTGTACGATAATCTTTGCCCATAAATGGAGCCGCGTCCTCGAGGTACTCGCTTAACCTCTGACATGAAGACCGCCGACAAAATAATGAATTTGCACGGAGTCATTGTCACAGCATGAAGCGAAAATAATTTATAAGTTATTGGGAAAACTTAACGTCGAGTATTCGGACACTACTTTCCCGGGACTGACCAAGTCTTTACATTATTCAGCAGTAACGATTTCTGAAATGTGCATTAGCTGACGGGGAGCATTGAGGAGTTACTATTTGTGTAGTAAATGGTTTTATTTATTACTTGTATTAATTTTTCTGTAAATACGCCAATTTATGGTAATTAAGACATCAATAGGGGGGGGGGGTAAAGTAGACAGTTGAACGACCAGCCTCTGGAAAAACACACCGGATGGAGCCTTATCTGGATGGGCGGCGCTGCCCACGCTGTTATCACGTGCCTCGTACTCAATGAGCGCTCCTGTAACAGCTTGACAGCCAAGACTGAAGAAAACTGTACCATATTTTGGTGGACAGTGATCTGCTGTTCATAATTTGACCTTCCGTAATTATTCGTTGTCTTTACAGACATGTTTTTAAATATATATTTTTTTAAATCGTGGACGTTTCCCTCGTTCGATAGATGTAAAATGAATCCTAGAAGTGTACTATTTTTTTATTGCCTCGGTGATGATTATGTTAAGAAAACTGGTGTGCGAGGTGCTATGTACTGTATTGTATATAATGTACTGTAGGTAGATACTTATTTTTTATACAGCAACTATAACGTCTTGCACTTCTGAAATTATAATTGTTATAAATATCAGGAAAACATTGGTGGGAACACTCAGAAAAAGAGTCAAAATACTATATAACAATTACAGCGGTTGGAGGCTCTTGAAGAACGGGTATTAAGTGGATTATTTTGTCGCTCTAGTAGGCTGTATTGTAAATGTCTGCTGTATACTGTGTATCCCATCGGTAGGCTGTATTGTGCATATATCCTAGAGTAACAATATTTTAAGGAGTTATTGGGACTCCTATAATGCACAGCATGTCTCAACATTCGGTCTTAAGCATTGTAGGGTATCACGTACGCTTTTGAAGACACTGGTTTTTAACATAGGGTTCGGGCCTATGTAGTTATTTAAAGGATTTAACTTGAGAGTTCGGTGGGTATTTCTTAGCATCTTGCTCTCTGTATGGATTTTCATGGGGGCGTTTTACTGCATGTGCAGTTTGCATTACAAGCCACTTGGGATGGTATCAGTTTTTTTTTTTTTCAGATAAAAATTGCCGGGTACTATACTTATATTTTTCAACGTGAAATCAGGTAAACAAAACAAATAATCCACAGTTTTTAGGTCACAAAGCGCCAACTTAACACGTTTTAACGATTATGTGCACAGACGCAGCTACTATTGGCAATTCTTTATGTGCTTGGAAGAGGAGAATTTCTCAATTGTCGAGAGACTAGGGCGTATTAAGACGACTGGCTTGGCAGTGCCTGTCTTACAGTTCAATGGAAGATCAGCCCTGCCTTTTCGTGTGTGTGCATTGAGGAACTGGGGACGAAGAGGGGGCAGGAGCGTGCATACTATACCGCCGCGCTCCCTAGCCACTACTGCGGTGGGGGGGTGGTGTGATAACCTCTGTCGATAAGGTGGTGCCGCGTGGACTGTGTCGACGTGGTAGGCGGCGCAGGTGTGCCAACCCACCCGGTTTTCGTACAGGCTGAGCATGTCCAAAAACATAGCTGTCCGGTCACACACAGACGAAAGCTTGTGGCAGTTTGTGTATGATTTGGGTTAACATTTATAAAGTATAGACTGTTGGGACAATGGGAAACTAAAACATTTTTACAGCGTAGTTGTAATATTGGTATTGTTCTTAATCATCCTCAATCTCAGCTTTTATTAATTTGGTGAGGTGTGATAATATGAACCATAGTCGAGGTTGGCGAAGAAAGAATAACCTTTAAAAGTGGTACAGTACGTGGTGCTCCCTCTCACCTTTACTTCACGACAGAGCTTATTGGTGAATGGTTTGAATTACGTAGGCAAAATGTTTAGTACTTTCGTTTCGCTATACACATGACTCGTTGCACAGGGACATAGTTTCGTTGAAGATATAACCAATTTTAGATAAAACAGTTTGGTCAAACAACGATTTTTGCTAATTCGGAATTTTAAAATTCGTATGTTGAGTGTTTGGCTAATTCTGAAAGGCATTAATTCCTAATAAGGTTGTCAAGGTGCTGGAACTTGTACAAGAACTAGTAAAGAGCCTCCTACATCATATGCACTTGTACATCGTGTCACCAGAGACCTGATAAGCTTTTATCGGTGTTGGTGGTGTTGGCACCTCGATTACTACCTGAGGAATGTGTGTACAAGTACAACTGTCATGGTCAATCTGCGGCTTGTCCATTGGCTGATGGTGCACATCCCCCCCCCCAATTAACAGGGTAGAAAATCAATCAAGCACTGGTCAGCTGTGCCACTTGTCAGACAGATCCCGTACAGATTATTGGATTTCAGGGGAATGAGTGATGAAGCAGAATAGTGTAGTGCGGTGTCCACTGTCCGTCGTCGTCATGTGTCGTTTTTGTTCATCTCATATTTTCACTCCATACATTTAATTAAATGTCGTCTTTCCTGGTAAATGGTGATCTGAATCCTCCTCACAGGTAAACCTACGCACAGGTGCAAACTGTCTGGCTGGCAGTAAGAGCTGTAGGAACTTTTGGAGTTATAAATATGTGAGAGCGGGCGTGTGTTAGCAAGTGCCCTGACGTCATCAGGTGCGTGTGTCGACCATGACGTCATGCCCCTCGCTCTGCTGAGCTAAAGTGGTGGTGCTGGGCGGCGTCACGTGCTCCTGATGCTTCTCTTGTTATTGTCCACTTGAGCATGCATTCCGCCCTTGATGAATATGGTAGTTCTTATCTTCCTGTAAGTCGCTAGTTTTAGAAACATTTGCGCAAGAAGGTATACAAAAGCGGACAGCGATATTCATGCTTTCCTTGACACTATAAATGCCCAGAATATTCGGCAAAGCGCTTTGGTCTGCCGCTTTGTGTGCAGAGTGCTTGTCGCAGGTAGTCCTTCACAAATGCTAGTAAGTTTCATTATTTCTACTGTACAGACGTGTCTAGAAGTGAGTCATGTAGTAGCAACAAGACCGACAATCTCTGAGATTTGATAGTTAAATTTCTCGGTAACTGGAGACTTGAGGACCCATCTGAGTGACTCATTACGACACTCAGTCTGCTGCAGGCGAGAAAGATTATCTACGAGAACCTTGATTCCGGATTCCCAGTGGGTCTTGAGTTGAATATTCCCAGTAACCATAGAAACTGATGCTTCTCTCGAACTTGGCAAGCCTGAGTAGATGGTGTACAGTACCGGGAATTAAGCCACGGTGGAAAAGGGTACACGGGGAAACAAAGTCATCCGGTGTAAGGAATAAACTCCCAACACACACCATAGGACCTAATGTGGGATGGCATTGTCTAGAATCGACCTGAAGATGAAACACGTTAACACCCAATATGGCATCAGAATTGGATTGGACTTATGACACGTTACATCACCACTAATACTACTAAGGAGACGATATTAACCTACACAATTGTTTTATATTATACGATGCTCGTTGACCTGGGTGGAGGAGTGAGTGGAAGTTGTGTAGTGTCGCACCAGCTAAAGAAACCTTTTGTTTTTGGTGTGGTACAAGATGTTTGTTTACTCTTGAGCCTCACTATTGTACCTGGCGAGTCAGTGAGTGTTGTTGTGGATCAGCGGAGGATATGGTTTAGTTAGATGGTTAATGGTATGTGTGTGTGGTTATTGTTAGGTTGGGGGGGGGGGTCTGAGGTTGGTCAGTGGGTGTAGTCTTTAGGTGTTTTAAAGTGGGTGGTGCATCAGTGGGGGTTATCGTTAGGGGGCGGTGCAGTATAGATGATTTAGGTGAGTGGGTAGTTATAGCTATGTGACAGGTGAGTCACTGGGGGGTGGAGGGAGGGGTGGTTGTCATATATTCCCGGAGGGAGCGTGGCGTCACGCCTGGGCGGTGGGAGGATGACGTCATTAGTGGGAGGGAGGATGACGTCACCCTTTTGTGGAATTCAGAGCGACGGGAAAAAATTTCGCTTTCTTTGTATGCATATGTGCTTTTTGTACACAGTCTTTGGGATCTTTTTACGTAACTATGTATATGTAATTTTTAGTAATCTTCTATAGAGTCTTTTATGTAATCATTATAAATTTTTATCATTAACAGGTAAAAAAATATAAAGGATTTTTAGTTGAAGTTGCGGGCTATTTCTCTCACTGTGGCGGCGTGAGTATTGTGTCGTGGGTTAAAGTGGATCAACGGCGACCCGGCGGCCTCTTACGTGACACAGGCCAGCTGAGCCTTAGTTTATTGTGAACCTCAGATAAGAGAATGGTATCGTCTCTCTCTCTCTCAGTTGACCTTTCAAGACCAGTGATATAAATGGGTCGCGCACCCCACTGTGAGGATGAACTTGACCTCTGACCTGACCTGTTCACCTCTTATACTCCCAATAAACTAGCCTCCGTACGGGTGTGGCCGAGGGGCGCGTTTGGAACTATACTCAATAGATGAAGAATCTAGTTAGGCTTAATACATGAAAGGTTGCTGGTCATATGGGCCCCCTCCCCCGGTCCTCATAGGTCCCAGAACTCACGAACCTAATCATTAGAATCAAGGGACCTGTTAGGACTGGTGGAGTCATTTTAGGACAACTGGCCATTTTTGGTAGTGTCGGGTATAGTAGATAAGTCAAGATATTTCCTTTATATAACTCGTCACATTCTGACTTGGTGTCCTAACGTTCACATCCTTCACCGAAACGTCACTCTTGTAGGATCTCTCGTTTATGACTACAAATGAGTCCTCCAGTCGTAGCTCCTCCCCCCCCCCTCCTCCCCCAGCTCCTCCCCACCTTGCTCCTTCCCCCCAATATAATCTATCTTATAACAGTTGGAACACAGTGAGAGGAAGCAGGGGGGGGGGCTCTTGCGCTAGTCAAACCTCCAGCCCAAGTGAGTTAGGTTAAGTTGAGGACCCAGTAATATCCCGTCAGTTGTGCGTCATACAGTGTGTTATTTTCCTCCCCTGATTCTTTAAAGCGTGATATAGTCTGATATATGTCCGTTAAAAGCCACTGTTATTAGCAAGGAGGAGGGAGGGAGGGAGGTGTGTATCGGCTGTAGTAGAGGAGAGATGTGGTAGTTCTCGGCGGCAGCTTCCTGGTATACCAAATTATCCCGAAGTGTCTCATCATAACACCCAGCTCCCCTCACCACTGGCGGCATTGGTTGGTGATCTCATGTACGTCATCCTATTTTTCCCGCCAAATGTCCCAGGGTTAATATTCCCCTCACGTTAATTTAAGTTCATTTCATGGTTTGGGTTGGAATCATAACCTTGTTCAGTATGAAATGTTGTATGGAACTGTGGATAATGCTATGGAGTGCCTGCTATACAAATTACTATATGTATAAACACTAATAATATGTATAAACTCCTGCGAAGAGATGGTATATATATATTGCATTCACCATAATTTACATACAGACATACATTACTGTGTTTAGATTAGCATGTTTATCAATTGCTTGTAACATTGTGTGTATATTATTGTTATTAATGTTGTCGATATTTAAATGAGGTGTAATGTGTTTATATATAAATGTTTGAATCAACATTTATGAAGGAAATGTATATAGTTTATTAGTGGGTTTTGTTTTTATAGTGTGGGGGCGTGGCCTTGTAAATATGACGTCATAATTTGGCACACAGCGGCAAGCCAATAGGTCTCCTGCGTTAGGTTGGCTTGGTCACGCCCACACCTAACAGAGCATCACCCTGGATAACATTAATTTACACTTATAGCAAACTTCATCATTTCAACCCTCACCTTACTCTGTTAAGATCGGGGGTAGAGTGAGATATCTTCCTCCCAAGTTGTCAGTCAGTCAGTCAATCACTCACTCAGTTAACTGGATGAAGTGGAGGGGGTGAGTTAGAGTACTGTGAAGGTTGGGGGGTGAGTTAGAGTACTGTGAGTTAGAGTGCTGTGAAGGTTGGGGGTGAGTTAGAGTACTGTAAGGTGTGGGGGTGAGTTAGAGTACTGTGAAGGTTGGGGGTGAGTTAGAGTACTGTGAAAGAGTTGTGAAGGTGGAGTTAGAGTACTGTGAAGGTTGGGGGTGAGTTAGAGTACTGTGAAGGTTGGGGGGTGAGTTAGAGTACTGTGAAGGTTGGGGGGTGAGTTAGAGTACTGTGACTGTGAGTTAGTGAGTACTGTGAAGGTTGGGGGGTGAGTTAGAGTACTGTGAAGGTTGGGGGGTGAGTTAGAGTACTGTGAAGGTTGGGGGGTGAGTTAGAGTACTGTGAAGGTTGGGGGGTGAGTTAGAGTACTGTGAAGGTTGGGGGGTGAGTTAGAGTACTGTGAAGGGGGAGGAAGGTGTGTGGGGGGGTGTGTGTGTGTGTGTGTGTAGGAACTCGACAACTGGTGATTAATATATTCACTGCGTAGTTTGTTTGATCTGTATGTGGACTATATTTCCTGGTTAAGTAATGGCTGTGTTAACTCCTAGTGCTGTTTATATGTGGAGGCAGCATAGTATAGGGACTTTTAAAGAGACAATGAAGGTTTTATTATTTTTTCGTCGTTGGTTTAATAATTTCATATCATTTATAGTTACATGAGGAAAGTATAATATTAGTAGTAGTTTTATCAATACTTTCGTTCTAAATGTTATGTTTTTTTAGGTTTTCGACGGCGATGCATTGTGAAGTATTAGTAAGATGTCAAGGGTTAACCTAAAACAAAAAGTTATTTGTGTATCTGTGTTCGGGGTTATTTAAAATATTTATCGCCTGTACTTTTTTTTTTCTCTTCGGTAAAATTAGATTCGTGGGAACAGCCTAGATCGTCTCCCAGGATGGCTTCATACCAGCCACAGTCCCACACCTATCTCCAGGCGAGTTATTTGACACTTTTTTACGGGTGAATTATATCGGAATGCGACGTAAATCTTAGAAGCGATGACTCACAACACTGTATAGTACCGTTAAGCTTATATGGCAGTAATGTTGATGTTGGTTTAAGCTTTGGTGTTAAGTATGGTTTTTAATGCCACTAGAAGGATTTACCGAGGCCGGGGAGATGGTTTAGCTTGTTTGTTTATGATGACAGTCCTGATTCATTACGTTAAATTCTCACTGGGGTCGGGAGCGTGAGTCAGCCAGTTCGGAATACTTTACTACCACTAATTAGGACCAATTGATAACCATTGGTAATCCATCTTTATGTCGCAGTTCAAGTGAGCCATATAGATGTGGTCTCTCACATACGGTGGGCAGTACAGCACAGTATAGAGACTTTAACGGGGGAACCTTTGATGGTCCAAGTTTGTGTTTGAAGCTTCGAGTAAGGCAGTTGGAAGCGTTCACTTATGTCTAGCTCGGGATGGATTTGATATATGTGAACCTTAGAGAGAGGAGGGTGGTATTGTGACACAAGTAGGCAATTTGGAGGCGTTGTCTCAGCTCCAGGCAGGAGTAGAATTAACGTATAAACCTTGTGAAGATCCGCGCCTCTTGCTGCCGCCCGTGTGGTGTAACAAGAGGAGCGTTTTACAGCGGAGGGGGGGAAGTTGTTGTTACCTTACTAACACTGATGACGCGTGTTGCTGACGTCACAGAGTGGCTGTTGACGTCAGCCTGCGTCCGGTAAAGGCTTCTGTGTTATCGCTTAGTTATCATGGCTCTTTCTGTCTCGCCTCACCTCACCTCTTCTGCTCGATGACCCCGTGGAATTATGCATATTGGCATACGTGTGTGTGTGCGTGCGTGTGTCAGTCGTGGTAAATTACTATCATAGTCTTGATTTTAGTCTTGGCTGCGATTCTGTGACCTCCACTCTTGGTCGTGACCTGAATCTAAATGTGAAGAAATGTTGCCATAGTGAAGGTGGCCGGCGGAGAGAGAGGGGGGGGGGGTAGACTGAGAGAGAGAGAGAGGGGCTGAGTAGACTGAGAGAGAGAGAGACTGAGAGAGAGCTGAGAGAGAGAGAGTGGGGTAGACTGAGAGAGAGCGAGAGGTGGGGTAGACTGAGAGAGAGAGCGAGAGGTGGGGTAGACTGAGAGAGAGAGAGAGAGGTGGGGTAGACTGAGAGAGAAGAGAGACTGATTCGCTAGTTCAGTCCTCCCTCTTAATTAAACTTGAGACGTCGGGGCACAACTTCCCGGCTCACCTGTTTAATCCAGGACACGAGGCTGAGAGTAGGACAGAATGATGTTGAAACGTGTAAGTCTCTTATAGTGTAGTGACGTTGTGTAGTGTCCTGTAGTGTGTAGTGTAGTGTAGTATGGTGGAGTGTGTAGTGTCCTGTAGTGGTGTCTTGTAGTGTAGTGTCCTGTAGTGTAGTGTCGTATAATGTAGACGTGTAGTGTAGTGTGGTGTGGTGTGGGTTGAGCTGTCGTCACCCTCTTCACCACCTCCGTCGCCGCCTCTTCTACTTGATTGATTGATTAGCCCGAGACTGTGTGTTTGTATGTCTGGGCGTGGATGTGTGACAGATTCTTTGATTTTTTTGGGGGGTGTATTACTCATAGGATCAATACACATGATGAAGTTCGCGTAAAAGTGGCGATTGTGGCGAAGTTGTTGGCGAATATCACTCATAGGATCATTAGACGTCGAGTACACGTGACACTGGCGATTATAGTGGTGATGATTCGTCAGATGTCTGTCTGTCTGTCCCTCTTTCAGCCAATCGGAATAGGTGTAAGGGGGTATCACGTTCCTGTAGACATAAATAAAGAATAAATAAATAAACAAATAAAGAAAGACAAAAATATACGTATTCAGATTTATAGTCTGTTAACTAGAGTAAAACCTCTATTAGACGAACTATGTGTAGAGAAAAATCCGTTATATCGAGGGTCTGTTAGTTGTGATACCTCCATATAACGAACTATATAGATATGAAAGTTCGTTATATCTAGGATTAGTTTGTTATGAATGTCCGTTATATCGAGGGTCTGTTAGTTGTGATACCTCCATATAACGAACTATATAGATATGAAAGTTCGTTATATCTAGGGTTAGTTTGTTATGAATGTCCGTTATATCGAGGGTCTGTTAGTTATGAAAACCCCCATTTAGTGGCGTTTTATTTAGAGAGGCGTTCGTTATATAGAGGTTTCACTGTAAGCCCAAACAATTATGTCAAGACGAGTTTTGTGTTTACATTGCAGTGGTCATTACCCCCCTCCCCCCTCCTCCTCCTCCCCTTCCCTCTTAGGTTTTTGAGTACTATGTTTTAACCTTGAGAGTACGATGACTTAGGGTTTTTGAGTACTATGTTTTAACCTTGAGAGTACGATGACTTAGGGTTTTTGAGTACTATGTTTTAACCTTGAGAGTACGATGACTTAGGGTTTTTGAGTACTATGTTTTAACCTTGAGAGTACGAGGACTTAGGGTTTTTGAGTACTATGTTTTAACCTTGAGAGTACGAGGACTTAGGGTTTTTGAGTACTATGTTTTAACCTTGAGAGTACGATGACTTAGGGTTTTTGAGTACTATGTTTTAACCTTGAGAGTACGATGACTTGGGTTTTTTTTAGTACAATGGCTTGATCAGAGGTTGACAATCAAATGGGCCCCCAGAACCTAATAGGCCCCAGCCTGACCTAACCCTTAGCATTGGGGCCTGTTTGATTACCCACGGAAACACATATCACAGCTGTGTGTTGGGACTGTCCTGTGTAGTGCTTGGGAATATTGTTTGCTTGCTGTGTGTTTGCTTGTTTGTATTGTTGACGATTTGCTTGGAGGAGACACGTTTAAAGTGTGTGTGTGTGTGTGTGTGTGTGTGTGTGTGTGTGTGTGTGTGTGTCATCTTGTAAAGCTCGCCTGGACGCTATTGACCTTGCCCGAGTAAATGGAGGTAATTTGATGGGAAATACATTTATACTGGTTTTAGATAACGTTTCCTTGAGTACATCATTGATAACGTTGATGGTGGAGAGTAAACGTTTTGCCCAGGTAGATCCACAGGTTAATGGTACGTTTGCCCAGGTAGATCCACAGGTTAATGGTACGTTTGCCCAGGTAGATCCACAGGTTAATGGTACGTTTGCCCAGGTAGATCCACAGGTTAATGGTACGTTTGCCCAGGTAGATCCACAGGTTAATGGTACGTTTGCCCAGGTAGATCCACAGGTTAATGGTACGTTTGCCCAGGTAGATCCACAGGTTAATGGTACGTTTGCCCAGGTAGATCCACAGGTTAATGGTACGTTTGCCCAGGTAGATCCACAGGTTAATGGTACGTTTGCCCAGGTAGATCCACAGGTTAATGGTACGTTTGCCCAGGTAGATCCACAGGTTAATGGTACGTTTGCCCAGGTAGATCCACAGGTTAATGGTACGTTTGCCCAGGTAGATCCACAGGTTAATGGTACGTTTGCCCAGGTAGATCCACAGGTAGATTATTAACCCGTCACTAATTTTCTACCTGTTAATTGTAATGATGTTCTCAGAATAGATCTTAAGCATTATTGAGAGTCATACCTGTACCTTAATTAGTGGAAAGTAATGCGTGTTGGGTAGTTAATACGTCTGGGGGTGAACTGGTGGTAGTGTGGGTGATACCGAGACATGAGCAGGAGAATGTGTTCAAGGGTGTATAGTGAAACCTCCATATAACGGACTTATATCTCTACTGTATATAATCCGTTAGATGGAGGGTTTCACATCTAATGGACCCTGGATATAATGGACTTTTCCTCTCCATTTAGTCCGCTAAATAGAGGTTTCGCCGTACTATGTTGACAATGTTTTTTGGTTTTGTTCTAGTGGGGAGGAAATACAATGCAGGTTGCTGATCGTAACGTCCGCTTTGCCATGGAGACTATCAGGTAAGTCGCCAGCCTCTCACATCACCACATAACCCCTTTGAAGAGGTGAATCCACAGGTGGGATCCTCTCTCTCTCTCTCTCTCTCTCTCTCTCTCACATAGTTTGTTTAACATTACTTCACATTTTCCCCCACATCAGAATCAGATGACAGCTATGCATTATTGGCAAGAGATTGCAGGTCAAACGGGCCCCAACCCAACCTGCTTAACCTAACCTAACCTAACTACCTAACCTAACCATCAGGATGTATAGACTGATTAGGATTGGGGACCCATCAAGACTAGGCCCCCCCCCCCCCAAATCATTAAATGGGGCCTAAGAGGACTGGATGGGGCCCGTTTAATGACCAGATATCATGTGGGGAGGATAACTATACCCCCACCTGTGGCTTCCCTCCGTCTTTGCTATACTAAGTCCTTGTGTTATATCTCTTCCTGTAGTGAAAATTGTAGTTTATTTATGTAGTAAGTAGTGTAGTTGATGAGAACCTTTTAGTAATGATTTTGTAGCCAGTTGGAAGATCCCATTTGTGTATTTAAAAGGTTGGATGTGTATGGAAGAATCTATTGGTGACTTAAACATTGTAGGTGAATAATAAGAATGTTTTTGTGTGTCATGAATGTAGTTTTGGGCTCAAGAAGAAAATTGACTTCAGGTAAGGAGTGTTTTTAGTGAGGTAAATGATGAATTATTTTATATGTTGGGTTGAAGAGCATCGTGGCAACTGAACCCATTAATTATAGGGCATCATCATCATCATCATCATCATCATCATCATCACTACTACTATCGCCATTATCACCATCATCATCATCATCATACATCATCTCGGCAATTCATCATCCCTATAACTCGGCATCTCTCTAACTCGGGTGAATAGACTAGAGAGGGACTCGAGAAACTGTCCTTTGCTACTTCATCTCTCTAATAGTTTTATCGGTGTATATACGTAAATCGGGAAGGCATACATAGAGCTTGTTGACGCAGCCTTACATACTGTGCATAAGTTCACGTGAGAGAGAAAATCTGGTCCACTAACTTTTCTTTATTTTTATATTTTTGGTTATTTTGTATATTTTTTGTTGTTGAGGCTTATATACTTTTAGTGTAGAATTATTCCAAGTATTTATAATGAAATGAAGGATATAATGGGGGGTGTGACGTCACGTGGCTGTGTAGCGGATTTCCAGGCGGATGCAGGAAATAGAATATTTTTGTGGGTTCTACAGAAAGACACACATAATCACACTATCATTACCACAAGTTTACGTTAATCCTAAGTAAAAAAAAATATAACGTTAGTGACACCATAACTGTATGTATTCACCCTCACGTGTTTTGTTCTTCCTGGGAAAAAAAATTTGAAGGAAAAGATTGCGTGACGTCACAGCTAACTGGAAGGCCGGAAGTAGTGAGGATGTGTGTGTCTGCCTGTGTGTGTTGTGTATATGTATATATTGGCATGTATATTGTATTCTTTGTGATTTATATGTACTGTTTAAGGTTGGATATACATGTGCATTATTATGTATAGAATGTATGTTTATATTATTCTGTTTAGGGTTGAATATACATGTGCATTATGTATATACTGTGCATTATGATATACTATGTGTTGTATAATGTTCGTCTTGTTTATACAGTGGGCTGACACTCTTGACCCGTAGTTAACAAACAACCAGTAAAAACAATGTTCATAGCGAATCATTATCTCATTAATTAATAGCAACTTGGAATAGCGAATCACAGTAAGAACAACTTGACAACAGTGATTAGTAAATAGATAAGGGGACGATTAGATATGGCTTAACTATCTGTCTTGGCCTCTTCAGTTACCCCCCGTGTGTGTATGTGTGTGTGTGTTTACTGTGTGTACTTTGTAGACTGAGAGTGTATGGTGCAGGAAGAGGGTGGAGGTGACTCAGGAGGTGGCTAAGCTTGGAGCGGTATAACTAGGAACATGACGTCTCTCTCTCTCTCTCTCTCTCTCTCTCTCTCTCTCTCTCATATCCCGACCCCTTGGCCTCATCCATATTAAAATGTCACTTTACTCATACTGGGAACACTGGCCAGGTTAGGTTAGGTTAGCTTAAGTGAATCTAAGAGGAGTAAACTAATATTATCGAGATGGGTCGTGTCGTGACCTAGGTTGGGGGGGGTGCCAAGGAGGGTTCATTCAAGGACGTCTCGCCTGACCTGACCTAATCTTAACCAGACTTCATTTCAATCAATATATGGGATGTTGGGCTAAGAGAGCCCCAGTCATCTAGGTGTGTGTGTGTGTGTGTGTGTGTGTGTGTGTGTTTAGAATGTGGAGCTCGGGAGAAGAAGGCGGGTGGTGGTGGTGTTAGTTGGGGGGAAGCTTCAAGGCCAGACAAGGGCCTCCTCCCCACTCCCCCTCGACCATGTGGTACGGTTAGCCTTGAAAGAGATATCTGCCGGAGTAACGGACTGAGAGAGAGAGAGAGAGGATTTTTGTGATGACGTAATAAAACAAATCCCCCGGGTCAGGCAGCGTTCTCCTCACTTAACCTAACCTAACTAAGCACTCGTCACTAGCGCAGTTAAGGGCCACTTCTAGGTCACCCTTGGTCCTCCACTACCCTCACTGGTACCACCACCACCACCACCATCACCGTGTACATAGTGAAGATGAACAAACACAAACAGAAAATGGTTGTGATGTAGAGTGTGACTAAAGTGTGTTGACGTCTGCCACTGAAATACAACACTTGGTGAGCAGTACCTACGCAACCTCCTGCCTGTAGAAGAGACAAGCAAAATGGGGAAAAACATAAACAGTATCATACAGGGCCTTCAACTTCTTTCCAAATATAGTCCATAATGGCCAGTGTTAACACCAGACAGAGATGCAGAGAGGTGAAGGTGATGAGTTGAAACATGGCGTCACTCACCCTGACCTACACCACAAAGTTGTTACTAAGCACATCAGTATTGTGTGTGTGTGCAGGAGTCTCACACCTAATGGTAAGCCCCCACCCAGTCTGCCCAATTATGTGTATTATGATCCTAGTTCTACTCACACATGTTTGATGTATGTTAAGAAGTCACTACCACATGTACTTCTTGTATCCCAAAAGACGACCAACTTCCAGTATCACCTGGCCAGACATATGGCCACACACTCCAGCGCCATGTCTAAGATTGTGAAAAAATAGAACCATACAGGGATTCATCCAACCACACTGTGTTTGCCGTGGCGCAGCACTTTATCTCTGATGACAAGATAGCTGATATACTAAGGCTGTATCATCAGTTGGCATCTAGTACCAAATCAAATTTCTATGTATCGTCTTAATGTGTTGGAAATATTCTGTAACATCCAATGCCATAATATCATGATGACTGAGGTCCGATAGACACCATTTATGGCCTCTACTCTAATCCTTTTTGCGCTACAGGATGAGTATGGGGTGCACAATAAACTAGCTATTCACTTCCCTGGCTGGTGTGAGCGGGGGACCACAAGACTTTCCTCCCTTTTGGATTGTTCTCGGGCAGAAGTGACAGCGACGTGTTGAAATGTGTGTGTGTGTGTGTGTGTGTGTGTGTGTGTGTGTGTGTGTGTGTGTAGCGTTGCTGATGTTTATCTCTGTTGACCTTGGCTCCTCCCCCCTCCTCCTGCTCTTACTTCTACTTCTCTCACCTAACTTCCTTCCGTTCTTTCGTTCTGTTAATCTCTTTCTCTCTCTCTCTCTCTCTCGCAAAACTCTACGTTACTGGAGGCCGTTATATGACTGGGCCCCTGATATAATAACAATGAAATGAGGGCTTATTTAGGACTATGTGTTTGTGTGTGTATTGTGACAGCAGGTATAGTTCTCACCTGTGTAACCTTGTGTACAGGGGGACAATAGTGTGGAAGCGACAGGCCAAGACAGGTTCGGTCTAGATAAAAGATATCACCAGTTTACAGTCTTCACCAGTTCCCAGTCTTGCGTCACCCCCTTCCCTCCCCTCATCTTGGGTATTTTTAACTGTGTCAGTCAACTCTCATAGTTATTTCCCAACTCCCACTGACTTGCTGACTTAAGTGCTGACAGTAGAATTTTCCTGACTGTGTGAGGTGATGTCCGTTCGTTGATTGTTTATTAAAGAGTTGAAGCGAAACATTGGGGTGGACTAAGGCGTTGTTGATAGAGTCTTGCCAAATAGACAGACAGAAGTAATACAGACATAGAGAAAGGTAATTGACGTTGAGTAGACATATATAGTAGAAAAAGAATGGTACTTAGATAACCTAGACATAGAGAGAGAGAGAGAGAGAATGGCTTACAGACATACCAGCGTGAGAGACAAAACACCTGAGATTATATACCTGGACTAGACACCCTTTATCACCAGGTGGGGGAGTCTGTGAGGCTCTCTGGTGTATCTGTCCCCATGTACTGAGACTCACCCTGGGACACACACACACCTTTATATTGCCAGTAAAGGGAGTAATTATCACACCTGTGTTGTGTAGTTAGATGTAGCTGACTGTATCTCTGGGCCTCTACTGGTATACTGTATCGTTAACTGGGGTGAATTACTACTGTTCTATTATACTTGTGCTGTATTGTTACCTGAGGGTATTTAGACTATACTAGGAGCCAAGTTCATCCTCATTAAAGCTCAGTTCTCGTTAATGTGTGTGTGTGTGTGTGTGGAAAGCTCTAGTGTGGCAAGCTTGTGGGAGAGCTTCCTTCGGGTGCGACCTTCCTGGTACCCTCCCCCCCCCTAACCCCCGCCCTCCAACTCCCTCCCTCTCCCTCTTCTCTTTCTCTCTCACACTCTGTTGACGTCAGGTCTCGTAGCAACAAGTGGTGATGACGTCAGCGCCCCGCCTCGATGACGTCAGTGTCAAGCGGCCTTCGAGGAGCTGTAACTCTGCCTCCATCTCTCCCTTCTTTCCCCATCCTTCTCCCTTCCTGTCTCCCTTCTTTCCCCATCCTTCTCCCTTCCTGTCTCCCTTCTTTCCCCACCCTCCCTCCCTCCCTTCACCCTTCCTCACCTATCTTTCCCTCCCTCCCTCCTTCCTTCCTTCCTTTTTCCTTTCTCTTATTATTATTCCCCTGCCGCGTCGACACTTAAACTGCCCTGGAGAAGAACTGACTGGCGAGGCATTGTATTTTTTTTTAATATATTTAATGTTTCCTTTATACAGTGACAAACTTCGTGTGACGTTGTTTATGGGATAATTTGGCTCAACCTGAAGATTCTCCACCACCACCACCTTCCCTTCCTCACCCTCCCTTCCTCCATTTCACCTGAAGATTAATTAACTACCTTGATGCTATCTTAGGGGTTAGGTTAGCTTACGTAAATCTTAGCATTAGGGATGGTTAAACTTCAGGTGAGATAAACTTTTGGTCATGGGAGAAATAATCGTCTGTGTAATCCATTTTCCTATGCACAATTTAACAAAAACCTTCAGGACAGCAAAAGAATTTATTTATTTATTTGAGTTAAGGGGATTTTTATGTTCAGGATAACCTGGTGTGTGTCCCCCGCCAGTCGTATACGCTGATGGCTGGCTCCTTGGCTTCAGACTGGTTGACGTGAAGTGTTGCTGTGCGTGTGGCGTAGACTTCCTGACTTATCTTGTTTCCTGTTCCCTCTCTCTCTCTCTCTCTCTCTCTCTCTCTCTCTCTCTCTCTCTCTCTCATTGTTACAGTTTATATAGACAATTGTGTAATATCTTGTTTATATTATAGTTATGTGTAGTAGTAGTAGTAGTCATTATTATTATTCCTGTCATTAGTATTCAGGAAAATACATAATTTTATACAATGTAGAATAAGATTAACATTAACCATTCTCTCTCTCTCTCTCTCTCTCTCTCTCTCTCTCTCTCTGGGTCACAGGGAGGGCGGGAGAGGTCAAAGGTCATCCTCCACAGCTCGTTTTTTATGCAATTTTGTTGTCAATTTTGTTGGATTAATTTTCTGGGAAACCTTTTACGGTAGAGTTCGTGGCTGTTATCCTTTTGTGGAGACCTGTTTGACCTTTTCTAGGCAGCCAAGTAGATCATCCTTAGGTCACGGGGGCTTTGGGTGAGAGGTCAGAGGTCAGTTTCCTTTACCACCCCTCCCTGTGTAGTGTAAGTGTAAAGTGTAGTGTAGTGTGGTGTTTTGGGTTCAATAATCACTTTACTGCTCTAAAGGTTAGTTCAGTGGTTCCTTGTTGGCCACTCACACACACACACACACACGCTCTCCACTCAAGGTTAAGGTGAAGGCTGGAGGTTGATTGTAGTGGCTGTGTTGGAGGAGCAGCTGTTTCCCTCACTCACTTTGTCGCCGCCTCTTACTTATCATTCCTCGGCCTATATTTTCAGCGACTATTTCTGTCTCCGAGTTTGTCAGTTGTCTTTTAAATCATAGTTGGTGGCCATGGGAGTGTGTGTAATAATAATTATCGGTCCACTCGTCCACCACCCTATTTGTGAACCAGTTCCTTCCTATCTCCCTCCTAAACCTAAAATTATCCAACTTAAATCCGTTGCTACGAGTCCTATCCTGCTCGGATACTATAATAACTTTATCTATATCCCCTTTATTGATTCCTTTCAACCACTTAAATACTTCTATCATGTCTCCCCGCACTCTTCGTCTTTCCAGGGAATGCAAGTTAAGTTTCTTTAATCTGTCTTGATAGGGAAGGTTTCTAAGTCCCGGAATAATTTTCGGCTGAAAATAAAAAGTAAACAGAGGTAATAAACATGGGTTTGAGGGGGGGGGGCGTGTGGGTGATGTCTGAGTGTGTGTTACGGTGCCTGCAGGATGGAGGGCGTGGATGGCGGTGGGTCTGGAGGAGGCAGCGGAGGCAATAGCAGCGACCCCTTGGCCACAGTAAGCAGCGAGGGAGGCGGTGGTGGAGGATCTATGCCTGCCGTGTCCACCGTCTATGTCACCATCCCCCAGGCCGCCAGCATCGTCTCCGGGGGCTCCAAGGGCGTGAGTACCTCTCCACGAATGTCCTCTTGTCACGGCCACCCACACCTTGTCCACCCAACCTACCCATGTCCACCACCGTTTTTTTTTTTACACCTGACTTTAAATTATGACTTGTCGCACCTCACTTGTTGATGTCACACCTGTACTCTCTCGAACGTAATTTAGATACTGTTATGATTCCACACGAGTCATTATGTTTTGTCAGATATCGCAGTGAGTTGGTGGGAAATCTGTGGCATTAATTAGTCAGTTAGGGCGGCCTGGCTGGTGGCTGAGTCAGTTAGGGCGGCCTGGCTGGTGGCTGAGTCAGTTAGGGCGGCCTGGCTGGTGGCTGAGCTGTAGGGCGGCCTGGCTGGTGGCTGAGTCAGTTAGGCGGCCTGGCTGGTGGCTGAGCTGTAGGCGGCCTGGCTGGCTGAGTCAGTTAGGGCGGCCTGGCTGGTGGCTGAGCCAGTTAGGGCGCCTGGCTGGTGGCTGAGTCAGTTAGGGCGGCCTGGCTGGTGGCTGAGAGGGGCGGGCCTGGTGGTGGCTGAGTCAGTTAGGGCGGCCTGGCTGGTGGCTGAGTCAGTTAGGTTGTTAATAGTGGGGCTAGAATCTTGGTGTAATTTCTGTTATTTATGGTTGAAAGTTTTGGTGAAAATATAGATTTATTTTCAATAGGTTGGATTAACCCCTTTACCATCTATAACATCTGGGCATGGTACACTTACACCTGGGCATGGTACACTTACACCTGGGCATGGTACACTTACACCTGGGCATGGTACACTTACACCTGGGCATGGTACCCTATAACACCTGGGCATGGTACCCTATAACACCTGTGCATGGTACACTTACACCTGTGCATGGTACCCTAAAAACACCTGTGCATGGTACCCTATAACTCCTGTGCATGGTACCCTATAACTCCTGTGCATGGTACCCTATAACTCCTGTGCATGGTACCCTATAACTCCTGGGCATGGTACCCTATAACTCCTGGGCATGGTTCGGTATAGTGTTTAATCATCAGGTGATCCGTAGATTGGGACTGTACCCTGAGACACTGTACCCTCACACCCTGTACCAAGACACTACCATCACACACTGTACCTAGACACTGAACCTCGAAGCACTGTACCCTCACATCCTGTTCCCTGAGACTACCGAGACACTGTACCCCGAAGTATAAGTTAGTATAGTAGATGTTTTGATTCACAATACTGCACAGGTGTCGTAACCCATATACTGGCACGCGTTGCCTTTAACCTAGATAAAACGAACTGAAACCCGTCTTAAGAATTTTGGTAATCTAATCCGGGACTTTATGATGATCTTGTTTGTTGTAGATATGGTGTTACAGTTAGAGAGACGCTTCTTTTGTGTGTATAACGAAAAGCAACGTCCTAGATCCAAGATAACGGGGTGAAACTTTTATTTATGTCTGTAGTAGATTGCGCTATCTGGCAACAGTAGATGTGACAGGTGCCAGACATTCCCAGAGAAACTTGTTTATGTACTCTCATCTTTTATTACTCACAGTTGTCCATGAAAACCTTGTGTGTTGAGTATTTACAGCAGAAAGTTCCTCAACACGTGTTAACTTGGATTAATATGTTGTCAAGTTACAGAAAGGTGATCTAAGCCTGTCGTTACGTTACTCAACTGTACTCTGTTACATATATTATCTTTGTTTTTATTTTTTTTGGTGACCAACCAATTTGACTGGTGTGGTGATATATTATTTAAGCGGCAGTTGGGGAAAGGTTCAGATCCTAGGGGGTGCCTAATAAACTAACCTCCTCGTGGGCCAAAGCTGGATCAGAACGTGTGTGTATGTGTGTCCCCAGGGCCCACACATACAGTATATTTGTCTATGGCTGTGTTTACTACTTGTTGCACGTGTATTTATCACTCTGATTTCAGTGTGTGGGATAATCTCTGTAGCTGTATGACGTATTACCTCAGCTGGATAATTTGTACAATAATAATATATTCTGTAAAACTGTCACACAGGTTTACAATTGGATAAACATGTACATAAACTATGCAGCCCCCCCCCCCACGTCTTAACCGGAAATGCTATCACAGTTGGTGTTCTGTTTTTCACCCAACGATGATTTTAGGAGAGATATTAGATTTTTTTTAGATTGCCCCCGAGGGGGCTAGTTTATTGGGCACCCCCTTACATCCTGTGCAAGGTGAAGCACAGAAGCGTTTACAGCGCCCATCTGGGAGGTATGCGTAGTTCATGCTTGCCTTTAGGAGAGAGAGAGAGAGAGAGAGAGAGAGAGGACTTGGGAAGTGACCCTCAGCTTGGCGTGATGTCAGCGAGCTGATGGCGTCATCACTCAAGCTCCGCCCCCTTGATGACGCGATACACCCCCCTTGTTTCTCCCTCAGTATGTATATATAGATATTGATCATTTCACAGTTTAACGTCAATATTATTACTTATACATAGGCTTATACATTTTAGGTGGTGGGTATGACTAGACTTAAATATGATACAACACAAACCGGCAATATTTAACATATTAATTTGTATTGGGGTATATGGCATCTCTCCACCCCCCCCTCGCTCCTTAACCACTTTGTCAATTTAGTCCTTTTTTAATAACGTCTGTTGTTTATTCTGTTAAAGATACGGTGATGGGTATAGGAAATCTAATATATACGTGAGATTTCGTCTTGGTGAAAGTAAAACTTGGTAGTGTTGACCGTCCCCCTGTATAGTCTACTACCCCCTCTCACCCCCGCCCCACCCCACCCCACCCCACCCCACCCCGTGTCACACATAAGACGGACAGACACCACCTTAACGTGAATGTTATAAAATAGATTCAAACCTTGTGAAAACTAGTTGATAAGAATGTTTCCAGCTGAGAAATTCATAAATTTCCCCCACTGTTTGTTCCCAGAGAGGTCGAGGTAGGATAGACAAGGAGAGGGAGGGGGGAGGGGGGGGGGCTCGCCTGGCGTGGCAAGAGTTGGCTGGGTGGTGGTGGCTGGTAGCCTGGTGGGTCCTCTCTCGCCCAGCAGCGTGACGTCGTCACTACCGCCGCGCGTTCCCTACCGTCCACACGTGCCTCTAGTATCCTTCTCACCACCGCTACTGCCGCCGCTGCTGCTCTTCATTACAACTCTGGATAATATACCATTCGCTGCCCTCAACTCTCCCCGGAGACTAGTGACCCTTGGCAAAGGTGTGTGTCGTCAGTGCCCGCCTTAAAACCGGCCACAGCCGGCAGTGTTCTTAAGATAACGTGAGATTGGTGTGCACGAGAACAGCGTGCTATTCGGGTACAGTATAGGCAAACCACGAGCTCTGTATGCATCATATTTCTTCTATACTTGTGTTCGCACCGACCATGGACTGGATATATGTGTAGATATACAGTTATGTGTAGTGTCTTGGGTCCTGATGTATTGTAACACAGGAAAAGTGAAACTGCGGTGGTCACAGTGAAACATTAGTGACAGTACAGTATAGTAATTGTGAGGGATAAAGTGTGCTTAGTGTTGTGGTGATGACGTGAGCGTGACGTAGCCGGCTCTGAAGGGACTCAGATGGGATCGAGCCAGACACCCGCGGCGGCGCTCCAACCAACTCGGGGACCCCACTGCTCAACACTCTTCTATTGTAATATACAGTACCATTTAATTAATAATTTACGCTTACGGCCACACAGCCAGTTTGAGCCTCACATTATAATATGGACTTTATTCTGGCATCTTCTCAGTTTACATTCTCAATGTTGGTACAGGTAGTAGACAAATTTGAACTTCAGTGGACAGATTTATGTCGATTGTCATGTTAACACAAACTTGGTTGTCCTTTTGAAATGCGGAAACGAACTAAGCCACCAGAAAGGGCTTAAGTTAAACCTAATATTCATGTTTTTATTAGGATATTTATCTTGGTCGTTGTACGGTATGAGTTTCATATCCTGATTTCATTCTTTCTTGTAGAAATCAAAGACTAAAGTAACATTTAACACTAGTATGAACTGCACATTATGAAAAAATAAAACTCAATTAAAACTTGGAAACCGCACTCAAGAATTGTATTATGAGAAGATTAATAATTGAGATTTTTCCTGTTAGTTAAACTCGTGTTCACATTTCAGGAGGATCGTTAAATTACTTGGGTGCGTGATGAGGTGATCTAATTCGATTACGTTGTATGACTCACTCCGCGCTAGACGTTTGTACCGGCGCCCGGAGAGTGAGAGTTTCGTTGACATTCAGTAAAATCGTCATGTCATTTGACAATACCCAAAGTCACCAGATGATCATTTATTTAATCTCGGTTCCTAGTAAACTTACAGGAATAAGACTTTTTACTTGAGGAACTTGGTCATCTCTGCGCGCACATGGTGGTGAGTCAGCAGTGATGTCATGAACTACATAGTTGGGTACAAATAAGAGTACAATAGGCGGGACTTGGAGCTGTTTAGTGAGTACAGTGATTGAGAGTTAGGTCGTTGTGCTGCTTTGTTCCATTTGTTGTTAGATTGTAAGTAATTAGCAGGTGTTTTCATATTAAATTTTAAGTGTCCGTGCCTGTAGTTAGTGGCAGAGCATGACGTAACAAATTTCATGGGTAGCTTAACGTTATGGATGTTGTATCTTGTACCGATGAGTCGTGTGTGTGGGAGATAACGAGTTTTGACGTGTTTGTGTTGCGGAAGAGGAAGTCGTTTAAAGGCATGTGGGTAGAGGTGACAGGTGGTGGTATTTACTTATAGGGTAGTAGAGTTATGGTGTAGTTTGTTCCGGTAGTGAAGTGGGTCTGGTGGCGGTTATCGGCCTGTGGCTGGGTGAGGTTAGTTTGTCTTCCGGGAGTGGGGTGGGGTTCTGACACTTGTCTTGGTGTTCGCGATTTGATAAGTAACACCTGCGGGGAGGCCAGTCGCCTGGTCTGGCAGAGCAGCCTTGGAGGTAGAGGCCATTCGTTTGTTGGTTCTGGCCAAAGATACCTCACCCTAGCTGGCCCTACTCTTCCTGGGAGGTGTACTGTGGACCACATCACTTATAATATGAAATGATTGTTATTAGTCCCTCGTGTGAATCATTCAAAACAAACCACAACCCTTACGTAATGTATTATGTTTTTTAAATAGTGAATTGAAGATGATTCCAAGAAGCCTCAAACCAACATTGATTGGTTTGGGAACGACTTGCGGTTAACAGCCACGTTGTAGTTCCTCTTTGTACCGCAAACAAGCCTTTATTTGTTTAGCCTGTCTTGTTCAATGGACACCGTAATGTGTATTCAACATAAAGATCCAACTCGAAATATTTTCAAGGACAACACCAACAGTATTCGACATCACTTGAACCTCTCATCAGCTAAAACAGTGACGTCCACGCCATGTTGTTAAAATACCAGGTGTGTTATTAGTTCATTCTTCCGAGTGTGGTGAAGGTGGACGGGATGGGCGAAAGTTTGTATCATCTGCACCATCACAAGGCCGCTCTCCTCTGCTGCTGCCGGGGCCACCGCTCGCCCGCTATAAATAGGAAAAACAACAACAGTACTGTACTACACTAACACGTTTAGTCTCGGGAGTTTCGTACACTTTGACCACAAGTGCCCCTCCTCCATGCTTGTTATAGACACTTTAATTAGTGATTATATCTAAGAGAGTGAAGTATTTTTGTAACTCTCAACAAGTACATTATGATCTACTAACCACTGGTGCTGGGTCTCCCACTTTCTTGACCTTATTACGGGAGCTAGTGACGCACTCACCACAACTCCATTCAAACAGATCACTTACCGATTCCATGTACTGTACTGTACAGTAATTTGAACTTGTGACTGGGGCAACGGATATTAAATCTGGTTAATTTGACTTAATGAAGGATTTCCATTGCGTTATATGTAAGTAAAAATACTTTGGATTAATGAATGATAATATGTAACTGGATAATTTGGCATAATGATTAAGATTAATTTTGTTAGTTTAATACGAAATTAGAATTAAGTGGTGTAATGAACTGTACTTTATTATAACAAAACTGGAAAACGTTTATGGTGATGGAACTCTTAGCTCATTTTGTTATATATTCTAAACTATTATAGGTTAAATTATCTTTTTGGTTATCCACCTATTTGGAAGTTGAAATAAACCATCGGAAATCATAATTTCAACCTAACCTAAAAAAAATTGATACCGAAATTGTAATAATAACCTGTTATAAACATAGACTTTATTTTTTATGGTTTTGAGTCATAGATAATGACACTTAGGAAGTTTTTATGGCGCTCGGGGTTTAAATTAGAACAGAGCAAATTGTTCTTGAACATTGTTTTCAAGTACTATAGAGTATTGCACTGTGCTGTAGAGGCCAATGTGAAAAAAATTATGTCCTTTATTAATTTCTAAACACACAGTTTGGTACAGAGTATTTTGTATTAATTTCATCCTTCAGTCATAATATAGTAGAGTAGTGGCCTCTATTAGGGCCAGTGTCCTTTTTTAGATGACTCATATACAGTATAGTCCTTTTTAATATAAGTATACTGTACAGTATGTATCTCTCAACCATAAAGTGGATACTGTTATGAAAATGTATCCAAGGAAAGCATGTAATAAACCATATTTTAGTTGGTATTATTGTTTCGGTCATCCCTGGGTCCATGCAGTAGTTAGGGTAGACAGAAACGATTAATTATTATACCTTTTAGTTATATTACCGTATTAGTTTCTGCAAATACCTGTGCTGTACATTTACAGTATTTACTTCATTATTCTCTAACACCCTCAATATTATTATGTCTACAAATAGCTCTCAGCGTCATCATTCACCTATAATCACCATGTAACACACACACACACACACACACAGTTGTCTCATTGTCCAATTTCGCCACATTTGCTCTCATGTAGTATGTGGAAAATTATGTAAAATTAAATTATTCCATATTTCTGAATTGAATACATACATTGCTCAGATAATTTATTTTCAGTTGATAAGTATACTTTACTGGATTACACTATACAGCATTGGTTCATTGTCACTTTTTTTAATTATCGTTGCAATTATATTCCTTGTACAGTCCGTCATCAGACTTTAGGTATTCCCATACATCTCAACATTTTTCCTAGTGTTGAGAGATATAGATTAATTTAGTTTTATGGCTCTTGAGTACTGTGCTGTAAGGTTGTTTTGATATGAGCAGCATAAAGAATGGGTCTAACTCTCCTTGGGTCTTCCTCACCACATTGATCCATTGTGAGAGCATTAGGTAGTACAGTACACTATTCTCTTGAGAAGTATTTTGATTTGGGGTTTTTAGCTTAGATAGTATGTCGTCACTCAGGTGGTCTTAATGCTGTAGTGATATGAACAGTACGCACCAGTATTTCTATATACACGTAAGAGTGCATATTGGCTTGAATTATTCCGATAGTCGAGGAATGTATGATGCAGGTCATGACAGCATTTTTTGTGAATGTTGTTTGTCACTTTATACTAACTTGCTGATAACCAATGGGATACTTTTGTGTCAGTGGGTGAAGGAGATACTGTACTGTAGTTCCATGTCCTTTCCCTCAGTACTGTGCAGGTACAGTGTTGTATAAGGCACCATGTTTGGGTTTTCTAATCTACATTCTTTTAACTCGTTCTCTTGTATTGTACTGTTTTTGCCTTCGGTTTATATTGGGTGATGTGTTCTGTTTTGGTTTTGAAAATGCACTGTACAGAGTAGAGCACAGACTGACTGTGTAGTCTCAAGATTTGATAATTTGTTCATCTCGTCCTACTTGCAATAGAAGGCATGAAGCATCAGTGGATGGGTGTTGTGTCTTAGGTCCTCGTGAGTTATGTTATCCAAGAAGTGCCGGATGAACAAGTTGTTAATTCTTACTCGTGTTGAGCCGAATGCAGGTATCTGCCGTTTAGTGATCGTTCACTTAGCGATAATTTGATTTAGCCATTTAAAATTTCTAAACCCCTTGGTTATTTAATGATCCCCAACTTGCTGGAATATATTCAGGAGAGAAGTAAAACCAATGGTTATTCACCGACCTAGACAGTATATAATCAGGAGTCCTATAAAAAGGGTGGAAATGACAATTAAGTGGTGTAAAGTTAATGCCGAGCGTGATGCTGTATGCCTCCCGACCCACTCGGAGATCGTGGCAACGTTGTATTATCAAGGCTGATACTAAACCATCTGGAAAGAGAGCCACTGTATAAGATACTACTGTACCTTTGAATCAGCCAACATGAATGTTAGAAATCAGTTTTTCCATAAGAAAACAGGAATAATTCTTTTGGTAACCAGAGGGGGGGGGGGTACATATCTAGGATTATTATATAGAAATCACATATTGTAGGGGTATGCTACCGGCGCGCCACCTGTGAACCCAAGCCGTTACTACTCTATAGTGTTTACCCTGCCTTTGTACATTGTAATCTGTGCTTTACTATATTGCTCTATATCATCAGTCACTGTGTATCATTCCTATTGCTGTGCATCGCTGTTATTGTTGTGACTTTGGTGTGTTATTGAGTACTGTACGGACTGTTCATTACCTCGTACTATTGTTATATTGTGTACTTAGGTGATTGTTCCTCCCTCTTCCCTGCTCTTATTAGCGAACAGGCAGACCAGGTAAAAACTGTGATTTTTTTTTTTTATGCAGTCTGTATGAACAAATGTGTACTGTATACTGTTCACGTATATCTACCCAAAATTTCGAGTTGAAGAATAACATATCTCGCAGCACAGCCTCAGTGCTACTGGGTGGCTAGCCAACTCCACGGTACACAGTTACGTGCCATCTCTATGGAAATTATTCCTCGTTATCCCTCATTTAAAATATTATATCTCGTTTTTGTTTGCTCAGCGATCAAATCACTTAGCGATCTGTTTATCAGGAACGCATCCCAATTGCTAAACGACGCACCCCTGTTCTGTACAGTACTGCAAAGTTGAGAGGTTCCATTCCTCACACCCTACTGTCTAGTGGGGATGAGTTTATACTGTACTGTACTTGTAGGTAAATATAAGTTTGTTATGCTGCTTTTACATATTCAATGGTTAGGAGACAACTACAAGTGAATGGATTAATGCAATCATATCATTGTGGCTGACTAGGATGAAGGTTGGGTTGTGTGTCTGCTGATGTGACGCATCATTGCTTCTTATCTGTCTATAAAGTTCTCTTTCAAGGCCTTACGGTAGTAGTTATGTTGCCAAAATACCTCATGTGAGATATCTTGTACAGTATTGTTGTGACGGTGGTGAACAAATAGCCAATCAGCGGCAAAATAAGACCGGAAAGGTGTGGATCTGCTGCTCTTGGGTGATGATGCAACAGTATTAATTACTTTACTTAACTCTTCGCCAAACTATAGATTGTGCGTGTATATCTACAGTACAGTACTGTACTGTACGTGTACTCTACTGTAGTATGTAACTAGCTATACAGTATTTTGATTGATGTTAAGCATGATATTTATTATATTCTGAATGCTTTAAGTCACTCTCATTATAATACACTAATCATACAGTATACGGTACTGTATATTTCCAAGCATTACTCTATCTAAAATCACTGACAGTATTTTTCAACTCTGCTCCCAATCATGGCAGATACTAGAAGGTTTACTGTATAGGTACAGTACAGTATTAATATGCTTGGCTAGACATTCAGTCAACTTGAGATGATTGCTAAACAATTAACTTCTACCATATTTTGGGATAGAGGCAAAATCAGTACTGTATGACATCAACTATTTATGGGTTACATATATTTTCAGTGTTAATGAATACTGTACATCATGTCTTGGCTTCATGTCATAAAATATCAGTACAGAATCAAAATCCCTCACAACCTACATCATGCACGATGTACTGTATGCTGTCCTGAACTGTTTATTGGAATGACAGTTCTGTACTGTACTAATGCTCTTGTTTCTTCAAGTTATAAATTGCCATTTTGTCCGTGCCACATGTAGCATTTTGTATATTTCTTGCAGATATCGAGTGTGATACAACAGCCACAACCAAGTGTCATCCAAAGTACAGCCTTACAAGCTGTGCAACTTTCTACTAAAGGAAACGTGATCCTTCTCAAACAGCCTTCACAGACTACCAACTCGGTTATTCAGTCAGCAGGTGGAGGCACTCTGCAGACAGTACAGGTGATTAGTAAAAATATACAGTATATATATAAATGTAACTTTATACTTTATGTAGTGTAATTTTGTCACTCAAATATATGCTTTAAGTTAAATATTATAGTGTATTAGTAAGTGTGTAAAGAACATTAAGGTTTGCCCCACCAACAATTATGATGTATGAGTTTGTTTTGTAAAATCTTTGCTCTTTTCCTACCATTTTATAGGGTTAATCTAGGCACAGCAGTTTTAAAGGCAGGGGAAAGTGGTAGAGGAAAATGGTACAAACAAACAGAAATATGGTTATTGATTTTGGTGTGATATAATATTAACCTATGTAAATAGTGGTTGTTGCATTAAGTACAGTAGTGCTGTTCTTAATTGCTTTATATGCTTTACAGGTTTTGGATGCAGGTGACGACCAAGACTCGTCACGTAAACGACAAATCCTGGCTAGACGGCCATCTTACCGTAAAATTCTCAATGAACTAGGTGGAGGTGAGATATCAGGTGAGGTTGTTAAAGTATCAGGTGGTATTGTTTACTTATACTGTACGAGTCTTACCTGCCATGCTGTTAAACTTCACTTGTATGTGTTGCTAAACTTCTATGTTTGGCTTTTGTTTTGTAGAGAATAGAAGAGTTGGCAGTTATTACATGACTTGTACACTCACTCCAAAGGGCATCTTTACGATTTTTTATGATAAAATTATACAACGGACAAGGTGATTTTGACTATATTGAGTTTTGTTTTTGTTTTTTCAGTGAGAAAATGCCCCGCCCTCCTCAAAAGAGTTACAGCTGATTGGCTGCTGCAAACCTGTCCGATTTTGTCCTGAGTCATGATGTATTTCTAAATGAGTTTTTTCACAATGACCGTTTCTGACGAGAAAGATATTTAACTAAATTATATAAGGATACATACCTTCATTATTTCAATCAGGAGCACGTAGGAAGTTTATCAGAAGTGTTAAACGTGAATTCACTGATAAACTCGGGTAGCAAATTCACGCTTTCGGAGGATGCATTTAATATACTGCATAGTACTTATTTTTACCCACAATAAGGCATACTAAGACAAATTACATATCAGTAATAGTACATTATGCAAAAACAACATTTTAAAAGATCAGAATCACATTGAAATATTATACCGTTTCAATGTGATTGTAATATTTCAATGTGATTCTTCTTTTAAAATGTTGTTTTTGCATAATGTACTATTACTGATATGTAATTTGTCTTAGTATGCCTTATTGTGGGTAAAAATAAGTACTATGCAGTATATTAAATGCATCCTCCGAAAGCGTGAATTTGCTACCCGAGTTTATCAGTGAATTCACGTTTAACACTTCTGATAAACTTCCTACGTGCTCCTGATTGAAATAATGAAGGTATGTATCCTTATATAATTTAGTTAAATATCTTTCTCGTCAGAAACGGTCATTATGAAAAAACTCATTTAGATATACATCATGACTCAGGACAAAATTGGACAGGTTTGCAGCAGCCAATCAGCTGTAACTTGGGGTGGGGGATCTTTTCTCAGCTGGGAAAAATGCACTATACCATACGAAGACAACATTCAACCCATTCGTAAAGATAAGTTTTGGAGCGAGTGTACCACACCACGAATTAGTAGAGCACGTAATGATGGGGAAGTCTGGTGTTGAGGGGTCCATGTAGGTGTTGGAGAGTGGTGTTGAGGGGTCCATATAGGTGGTGTTGAGGGGTCCATGTAGGTGGTGTTGAGGGGTCCATGTAGGTGGTGTTGAGGGGTCCATGTAGGTGTTGTAGCAATGATAGTGAGTAGATGGAGGAGTGTGTTTTTATGCTCTGTTCCAGCCACTCGGTATCTTAATGGGAAAGGTCTGGCTGAAGAACGTTACCCAAATATTAGGTAGTCTTCATAAGTTGGGTTATGTTAGCCATTTACAAGTGCTGTATTTAAAAACTATGATATCTATACTGAATAGAATTATGATTATTAACACATGATATTTTCCCTGTAACTTCTATTTAAACCAGAGAGACAGAGAGATATTTAATTCAGTACCAGAATAAAGTAGTCACCAAAATCAATTGGATATACACTCATCAAAGTTAATAGTGTTGGCTGAATTATTAATAAGTTATGTCACCTTTATTAACATGAATAACTTGTCCCTTTTAACATATTAATTGTTTGAATTTTTTTTATTTTTTTTTATTTTAACATCTTGAAAATGTGATTGAATTAACATGATGTAGGCATTGTAGAAATCTTTACCCTCTTAATATCTTTTATTTTCCCTGTGTAAATGTCAAAGCAAATATCATTGTATCCCTAGATGCACTTTTCTTCATTATAAAATGGTCATTAACCTCACATCGACAAATTTTTCTGTTGGTCTCGGCAGACAAAGGCGACGCAGGTAGTTCAGATTCCTCCCAGGACGAACCGACGGGAACGGTAACCATCGGGGGGCAGCAATATCAGACTGCAGGTTTGTTGAAAGGTCCGTACGCTTGCAGCTCATTGGAAATCTAGCTTTTAAATTTCCTGGCTCTTTCTTACCTAATAACTGGAAACTTTACATTTGCCAGTCTTGCCTCTTATGTTCTCTTCCTACAGTGCCTCCCTCCTCGGGCTGTTTTAGTGGAGCCTCACGTTGATTTATGAATATAAAATATGAAACAATAACTTAATGGGACTCCAACAGTCAGCAAAAAGAACGGTGTGTTTATGAGTAATCATTTGACTGGCCACAGCACCATTTCATAGTTGACCAGTCTGTTGGTGGTACGGTAAATACCCGTCTAAACAGTTTAAAGGACTGTTTCCTGGATGACTGGAATTAGTAGCCATTTAACCAGTCAAAGTACTGTACTTATTAATCCTGGGTTATACTCTGAAGAACACAACCCTCCCCTCTCCACCACTTAAATTGGTCAAGGTACATTTTACAGGTGACGTTCTCTTGATAGTACAGAACAGGAACGTATTTGTCATCCAAAAAGTTTTAAGACTGAAAGGCGTCGGTAGAACGAATAATTACGTAAAGTGAATACAGTACTATTGTGCACATGTAAGATAAACCACGGTATTTGTATCGGTTTGCAAATACCTGTACATAGACGAACTTATTTCATCATTCTCTAACACTCACTGTTATTAAGTCTACAAATAAGCTTTAGTGTGTCATCGTTGCCTTGCAATTGCCAGATAAACTGTTCCTCAGATTCACATGAGGATGAGTGGCCTTGTCATGCACAGTCACTCAGCCAGTTGCCTGATTCTACTTGCAAAATGTAGAAAATTAAAGTAAACTATGCTATATTCTCAAGAATTCATATTTAGAAAGTTCAAATCATTGACAAAATAGACTTTCAGCAGAGAGACTCTTTACTGTAAATTCATTACATGATTAACCAGTCATATTACTATTTCCTGCATGACTTTTTGTTGTTGATGTAATACATGTGCTTTCCATTATTGGCACCTGACTTGAACCAGTCCTACAGAGAAATTTAAAAGTATCAGGTTATCTATAACGCTTCACACCCTTAGGTTATCTTAAGACTTCCACACTTGAGGTTATCTGAAAACTATAATGCTTCCCACACTTGAGGTTATCTTAAATGTACAAGTATATGTAGGACTGTTCCTCCCCTCAAGAATGACTATTGCTGTTTCAGGTCTTATTTCTGCCATATGCTATAGCTTATGGAGCCTTGCTATATTGCCTCAATTAATATTATTGACAGTCACACATCATTATTGCTTTGGTGTGAGTGTATTGTTATTGTGATAGCAGGTGAATGACTAATTTCTACCATTAGATTGAGTGGATCTGAAGGCAATCATTTAGGCTTAAAGATTTGTCAAGAATCAGTTTAAAGCTAAGTAACTTTGTGGGTGACAAGCTAATTGACTATTTAACAGCTTATTAAATAGCTGACCTTTACAAGGAGCTTTTAGCTTATCATGATGGCTGTTATCTAAGTAGCATTTGGTAGGATTGAACTAATCACTATTGCAAAAATCGGACTGATCCTTTTTTGCCATATAAATAAATTATCATGTTGAAGGCATTTGTAGTTCATGTCAGCTACCATGACTAAAAGGTGCCCCATAAATGTTGTTATTGGTATTATATGATAACTTTAAAAGATAGATGTGTATAATTTCAATTAATATTCTACAGGTAAAGACATGAGCAACACAAAATAATCCCAACAATGTTTTGAACAGACTCACTCACTCTTGGTGTTAAATCCCTCACTCATTCTCTCAAGTTGTGTTCTGCCTTGGTGTTACCCTTTCACAGCTAGGCCCTAAGTACCATCTCTGTACACCACCCAACATTATATAAGTATTGAAGAATGAGTGTTAGGATATTTGTGGTTGTTATTGATTGATGGAGGTGAGTTGATGGGAAGGCAAAACATGAAAGAATAATAAATGCCCTGTTATTTGATTGCCTTACACTTGGGATATGATTATAACTTTGATCTCTTGTAGGTACATTATTATGCATTTTTTTAACTTGTATTGTACAATGTTAATAATAACACCTGCTGTATTGATACAGTACAGGTACTTTCATCTGCAAATGTTTCACTCCCTTCACTAGTTATTCCTGAAACTACTGTAGGCTCTCTGTTTGGCTGCCATGTCATTCTTTTTTCAAAACAACGACCTTGACCTTTGGCCTCTTAGACATAAAACGTTGTTGCTGTAAGGATGTCATATTGACTCTATGTGTAATATGAACATTATAGCTTTTTCTTTTCTTGAAATTTAAAGTAAACATTTATTTTGTGTGTGTTTGTGTAAAGATGCTTCAAGTAGTCCTGAAATTGGTGTCATTCCTACACTGAACTCCTGTCCTTAAGCATGTGGGTGTTTTAAGTACGTACATGCACGCATAGATTCCATAAATTATACCATAGCTAGATTTTGATCCCCTGGTAGGTCCCCCTCCAAGTTTTTTATTACTATACAGCCACTCCTCGACTTACGACGGGGTTAGGGACCCAAATCCAGGTCATAAGTCGAAAATGCGAAGATAATACATAGAAAATCTAAAATGGGTTTTGTCTCTTTTTTGTCTCAGCACCACAAAACTCTCACTTTTAAGCTTGCCAGCCATTTTAAAGGGAATTACAAACAAAAATTTTCTCAGTACACAGCGCAATCACTAACGTCGGGACTCGAAAATAAGTAATTTAAAAACAAATTTGGTACGACTAGGGTGATAGTAGGTCGTAAGTCCAGGAGTGGCTGTATTATGGTATATGTACGTTTGTCGACACTTAATGGATCACTATCTATTGAACTTCCATTTGGTTACCTGTATTATCATTCACTACCTCAAGAAGGGATCATAGTTTGTTCCTCAGATAGACGTTGCATGAGTTCGTCTGGAGCCTATTCAGACAGGCACTAAATTGATTGTATTCAAACTTGGCATGGAAATGAGATGCCTTGCTCTCCAGGTGCTCATGGTGTGTTTTGTAGCTTAATTAAAACCGACACTATTTACCTTAAAGATCTCTTGGTGCTCTCCTTCAGTAATGATAAGACACCAGTTTCATGTCTTTAATGATTAAGACTTCAGCTGAAACCAATTCCTTTTAAGTTACAAAATGCAGAATAATTTTCTCTTCATTCATTTTGTAAACCTGCTCCCCAATGACTGCTGAATGCTTCTATAGACACACCTTTGATGCTATTTCAAGCTTCTGTTTAGTAACCAGTTGTTGAAATAACAAAGAAATACTTTAATATACTTGTTTGTGTCTTCAGCTTGCATACACATCACATGAAGGAAATGCTTAGCTTCCACAATGATGAACAGTGCTTCAGATAAATTCACAGTACATTTTATAAACAATATTTATGTTAACCATATTCAACCTCTTATTATAAGTCCACAGAAGTTATCATAGTGGTCCTTTCATCAGTGCTTCATGCTTAATTACAGAGCCTGGATATTTTCACTTTATTGTCAGAATTTTTTTTAAGTGAAACATTTTCCACTTGCTACATCTTTGTTCATAAGGAACTTCTCACAATTTTTTATTATTATTCACAAGAAATTATTCACAACCTGACAGTAATGTGAGGCACAGTACTGTACCAACAAAAAAAGTTATCTCTGGGTGTTCTTTCTTCACAGTACTCCCAGCCGGCAGTCTGCAGCTAACCGGGCAGGGTAGCGACGGCCTCCAGACCATCGCCATGACCAACGCTACCACAGCTGGTGGAGCCATCGTCCACTATGCCCAAGGCTCAGACCCACAGTTTATTGTTCCAGGTGAGTGTAATGGAGCTCCTGGGTAACTTGCTGTACGACATGTACTTAAGTCCTAAACTTGAATTACATTTATAAATAAATTATAATAAGAAATCAAATGGTTTACATCAGCAAGTAGAGGAGGGGCTGCAGGATATGTACACTCTACTGTAGATACTTGTAGTTATACTTGTACAGTACTTTAGTTGAGTGATACGGTCATCAACGGTCTCGGGTGTTTTGTTGCATTCATTGAGTTGTGTTATGATTATATATAACTTTATCTTATCTATATAGTTTTTTATCTTCACATATGAATGGTTTTGTTATAGTATATTTATGGCCTTGTTTTGTTAATGTGGCTGGGGCATAAAATATTTTAAGTTTTGTTTAATAGTCAGACAGAGTAGAGTGAGTACCTATCAAACTAGGATTATACAATGTCAAATTAGAATATCATTGATAATGTAGGCATGTAATATGTAGGATTCCTAATATGTAACCACTCACAAATAGTGTCGGCAGGTGACCTGAGTGGCCTGAAGATTGCTACAAGCGGTGGCACTGGCATCGCACAAGGTGTGGTTTTAGCGACAACAGCTTCTACAGGCGTCCACGGATCAAACGATCAAATGGCAGAGGAGGCATCACGGAAGCGGGAGATTCGGCTGATGAAAAACAGGTAAAACCTATGTGCAGTGTGTTAGGAACCTTTTTTTGGGGGGGGGGGGTTTAAATTATAATTGAAATGAAAGCTGTTAATTAATATGGGGAGTCACCAGGTATCACAGGTGACCTTGCATTTGTACCATCTATTGTTGCAGTTAACAGTAACATGATGAAGAAATAGTCATCACATATACAATCCAAGGTTTCCGTGCCACACCCTCACCTGAGAGGGCAGCTGCCATGTTTAATCTGTAGGTGACATTTCTTACTAATGTTTTGTCCTGTGTCATTTCATCGTTAAAATGCAGGAAAAAAAATGCAATTACTTTGAAATGCTACCATAAGCCTATAGTGGGATAGCTATTTTTATGTATGAATTGGATTTGACAAAAATTTTTAATGAAAATATTACGTGCTCTAAGTCGGGTTACGAACCAGAGCACCACAAACCCCAGGAGGTACGTGAAGCCTCGATAGGGGGCATACGAGATACATTTCAAAGAGCCAAAGATACATGGGGTGTATACAGAATATGCCATACTGACAGGAGTCAATTTTGAGAGGAGGTACGAGACGTCTTACACAGACCGAGGGATACACTGACCACTAAAGGTTCATACCCACTGCTCTATAGTTTATCTAGAATAGAAGATTCACTTAGGGTAAAAATCTTATTAGTTGTCCTGCTTCATCACCCATTAACCCCATTGCTCTAGAGGCTAATAAAGGCCTAATCTTCCATCATGTACAGTATGATCCACATTTAACCTGTACAGGTAACTTGTGTTTGAATTAAGTGTTTTTGGAATAACAAGATTGTTCAATTAATACCAAAAGCTAATTTACGCGCAACTATTTTTTAAATAACTCCCTCAAGACAGTTTAAATTTGCCGTGCATATTCGCCCTGTTGCCTGGCAGGGGAGTCGCGTGTGATGCCTGGTGAGGTGCATGTAAGTTATTACTATAAAGTCTCAGTCATATCAACATCAATGATTTTAATATTATTATTAATAATAATAATTATTATAATAATAATGTAATAATAAAGATTATTACTACTAATGATGAAGGTAATGATGATAATGAAGTATTCTGTACAACAACTGTGACCACGTCCAGCAAGCTTCCCACATATCGCTTTCTCAGTTCACATCACCACTACTTTTTCTCTGTGCTTTAATTTGCATCGTGTGTTTATCACATACCTTTTTAGTGTTAAACGCTGTTTTCCCCATTGAGCATGTCTGGAAAATGTCCATCTACCTCCTCTGGGACGCCTAAAGCTAAAAAGGCACGAAAAACAATTGCAATGAACGTAACCCCCCACGTAAAACGAGAGGTGGGTGTACTGTACTTGTCTTAAGATTCATTTCTGTTATATTATCCTATAGTGCTAACTGCTGTCCATCTTTTATTGTTTATTTCTCTGTCAATTTTCAAGTACAGTACAGTATACATAAACCCTAATGAATAATTGGGGTAAAATGCTGATATATATACTGTACAGTATAAGTTATTGGATTCTTTCTGGTTCCTCTTCTAGAATAATTGTTTTTGGAATGAAATTTGAGAAAATATAATGAGCCATGAAATGTTTTCCCTCGAATTCTTGGCGCATGAATGTTTAGTCGCAAACACATCTACTCTTCCCATAATTCCCCCAACACACCATCACCTCAATATTCACCCCAACACACCATCACGCCAATAACCTATACTTGCCCCTCTCTCCACAACAGTGATCGTCCTTCACGCCACGACCGCCATAGATATTCTCCCCGACACATGAAAAGAGAATCAATGATAATACGACTAGTAGGATATCAGAGTGTAGTGGGAATACAACTACAGTAATATGATATCAGAGTGTTCCAACAATAACCCAGAGTTGTCCTCTGGTTCACTGTGTTTTAGGACATGTAAGGTGTGCCCTCTGACTGTAAGGGTTAATCGCTCGCATTGCTTTTTGTTGTCCTACTATTTTACATGCAGCTGATATGTGGCATTGCATTTTCCAAGCATAATTCATCACCAGTTGCTAATAATCGGCATTGCATTTTCCAGAGAAGCGGCGAGAGAATGTCGAGCCAAAAAGAAAGAATATATAAAATGTTTGGAGAATAGAGTGGCAGTGCTGGAGAACCAGAATAAGGCATTGATTGAAGAACTGAAGACACTGAAAGCTCTTTACTGTCAAAATAGTTGATACCAGAGCGTAGACGATAAACATTATGCCCTGGCCAGGGTGATGATGGCACAGGTTACCCTCCGCAGTGATCAAGCTTGAGGTAGTGGTCTAAAGAATGCTTTAGCTGTGCTGCCACTGAAGACAAAGCTCACACACACTGCTCATGTTCACTCTGTGGATTCCTACTGAGCATTAGTCTCTGAGCTGCCCAAGACTGTTGATGGTTTACTAAACTGTTTCAATGTTATTGCTTCACTAAGCTATTCAGTTTATGGATGAAAAGCTGTTGGCTGTGTTTTTAAAGCCAAAAAAATGGGGGTTTGGGGGGGGGGCGGGAGTGATAAACAATATGCAAATTGCATAGCTTGAAAGTGACTAATTTTGCATGGGCAGAGCTATGGTGCAGTTTTAGGAGTCCCTCCACAACCTGTATTCGAAGAGGCAACTAAGGGCTGTCCTGCACTCCTGGATGTTGCTATGGACGTTGACCACTAATCGGTCGTTCTGTTGCAGGGACGCGGCAAAAGAGTGCCGATGGAAGAAGAAAGAGTATGTGAAATGTCTGGAGAGCCGAGTTGCTGTGTTGGAGAACCAAAACAAAGCACTCATAGAAGAACTAAAATCCTTAAAAGATTTGTACTGCCAACAAAATACAGAATAGTGTGTGTCAAAAAATATGAGAATCACTGCTTGTGATAATGTGACCTGAATTTTAATTATCATTATTAAACCAATCCTATACTTACGGTCATCTTCCGAGAAGCTTTGACCCGTGAAGAGAAGTGTCCTTGTAGTGACGTAGCCCAAAGCTGTTGAGGAGAAGTGTCACAGCAACCACAGTATAAAAGGCTGCACTAATCCGGTGATATTATTAAAAATGTCATTTAATTATTGTGTTTGTTGCTGCTGAAAAGTATATTATAATTGTCATTTCTTGGATTTTTTGCACTGCATTTCACGTCGTTAATGGTCAGCTACATAATATTTATGAGTAACTTCATGGCCCTATGATTTGAATTGTATGTGATAGTCCTGTTGGTTTTAAGATCAGCTGTCCCAAGATAACATGGCAGTTTGAGTTTTATCATATTCTGAAGAATTAAAATAAACTGAGAAGAAATTAAAGAGGAATAGCTGAGCTTAACAACCGAGGAACTGTAAGTTATCATCGTGTATTCATCAGAGTTTGTCTATATACCGGATAATGTATGTCTTGATATTATCTGGTCAAATGGTACAGGAGTTCTTGAAGCATTTCCCCTGTGTAACTGTGGCTATCATTTTTTTTTAACTTCAAGCATAAAGAAATTACAAATTTTATTAGGACGCCTTAATATTAACTGAAGTCTAGTGATAAAACATTTTTTTTTTTCCTTGTACGAACCTTTGCATATGTGAGTGTTCTGTTGCTAGTCAATCACTGCGGTTGAGAATCGCTGTTGTTTGTTTGTTTAATCTCACGTTGCACATTACACCTGGGGATATTGTTCATCTTGTGTTGAAGAGACTGAGTATATGTTTTATTATTTAACCTCTTGTCTTGGATTCATTATAGGGCCAAATTATCAAACATTGTAAATTTGTTATATAAACTTATGTCATGGATTTGCTTCACTATAGGGCCAAATTTTCAAGTACTGTAACATGTAGGATGTGCTATCATTCAGCGTGTCAGTGAGAAGGTTTCCACGTATCTCAAGATGTGTTAATCAGTTCAAATTAGTTTACCAGATATGTTTAGAGATTGATTCATTGTTATAAATGAAGTGACAAGGAAAGAATTTTATTTCTTTTCATTATTTTCTTTTCATTAATGTCTAGTGTCTAGATATGAATGATTATCTGGTTTGTGATCTTCATTTTGGTCTTCTTTTAATTTTTAAAACATTATTTGACATACATACAGACTTAAAATTTGATATGCATTTATTATTTATTGAAAATAATTAAAATATTAGTTGAATAAAACAGTAGATACAATTGGTTAATATGTTGAAATGTGATTGCTGTACTGGTGTGAATATGTCCCAAGTCTGCAGTACTTTAGTTAATCAACTGACAATTTGAGAGTTTTTACTACATGGATATTTTAATCTATTGTAATATGATGATGAGGATCAAATGCCTTTTGTTTTATATGGACTAATATGAAAGATCTCATACAATGAGCTCCTTGTGTCAAACTTTTTATTTATTTATTTTTTTGTGTAGAACACTGAAACAATTACCACCTGTATTTTGTGACTGTAGCTTCAGAGTGAAAATGTTTTAAGTCCTTCATAGATATATATAATTTCAATTTCAATTGTATATTCCTTGAAAGAGGAAGCGGGATCCTAGTGCTGTCAATATATATATATATATATATATATATATATATATATATATATATATATATATATATATATATATATATATATATATATATATATATATATATATATATATAGTAGTATATCAGTTTCATTCTCTTAAAGATAAATAGATAAAAATGGTTTACAGATGTTTATTTAATAGTGTCCTTAAGTGTTGTTAGCTGATTTGTTCTGACAAATCACTCATTTGAGAACATTATATTTTGTAGTAAATTTTTTGGCTTATCCTTTTAAACTATGAAGTTAAAACATTTTGGTGCTGAAGCAACTTGGTGTGATAAGGAAGATCTAATTCTTTTTTGTTATGAAAATTAATGGGATAAATAGGACGTATCTTCCCAAACAGATGTATTTTGTTTGACTAAAATCTCGAACTGATTGTTAGGTCATCCCAGGTGTAACCAAAGTGATCAGTTTAATGTGACGCAGTGCAATGTTTTGTAGGACCCTTCTGTAACACAAGGAGATGAGTATTACTGTATTTATATACCATTGGCTGGAAAATAATTGTTAGAGTTGATATACAGTACCTGGTGTTTTGCCTTGCCTGCAGGCAAACACTGGGGCAGACTCCTGTTAACTGTATTTAATATCATGTTTAATATATTGTGCAGTTAGCATCTTGCACCTAAGTTAACTGTTCTTGGTTATATATAATTCCATCCTTGGACAGTCATTTTCTTAAAGTAGCCAATGCTGAAATGCCAAACTGAGTTTCAATTTTTTTTTTTTTATTATGTCAAGCAGAATACTTGTTTAAATTAACATACAGTATTTTGATACTTGCTATTCTTACATATGTTTTCTAATAACGTCAAGTGTACTATCATATGTTTATTTAGCAATGGTATTTTAAAAAATGATTGCTACAAGAGTGGCTTTAATTTTGTGGACATGAATATACAATTTTATGTAAATATACACTTAATGTTTGGCCATGTAAATGTGCCCCAAACATAAATGCCTACCAGAATGAGAGATAAGTATTTTTGAAGATTAAACTGTTGTTGAATATATTATTTTTATTACAATCCCAATATTGTAGAACATGTGTAATTAATGGCTTGTCTTCAGAAATGTGGATGTGTGAAATATTGGAGAATGTAAATATTCTTAAATGTCTTTGGCCAAATGAAAAGTACTTATTTTGTAGTAAATAATTTCTGAAGTGTTGCCATAGATGTTTTAGTGAGAGAAAGTATTAAAGAGAATGGTTGTAGGTGGCACAGGTGGACTATTTTAATATGTATTATGCTAGACTTAAGATCCCATGAAACGTATCGAACATAATCATCAATATTTTACAGCCATTTTCCATGGTTGCAGCTGTTCATATTGCAGTCTCTCTCGTCAGGTTCATAACTAATGTCATTTCTTACATCCTCTCTCCGTGTAATTCTTGACCTAACCCTGGCTCTCCTCCAATCCATATTAAAGTTCATGTGCCTATTGACCCAGCCTACCTCTGTACAGGACTTAGCAATATTCTCAGTACTCTGCCTCTGGCCATAAAATATATGTGCTAGCTGCAAGTTTCAAGAGGCGGCCTGATGGAAAGAATTATACTGTTTTGCATCATAACAAACCAATGAAGTATTACTTAGCCGGTTAACTTGGATCCTTGGCCATGAATATAGATCCTAAGTTTAACTACCCAATAATGATGAGAACTTCAATTCCTGCACCTGATTTACTTGATTTCTGAGGTAAGAAATAAGTTTCCTTCTATGTAAATAGATTGTTTTAGGTACTGTCGCTCCAAGGTTCATAGGAGATGTTATTTGCAAAATACTAAAAAAAAATGGGAACAACAATGCAAAGAACCTGACCAAACCTACTTAACCTTAATCTGGGCTGAGATTTCGAATCACTAGGTGAGCTGCACTATAGTTTTAAGTCAACTGCTAAAGCAATTGAGGCTCCCTTTAGACTCTGTCTGTGGCAGTATAAGGTGCACTATTTAACTAAAAAAAACTTTATATGGTGACTGATGTGTTATATTTTTACTTAGGCATACAACACCCGTTTGTTTAGAGAGAACACCTATTTGTATATTAAAAAGGTGGTATTGTATTCAACATACTAATCTTTCTCAAACACATTACACAGACACAACACACCCACACAATGAAGACACCCACAACCCAAACTCATTCACAAAACACAGATGCACCCAGACAACCCAGGTGCACCCAGGTACACCCACACAACCAAGACGCACCTTACATAACCTATTTGCACCTATTTTTATGACCCCCAACCTCCCTTTATAGCCATACCATTACTACCACCACCACTACTATTTCTACCACTATTTCTTCTGCTACCACCACCACATTATTCACCAAAAGTCATGTTAAACTCGCCTCCTTAATCAGAACCAGCACATGACTCGCTACTGAAATATTACACCTCTCTTTTTCTTTCTCGCTGTTGTGGTCAAGGTAAGGGTCCAACTTTTGCCCCAAGTTGTTTATCATCATTATAATAAACTTAATTATAAACCTGGTGCGAATTCTTGACGTCAGACTAATTAAAGATTAATCGATTAAGAACCTTAGTTATTTATTCTTTTGAGACTAATCTTTAAAACACTAATATGTTTTCTTAGCTATCATAAATGTCCATTTTACCGGTAACTCAATAATTGTTAGTAATAACCGAAATTTAACGTATTTAAATTAAATAAGTATACAGTTTATACTTATATACAGTATTGTTCGAGATAACTTCATTAAGTAAAATCGGCTATATCGTCTAAGACCATTTCCTCTTGCGATATAATGTCTGTACGTGAAATAAATTCAACCCAACAGTTTACAGTATATGTCCCCTCTTCTGGTACGTGACCTTCCATTGCCAAAACACTGCACTGAATTGTGATCCTTATGTTACGGAGGAGTAAGTCCAAAAGTTGTTTACATTCCTCAGCCAATGTCGATCATTGTTTGAGGTTCCACTTATTCATAAACCATTCTTAGTACAAGCCGTACGCCTCCTTTTATTTATTTTTATACAAACCAGAATATAAATAAGGATTGTAGTACGTGTTCGATAATAACCTTTGTTCTTCAGTACATTATAATTTAAAAATAAAGTGAGCCTAAATCAGTAGTTGGCAATGAATGACGTCACAACACAACGCGTGCTAGAGGCAGCTGGAGAGCCAGAACTCGATGTGCCGTAGAGCTGTGCCTTTGTCTAACACCCATGCAAAAAACAAGATTTTCTACACCTGTTAGCACGTGTAGGTGTTGTCAGTGGCTGGAGGAGTGTCCACCATATTCTTATGCATTCATATCATCCTTGATAATGCATGTAAAGACTGAACTCCGGAGATCGAGTCGAGTATGAAGTCTGAAACCACTTACTGTAAATACGCTTCCCTCCGCAATCAAAACTTAACCCTGTTTTGTGTTACGTGATTCAATATGTATGTGACGAAAATAGAAAGCCCATAACGTGTATTGTACAGCAAATGTGAATACTAAAGTGTGTATAATCGACGAAAAATTCAGAGGGATAGGCTCGCCCGCCCACCAGTGAACAAAACTACAGCAGTACTGTACGCGATTCTTTCCACAGTAAAAAGGTAATGGTGAATTGTTAAATACCATGAACATTTCTACGATTATGATGATGTTTGGTTATGATTATGTATAAGGTTTAGTGTTACATTTTATACATACACGATACAAACCTTTGTTAACACTGATGCTTCAAACACTTCATCTGGAGGAGTTTCATTCATAGGTTTGTTTGTTGGATGATCATATCTGGAAACTTTTGTGATTGTCTATTGTCATGTCATGCTATAGCCTACTATTTTTATAGTAAAATCACACTCGGATATGGATGTATCCTTGTAGTTTGTACACATACACAAACACACATACAAACGCGTAACTGGTTAATTGCGTTTAAAGACAAAAACAACTACTCGTTAGAACGCATAAGTAGGTTATATATATATATATATAATATCTTTTATTTATTTATTTAGATACCACAATACTTTCCAAAATCATTTGGTCCTTAGTTTTATAGCTTCTTAGACATTATTAAAAACTTGCTACAGTACCAGTCTGTACATTTATAAACGCTTTACCCCGAGGCCATTAATCAAATTGGGACATCAAGTGTCGCTTATCTTTCTCTACAAACGTACTGTACACGTAACCTAATCTAAAGTAACCTAACAACACAACCCAACCTAAACACACACACACACACAGACACAATCGATGTTTTATCAACCCTAGCAGGACATACCTCACCCCTTTGGTGCCCGTGTGAGTCACCGCTGGGTATAAACCTGACGGCATGTGGAAGTACCCCACATCCTCCCTCCCTTTTCCGTATTCCTACCCTCACTACCTGAAGGCCTGGGTAAGTCAGGCATACCTTTTGCCTCACATTCACCTACTGCATATTTACAAGGCCTGAGTTTTATTCATAGACGTTTGAATGAGTCGATATTAATTCATATACATATTTTATACACCTAGATACGCACGAGTACATACACTGTTCATTTGTGTTGTATTGTCGAAAGTTAAACTTGTCCATTACCACCACTGTTATCGCCAAACACAATTGTGCGCGCCAGCAACATGTGTACTGTAAGTGAAGATAAGGCAGAATAAAAGGAATTAAGAGGGAAAGAGGAAGAGGTGAAGATAAGAGGGGTTAAGACAATATACGGTTAACAAATTTATTGGCAAAGCTTAGAGTAAAGTTGCCTATTCTGAATAATTCGGTCAGGTCTTGACACTGAGGGTGCTAGACTGCTATCGCTGAGAAGGGGGTGGGACGAAGAGACTGTTTACAACTAAGATACCTGACTCAGCGGCCGAAATGTAAAACACGTTCTCTCGACGGGCCACAGCTGCCCATGACTGCCATGAGACAGACTGAGGGCAGACTATCGCCTTCTCCTGTAGAGGCAACATCATGATCGTCAGCCAACATTTCTCCTGCAGGACATCGTATTTGCTCTCGGTGGTCTACCTCTAGACTCGTGACACGTGAGTGTGGATTGCGAACTGTTAAATCCTCTGAGAACTATCATTGTTGGAATTATTGACTATACTTGTTAACTGAGTGATGTTGGTTTCAGGCAGGCCATTGGTGACTGTAGTACTGCACCAAGTCTTCAATATTTCCAGGGTGACTCATTGGCTCATACAGTAACTCACCACCATTCATAAAACAACTCATAAATGCCTCAGTATCAGTGCTGATGGTAAAGTTGTCCATGTTTTGTTGATATAAGATTATAAGTAGAAGTACAGTATACTTACTGTATATTAAATGTCGTCCGTTCATACCGTTTACTGTTACGTTAAGTATACAATATTTATATACCGTAATTGAATTAAATAAGTAGCTATAATAAACGATATCATAATGTTTTGACAAGGGACGCAATAAGAGTTTTTTTTATTGTGATTTTACGTTTAGTCCTAAGTATTGTTGTGACGCAGACTGTGACGTGACGCAGCATTATCGTATACGGAGGTTCGTTCAGTGGCTGGGTGTGCAAGATCTTCCGTCAACTGTTATTCGTAGTCACTTACCGTATCCGTATCACTTCCTTCCGTATGCTGTTATAATTTGGTGGATTCTCAGTGGTGTGAGAAAGCGGTGTTTACGGAGGTGACCATGCCCGACCTTCTACTGAATTACATAGTGCGACGCAGCTTATGAGTGGTGGTGGCCTCTCTCTCTCTCTCTCTCTCTCTCTCTCTCTCTCTCTCTCTCTCTCTCTCTCTCTCTCTCTCTCTCTCTTTATCATGTAACACAAACAGTTACGTTACGTTAGCGAGTCAACCGCCTCGTGGCAGCCTTCAGCACTGAGACACGGACGGTCTGTATTTATGCTTGAACCATTAGTATCGTGTTTGTGTTCGCGGTGGATTGGGATAATTTTTCCCTGAATTGTGAGATGTTTTTGTCCCCCAATCACCTCTTGAGATCTTTTAATTAATAAAGGGGGTAAATGAGTGTATTGG